CTATGTGCGAGTTGACTTGATTTTGCTTGATTTTTGCGAAAATATTGGTCTGATGTCGTCTCGTTTTGCTTGATATTTGGTCTTTGAATCGCTATGGTATTGCTTGACTTGCTATGGTAATGCTTGTCTGATCGTATGGTACCGAGACAACGAGACAACGAGGCAATACGTTTTCATTCTAACCGAGAGATCTAACGGGCGGGGGGGGTGGTTTCTAACTCTAGCGCTAACAACCGAGTCACTAACAACCGAGACACTAACATGGTACGCGAAGCCTAACATATGTATGCCCTTGTTTTGCTTATCCTCGGATCGACTATGATATCGAATTGTATTGCATAGTATCGTATGGCATTGCATTTCATATCGTTGACTTGGCTGTCGTGGACTGTTGCATTGTATTGTGTCCTGATCCTTATCCTTGTCATGCGGGTGTTTTCTTGATTTTCGTAGTCTGTGGTATTGCATTCCTGGTCCTGGTCCTGGGCGCATTTTATTGATTTGTCGCTGGTCTTTGCTATTGTAGCGCTTGACTTGGGTGATGCGTAGGCCGAGGTCAGAATCTGCGTCCCAGTTGGCTTGATTTTCGATTTTCCTTGATTTTGGCTGGAATGTCCTTGTGATCGTAGTCCACCTGATGGGGATTGTCTTGATTTTCTTCATTGTCTTTGTCGTAGTCTGGCGTGAAGCGTAGGCCGAGGTCGGATCCTCCGTTCCTCAGAGCGTGATTTTGCTTCATTTGGCGAAAATATCGCTGTGGCCTGGCTTGATTTTCCTTGATTTTTGCTATTTTGTTCCTATGGTATCGCTTGATTTCGGCTGCGTCCTTGCTGTCGTAGTCTTGCTATGTGTTGGCTATCGTGGCCCTCGGATCATATCGACTTGATTTATCGCTGGTCTTTGCTATCGTAGTCCTCGTCTGCGGTGATGCGTAGCTTGAGGTCGAAATCTGTGTCTGACTTCACTTGATTTTGCTTGATTATGGATGGAATGTTGCTGTGATCGTAGTCTGGCGTGAAGCGTAGCCTGAGGTCAGGGTGTAGCGTGATTTTGGCCAAAATCTTGGTTTGGTCTGACTTGATTTTGCTTGATTTTTGCTTGATTTGTTGCTATCTTGTTGCTATTGTATCGCTTGATTTTGCCTGTGTTATTGCTATTGTAGTCTTGCTACGTAAGGATCGTATTGCGTAGCTTGAGGTCGAAATCTGTGTCTGACTTGACTTGATTTTCCTTGATTATGGATGGAATGTTGCTGTGATAGTGGTCTGACGTCAAGCGTAGGCTGAGGTCAGGGTGTAGCGTGATTTTGGCGAAAATCTTGATCTGGTCTGACTTGATTTTGCTTGATTTTTGCTTGATTTGTTGCTGTTGTATCGCTTGATTTTGGCCGTGTTGTTGCTATTGTAGTCTTGCTACGTAAGGATCGTATTGCGTAGCTTGAGGTCGAAATCTGTGTCTGACTTGACTTGATTTTCCTTGATTTTGGCGAAAATATTGCTGTGGTGTGGTCTCATTTTCCTTGATTTTTGCTTTTATCTTGCTATGGTATTGCTTGTCTGAGCGTAGGGTACCGAGAACCGAGACACCGAGGCAATACGTTTTTATCCTAACCGAGAGATCTAACGGGCGGGGGGGGTGGTTTCTAACTCCGGCACTAACAACCGAGACACTAACATGGTACGCCAAGCCTAACATGTGTATGCCCTTGTTATCGTCATCCATCGCAGTCTGTCGTGTCTGTTATCGTATCGTATAGTAGTCTATGTATGGTATTTATTTCATTTTCTTGATGGTGTGACTGTCGTAGTCTGTTGTATAGTGTCCTGATCCTTATCCTAGTCTGATCGGGATGATATTGATTTTCTTGATTTTTGGTGCTGTGGTAAAGCATCGTATTCTTCCTCATTGTCTTGCTTGACTGGGGGGATGTGTAGGCTGAGGTCGGAATCTGTGTCCGAGTGAGCTTGATTTTGCTTGATTTTTGCTTATTTTCTTGCCGTGGTATTGCTTGATTTTGGCGAAAATATCGCTATCATGGTCTGGTGTATTGTCTTGATTTGTTGCTGGTCTTTTCTGACGTGGAGTCGCTTATCGTAGTGCTTGTCTTTGGTGACGTGTAGGCTGAGGTCAGAATCCGTGTCTGACTTGACTTGATTTTGCTTGATATTTGCTATCGTAGTCTTGCGTGTGGTAGCCCTGATTGGGGGGGACGCGTTGGCTGAGGTCAGAATCTGCATGTGAGTTGACTTGATTTTGCTTGATTTTTGCGAAAATATTGCTCTGATATGGTCTCATTTTGCTTGATTTTCTGTGTTTGTATTGATATGGTGCGGTGCTTGACTTGCTAATGTAATGCTTGTCTGATCGGATGGTATATCGTGGTCTTTGCTGTCGTAGTCTTGCGTGCGGTGGTGCTGATTGGGGGTGACATGTAGGCGAGGTCAGAATCTGCGTGCGAGTCGACTTGATTTTGCTTGATTTTTGCGAAAATATTGCTATGATGTGGTCTGATTTTCCTTGATTTTTGGCGTTTGGATTGCTGTGGTACGGCCTGATTGTCTTTGATTTTGGCTGTGATGATGATATTGTATTGCTTGACTTGCTATCGTGATGCTTGTCTGATCGTATGGTATATCGTAGTCTTGCGTGCGGTGGCGCTGATTGGGGGTGATGCGTAGGCTGAGGTCAGAATCTATGTGCGAGTTGACTTGATTTTGCTTGATTTTTGCGAAAATATTGGTCTGATGTCGTCTCGTTTTGCTTGATATTTGGTCTTTGAATCGCTATGGTATTGCTTGACTTGCTATGGTAATGCTTGTCTGATCGTATGGTACCGAGACAACGAGACAACGAGGCAATACGTTTTCATTCTAACCGAGAGATCTAACGGGCGGGGGGGTGGTTTCTAACTCTAGCGCTAACAACCGAGTCACTAACAACCGAGACACTAACATGGTACGCGAAGCCTAACATATGTATGCCCTTGTTTTGCTTATCCTCGGATCGACTATGATATCGAATTGTATTGCATAGTATCGTATGGCATTGCATTTCATATCGTTGACTTGGCTGTCGTGGACTGTTGCATTGTATTGTGTCCTGATCCTTATCCTTGTCATGCGGGTGTTTTCTTGATTTTCGTAGTCTGTGGTATTGCATTCCTGGTCCTGGTCCTGGGCGCATTTTATTGATTTGTCGCTGGTCTTTGCTATTGTAGCGCTTGACTTGGGTGATGCGTAGGCCGAGGTCAGAATCTGCGTCCCAGTTGGCTTGATTTTCGATTTTCCTTGATTTTGGCTGGAATGTCCTTGTGATCGTAGTCCACCTGATGGGGATTGTCTTGATTTTCTTCATTGTCTTTGTCGTAGTCTGGCGTGAAGCGTAGGCCGAGGTCGGATCCTCCGTTCCTCAGAGCGTGATTTTGCTTCATTTTGGCGAAAATATCGCTGTGGCCTGGCTTGATTTTCCTTGATTTTTGCTATTTTGTTCCTATGGTATCGCTTGATTTCGGCTGCGTCCTTGCTGTCGTAGTCTTGCTATGTGTCATATAGGTAGGGTGAAATAAGCTGGCGCCTGCCTATTTATCTCATGAGTTTGCTTCCTTCCTTTGTGCCCAAGGTAGATAATCTCTCTATGTCCAAGAACTTGACTGCTCAACACTCAATCACATTCACAGACACATTTGACACACCAAAATAGTTGGTTGACCGATTGTTTCTGAGTGATCATTATACTGAGGTGCAACAACAGTCATTGAATTACTTGATATTCCAAATCATTGTTTTGTGAGACACCAAAACAGTTGGTTGATCGATTATTTCTGAGTGATCATTATAATGTGCAGGAGCGATAGTGAGCTGCCACCTGCATGATACATCAGCACAGCCACAATACACTCTCCCACAACACATGGACATTGTACACATGTCTGAGACCTGTGTCCTACATCTGACAACTACATCTGGGACAATAAGCCTGTGTCAGGAAATATCTGCCTATGTCTGAGACATACATCCTATGGCTAAGAACTGTGTTGTATGTCTGAGAGCTATGTCCGGGAAAATAAGCCTACGTGCGGGAATATCTGGCTATGCCTGGGAACTATGTCTGAGACCTACGTCCTATGTCTGAGAACTACGTCCGGGAAAATAAGGCTATGTGTGGGAATATCTGCCTATGCCTGGGAACTATGTCCGGGAAAATAAGGCTATGTGCGGGAATATCATCCTATGCCTGGGAACTATGTCTGAGACCTACGTCCTATGTCTGAGAACTACGTCCGGGAAAATAAGGCTATGTGCGGGAATATCTGCCTACGTCCGGGAATATCATCCTATGCCTGGGAATATTTGCCTATGTCTGGGTCCTATGTCTGAGACCTACGTCTGAAAAAATAAGCCTCTGTCAGGCAATATCTGCCTATGTCTGAGAACTATGTCCTAGGGTAATTCATTCATTCCAAGTCATCAGTTGATCACTGAAAGCCCTCACTTATTTATACACAAGAAATTATGAAGACATTGAGATGGAAAAATAGTCGGTCAACCGATTTCTGAGTGATCATTATGTTGAGGTGCAACAACAGTCATTCAATTGCTGTATATTCCAAATCATTGTTTGTCCATTGTATTCACAGAACCATGTGAGACACCAAAACAGTTGATTGATCGATTATTTCTGAGTGATCATTATAATGTGCAGGAGCGATAGTGAGCTGCCACCTGCATGATACATCAGCACAGCCATGATACACTCTTCCACGACGCATAATACATCAGTATCCTACCCAAGGATAATCTGTTAGGACACCATACACTGTACACTGTACACCAAGCATAGTGCACTGTGCACCGAGCATAGTACACTATACACTGCACTGCCACTGTACACTCTCCCGCGATATGCATAATACACTGTGCACTATACCCTGAGCATAGTGCACTGTACACCGAGCATAGTACACTGGACACTATACACTATACCTATACACCGAGCATAGTTCACTGTTGAATGAGCATAGTGCACTGTACACCGAACATAGTACACTGTACACCAAGCATAGTGCACCGAGCATAGTGCACTGTACACCGAGCATAGTGCACCATACACCAAGTATAGTGCACCGAGCATAATACACCGGACACTGTACACCGAGCATAGTGCACTGTACACCGAACATAGTACACTGTACACCGAGCATAGTGCACCGAGCATAGTACACCGGACACTGTACACCGAGCATAGTGCACTGTACACCAAGCATAGTGCACCGAGCATAATACACCGAGCATAGTGCACTGTACACCGAACATAGTGCACCGAGCATAATACACCGGACACTGTACACCGAGCATAGTGCACTGTACACCGAACATAGTACACTGTACACCGAGCATAGTGCACCGAGCATAGTACACCGGACACTGTACACCGAGCATAGTGCACTGTACACCAAGCATAGTGCACCGAGCATAATACACCATACACTGTACACCGAGCATAGTGCACTGTACACCGAACATAGTACACTGTACACCGAGCATAGTGCACCATACACCGAGTATAGTGCACCAAGCATAATACACCGGACACTGTACACCGAGCATAGTGCACTGTACACTGGACACTATGTCTGGGAACTATGTCCGGGAAAATAAGCCTATGTCCGGGAATATCTAGCTATGCCTGGGAATATCATCCTATGCCTGGGAACTGTGTCCGGGAATATCTAGCATAGTACACCAGACACTGTACACTGTACACTATGTCTGAAAAATAAGCTGACGTCAGGCAATATCTGCCCCAGACACTGTACACTGTACACTGCACTGCCACCGTACACTCTCCCACGATATGCATAATACACCATGCACTCTCGGTACTCCAGGGTGGGGTACCACGTTAAGACTATTAGGCTTTCACTGACACTCTGCCTTTGGTTTACGTCCTTCACTATACCCACCGGCTTTCACTGACACTCTGCCTTTGGTTTACGTCCTTCACTATACCCACCGGCTTTCACTGACACTCTGCCTTTGGTTTACGTCCTTCACTATACCCACCGGCTTTCACTGACACCCTGACTTCCTGTTACTTCCTTGACTACACCCACTGGCTTCCACTGACACCCATCCATATCTACACCCTCCAACTCACACTGACACTCTTTATCTGGCCACCCTCTGGCTCCCACTGGCACTCTGACTTTCACTCATCTCCTATCCACAACCTCCCCGTTCTCTTACTCCTGTTTTTTTTTCTGCTCTGATATTCCCACTTTCACTCATCTCTAATCTACACCCTCCACATTCTCTGACTCCCATCTCTCCGTCTACCATGACACTCCGACTTTCACCGTCGTCCTATCTACACCCCCCTCCATCCCATCACTGACTTCTCACTTTCCGCCCTTCCCCTCCCACTCACCCTTGTCCCTAACCACACCCTCCCCTTACTCTCACTCACATCTCTCTTTCCTCCCTCTCCTTTCCTCTCACACTCTCACTTTCACTCTCCTCCATGTCCCTTCTAAACCCTCCGCTTATTCTCACTCACTCACATATCTACAACCTTCGCTGCTTTCTCTTATCTCTTTCTTTCCACCCTCCCCCCCCTTCCTATTTACATTAATCCCCTTCCCAACTTACAACACCCTCCGGGCTACTCCCACCCACTTCTCGTTTTCCTACTTGCACCCTCTTGACATCCTCTCTGCCAACTCTCACTCATATCACACTCCTCGCCTTTACTCTCACTTATGAACCTCTCGCCCTGTCCTTTACACCTCCTCACTCTCACTTATGCCTGTAGCCTTCACTCTCAATCACACACCCTCAAAACAAAAAATCCCCCCCCAGCTTCTTTTCTCCCCCGAGCTCCTTTCAACTCTTCTGCCCCTCTCCTCTCCTCCAGTAAGGCTTTTCACTCCTCTCTTCACATCCCATCCGTCTGTATGGGCTGTGCAATGTCTCGCAGAGTCTGCCCCCCCCATCTGTTTGTTTCTGCTGTGCAATGTCCCATAGGGACTGCAGCCTCTTGGTTTCTGGGGGTTACTATAGTCCAACCATCTAGCATGCATCTCCCTGTACAGGGAGGTGATTCTCATGCCCGTCAGAGTCATGATAGATAGATGGGACAGCAGCCCCTCTGTTCAGTACTGGGCAGAGTTATTCTTGGGCTGTACTTGCCTGAGAGGGTTTGCTGTTGACACTTGGGTTCTTGGGGATTTGTGTTCTGGGGGATGTTACTGGGTGTAGTCCAACCATCCAGCCAGGCTTTGCTTTGACCCTGCGCGATCCTCCAATGTTGATGGTTCTGCAAAGGGGAGGACTGGCATGTCCAAGTGTCAGCTGATTGGGATGGCACAGTAGCAAGAACAAATCGACTTCCACCCAGGGGGAGAAGATGTTCCCCCAACAAGGTATTCTAACATCGCTGAAGTCTACACGTTCAATCAGCTTCTGGGTATTGGCGGCGAGCTCATCTGGTCTGCTGAAAGCCTTAACAAGATCACAAGTGGCATTTAGAACGGGCATGGATGGTTTGTTGGGTCGCTACCCTGCTGCTCATTGGCGCTCTGTAGGTGCGACATTTAGATGTCAGGAAGTTCACATTAGAGATCATGTGCCAACAAATGTTCATGCATCAGGTTAGGCTTCCCGATGAGCACCAGATAAATTTTGTGAAGTAATGATTTCACAATGGATTCCGCACAGGATCATCAGGTGCTCATCGATAAGCCTGCCAGCAATGTCTGGAATGTTGTTTCCGTGGCCAACAAACAAGACACCGAGGAGGTCATCGATAAGCCTGCCAGCAATGTCTGGATTGTTGTTTCCGTGGCCAACAAACAAGACACCGAGGAGGTCATCAGATATCTGGAGGCTAAAATTCATTTGGGTGGATTTCATGGCCAACAGACAAGACACCGAGGAGGTCATCAGATATCTGGAGGCTAAAATTCATTTGGGTGGATTTCATGGCCAACAAACAAGACACCGAAGAGGTCATCAGATATCTGGAGGCTAAAATTCATTTGGGTGGATTTCATGGCCAACAAACAAGACACCGAAGAGGTCATCAGATATCTGGAGGCTAAAATTCATTTGGGTGGATTTCATGGCCAACAAACAAGACACCGAAGAGGTCATCAGATATCTGGAGGCTAAAATTCATTTGGGTGGATTTCATGGCCAACAAACAAGACACCGAAGAGGTCATCAGATATCTGGAGGCTAAAATACATGTGGGTGGATTTCATGGCAATTTTGTGAATGATGACTGCATTTTCGACAGATGGATGCACGTGTCCGGCGGTGAGTGACTATACAAAGGATTTCACAATGGATACTGCGTAGGATCTTTTGGTCCTCATCGAGAAGCCCATCCTAGGACTGCCTCATTTCGGTCATGAAACACGTACTGATTGCTAGGATAGCTGAGTCCGCCTTATTTGAGACTGCCTGGCATGGATGATTTGTTGGGGTCGCTACCCTGCTGCTCATTGTCGGTTTTCAGCTGTGCAATGGAAATGTCAGGAAGTTCGCATTAAAGAACATGTATGAACAAAAGTACATACATCAGAATTGGCTTCTCAATGAGCACCGGATAAATTTGTGCGGGACCCATCGTGGAGGAACTCACAATGGATCCTGCACAAAATTATCTGGTGCTCACCAAGAAGCCCATTCTGATGTACATACTTTTGTTCGTACGTGTTCTCTAATGTGTGCTTACCGACATTTCCTTTGCGCGGCTGAAAAACAACGCTAGGGTAGCGGCCTACATCAGGATGGGCTTCTCGATGAGAACCAGATAAATCTAGGCAGGATCCATTGTCAAATCATTGGACAATACCAAGGAAATCACGATGGATCCTGCACAGGATCTTTTGGTTCTCATCGAGAAGCCCATCCTAGGACTGCCTCATTTCGGTCATGAAACACGTACTGATTGCTAGAATAGCTGAGTCCGTCTTACTTGAGACTGCCTAGAATCAAGTGGGTAGATCGTACATCATGTTGAGATAACTTATGGTGCTTACCAGGATGAGCGACTGTAGTTCTGACCGGACGAAGTCAGTGATAAATAGGAAGAAGGTTGGTAGTAGCTGAATGGTAAGTTGTGCGACTGAAGGATTTGGCAGACGATGTGTTCGACATTGAGATGAAGGGCTAGGAAGGTGAGATATGAAATGAATATGGGATAGGACGGTTAGATGTGATGGGGGTGGGTGTTTATCATGCGACGAGTTATATAGGGAAAACAGGGAAGAAGAAAATGACTCCAACTGAGAGGATAAGGGAGACAAGACAGGGTGAGTGGGCGGGGGTATGTGTGGGAAGGATGGGAGTGATAAGAATGGGAAAAGGAAGTTAAAACTACAAAGGAGCAACATAATGGGGTGATTTGGTGTGGGAGTTAGTTGGCGCATGAGTTCTAACGCCCCCTGCCCTCAATGATAGATGATCGATTATCGATGATCTTCGAATGCTCCTCGTTTAAGAAAATTCTGCCCCAGCACCGTCGCCGAACCGGACCGGTGCTGGAATCGGTAACTTCTTTTCTGCAACAACCCCATGCTGATTCCTATCTTTGGTGGCTTCCAGGCAACCGCAATATCGGTTCTGCCGCCCATGGGCCGACATGTGTGCCCCAGATTTCGATTTGCCAGCACTATGTGTGACAACTGTGAATTATGGTCCGATCGCTCGTATCGAAAATGTGTAAGATAAGCCAGGACAAGATTGGCGAATTCAGGGTTGGAGCTTTGTAAAAATAGCAGCGATGGTTCGCAGTCTTGCATGCCAGAACTTGAAATGCTTCCATATCCCAGAGGAGATGGGTGCTGGTCTAAGCTGCTCATAAGAAGGCCGTGGCCACCGAGTAACAGCGCATTCAACCAAAAATCACGGTCCTGAGGCTGGAGCAGACGGTATGCACCGGGCACCCTGACAGACTGAGAATGATAGCTAGCAGGTAGTCAATTGTTGTTCACAGTTAATTCGGGGTCAATTCGGTGGTGGGTTGTACGTTTTCTAGTATATTCCCTGTGAGCGACCTATTAGTTCTCTTCCCTTTCTCCGCCTTCTAAAATGTTTTCAGTTTGCAGGCCTCTATCTACTAGTCCCATGCCGTGATCGACCGGATCCAAACAACCATCTTTGGTTGGACTTGTGTTACGGACGCACGAACAACCAAATATGCAAACTGGACAATTTGAAATCACAATTGGCAAGGTCGCAGAACGCGGATGAGATGCGGTGTGGGGAGAGCTGTATCTAGGCTTGTTGTTCAACCGCAGGTCAAAAGGTTGAGAGCCCAGATGAACGATTGATTCAGACTGTTATGGTAAACATTTCCAAGAGGAGGTCTTTTGAAGATCTTTTGAAGATAAGGACCGGGGGGGAACGTCGAGGGGGCGTCTGTGTTCATGTGCTTTTTTTACCTACATTGACATTGTTCTTGGTGGTAACAGTCCCCCAACAGGGACTTGAGATCTGAAAGCAAATGCGGTTCTTACCTAGACTTGAATGGAAGCATGAGATATTGTAGACAGTACCGTTGCCCAGACGTATCAGGTTGTTTTTGGAATTTTGAATTTTAGTCGTGAGATACTTTGCTCGCCACAACCAAAACATTAGTTCATTGCTGTAGGCAGGAAGTACTCGCGGGTGACAATGAGTATACATCAGGAAAACCCTCCCGCCCTAAATTTGTTCAAATTATCTGTATTATCCAAATTTTCGATAATTGATCTAATTAGCATAATACCTATTAGATTGTTATGCCTGGATCATCATATACAGTGGCTGATATGTATGTGCAACTATTTTAAATACACAGACGGCACACTACACACACACATAGCGGACTCGCATCATTGAATGGCGCCACAGCAGCAGCACCTAGCTTGGACTGAGGTGAAGTCCCTAGTCGGCCTTGTATGTCGTCTGGAAGGTTGCCGACAGCGCCGAGCTTCAGCCTGGCAAGATCCATGGCAAGATCCCAGTCGAGCGATGTGTCTGGATCGACAAGCTAGCCCGAACCATTGAGTCGCCATCGTTGAGCGTTGTTTGGGACACGCTCAGACGGATGACTAGAAGTTTCGGTTTTTGACATGTCACTAAGATTCGTATGAACAGGCATTGCTGCTGAAAGTTTCTGGATCGAAGTTGGACGGGAGATGTAGGATGAGAGAGGTGGCGGCGAGTCTTGCGTGGATGAAACGTTCCAAGTCTTGAGGAATACATAAGAAGGTTGTCTAAAGAGATAAAGCATGGCTTACCTCAGGCGCGAAGTCTGGGCTCAAGTTGTGATGTTCAAGGGGACTTTGGGTCCAAGCAGGTGCACCCGTTGATTGTGATCGAGCTGGAATGGATTTTCTTGAGCCTGATTCGCGTGCAAAATACAAATTGTGTGTGGTCCGAAGATCCCTGAGCAGTGGGGAAGCGTGCTTTCAATTGCTGGAGCCTTAAGGACGAGAGCAGTGAAGGTCACAAATGAGTGCAACTTCATGCGGCAGAGGGCATATGCGATGAAATGCGGGAGCTTGACTTGGGAGTTAGAAGAAGATGGGGGGGTCGGCAGGCCTAAGTGTCGGAATGTCGAATCGACATGGCATGTCACGGTCACATGGGGGTGTGATGACAATCGAAGTCTCATGTACGATGTCTTCCTTGCAACACCACTCCTTCCTTCGGGTGCTTTGTATCGTGAGGTGAAGTTTTCTGGTTATTTTCGCGTCACCGACGATATAATGCCTAGACCAAAGATTTGATTGGATGGGCAGATGGACTGTGAGTCCATGATACGGGGAAGATGTAAGCCCGTTGGCTTACCTGCGTGCGAACATTCAGCATAAATACTGTCTGCGAGAATGAAGTGTGAGCTTTCTTTATAGCCGCCTTTTGGCGTGACAGTTAATGGACTATGGTCTTGACTACTTACAGAGGACAATGAAGTTGCGCGGCTTGGACACCATTGATGAAGAACACTTGAACATGGAAGTTAGGAACTGCGTGAACAGTAAATACGCGCTGCAGCCCACGGCATGCACAACAACCATCCTTGTCCCCTGTAGCCCGCCGAATCCCGAACTGAACATACCTTGCGGGCCCAGAGATGGCCTATACCAGGCGAAAGATTGGGACCTTGGTGGAAAGGACTATGAGTCAAATGGTGCTATCACCCGTGCTTTGAAGAATCAGGGTCCAAAGCAGCCATCAGGCTCATCGGGTGCTCTCCGTTCTTTGTTCTCCCGTTTGACACGGTCCAAAGCGTTAACCGAACAAGATTTGAAGCCTGTACCGGAGGGGATGAAACAACATCTTATGAAGAAATATGTCGCCATGGAAATTGCGGACAAGGTTTGCGAAGGCGTAGGGGGAGGGGGTGTCTTGTGGGGAAGAAAGTTGGAGGTTTCCAAAGTATGCCGCGTCTTGCATCTTTATGTCCCGTGTTTTGACGCAGTTTTAGCCACCAGCAATCCCGTTCGGACAGTCATTGTCGTTCACACGTATTCTGACGCCCGGGACGTCAACAAACGTGTTATTGTCAATCAGGACTAAACTTTCTTCCCCCTGCCTTCAGCTCAACAAAGGATGCCTTATAGCATCACCTTTGTGAGTGTGAATGGCGTGGGGAGGGGCACAAACTTATCAAAAGCCTGTTTTTGGCTCGTCCAAAACGGTTTGCAAGTGCTTGTTACAGTATGTGACGTTTCCCGGTAAGAGAACCTTGACGCGCGCAACTTGTCCTTATTTCTGACCATCATGCGGGGGAGCGGCGCAGTTGAACAGCTTCGTGTACATTTGCGCAAACATTCCATGCTCGGCGTCAATGGCGCAACGAATAGTAAGGACCTTGTTGGGGAAAGATGCTGCGGGCATCGCCAAAGAGGCGTTTACCCCAGCAATGACATCTGACACTCTTCCATAGGTTGGTGCGGCGCTCTCAACGACATATGCGAGGCCAGCCAATTATTTTTGTCGGATATGGCCAGGTTTGTTTGTTTTTCGTCCCAGCAATGCATAGCCGGTATTCTGACTGTTGCCACAGACATATACCGGCCTCCGTCAGCTGAGAGTTGCGAACGTGGTACGGGCAATACTTGAATGTATTGCATCACCCAGTTGATGATGCATCATGTACGTATCGCGCAAAGTATGACAGTGAATTTGGCTGTGGAGTACACTATTACCTTGCTAGATCATGATTGGAAACAAACAGCTACATAGGATGCCGGTTGTGAGCTGGGTGTACCTGCGGGGGGCAAGAACGACATGTTGAAACATTTAGTATTCGGTCGGCACAGAGTCCAGATGTATTTTGACCAGAAAACGAAAGAGCAACATACGCGCTGCTACCCGTTTGCGGGTTGCTGCGACAGCTTGGATGCCTGTGAGAGATCTTGCCTGAAGTACTGCATAAACGAGCAGTTGAGCATGCAACGGTTAGTAAACGAGTGTTAGTTCAATGGGGCTTCGGACACGCACATTGCATAGGGATATAGAGCATGCTGCCCTTGAACATGAAATGGGGCCGGGGGAACATGTTACACGGCGGGAAGCGGTTGGGACTGAGGCGCACATCAGGATAGGCAGGGGGGCAGGTTACAAAGCGGGGAGCGGAGCAAGTCCGACAGCAACCCCTCCTGGGCAGTACAGCCCAGGAATGCTCTGCCCAGTAAAGGGCAGAGGGGGGCGCCGTCCCACCTATCACATATCCAGCATAAGCCAGAGCCATCCCCCAATACAGGGGGATGCGTTCTAGGCGGTTGGGACTGGGGCGCGCACATCATGATAGGCCGGGGAGCAGGTTACAGGGCGGCGGGCGGCGCAAGTCCAACAGCAACCCCTCCCGGGCAGTACAGCCCAGGAATGCTCTGCCCAGTAAAGGGCAGAGGGGGCGCCGTCCCACCTATCACATATCCGGCATAAGCCAGAGCCATCTCCCCATACAGGGAGATGCGTTCTAGGGGGTTAGGACCAGGGCGCGCATCAGGATAGGCCTGTGGGCAGGTTGCAGGGTGGGGTGCAGTGCAAGTCCAACAGCAACCCCTCCTGGGCAGTACAGCCCAGGAATGCTCTGCCCAGTAAAGGGCAGAGGGGGCGCCGTCCCACCTATCACATATCCAGCATAAGCCGGAGCCATCTCCCAATACAGGGAGATGCGTTCTAGGTGGTTAGGACCAGGGCGCACATCAGGATAGGCCGGGGGGGGGGGGGGCGGGTTGCAGGGCGGGGTGCGGTGCAAGTCCAACAGCAACCCCTCCTGGGCAGTACAGCCCAGGAATGCTCTGCCCAGTAAAGGGCAGAGGGGGCGCCGTCCCGCCTATCACATATCCAGCATAAGCCGGAGCCATCCCCCAATACAGGGGGATGCGTTCTAGGCGGTTAGGACTGGGGCGCGCATCAGGATGGGCCGGGGAGCAGGTTACGGGGCGGGAGGCGAAGCAGGTCCAACAGCAACCCCTCCTGGGCAGTACAGCCCAGGAATACTCTGCCCAGTAAGGGGCAGAGGGGGCGCTGCCCCACCTATCGCATATCCGGCATAAGCCAGAGCCATCCCCCAATACAGGGGGATGCGTTCTAGGTGGTTGGGACTGGGGCGCGCGTCAGGATAGGCCGAGGGTGCATGTTACAGGGCGGTAACAAGCCAAAAGCAACCCCCCCGGGCAGTACAGCCCAGGAATACTCTGCCCAGTAGAGGGCAGAGGGGGCGCTGCGCTGTCTGTCACACTTCCAGCATACGCCGGAGTCATCCCCCCATACAGGGAGATGGGTGCTAGAAGGTGGGCATTTCAGCCGCGGAAATCCCCCAGAACTCAAGATCCCCCAGAACTCAAAGATGCGGCGGCGGCAGACCCTGGGGACATTGCACGACCATAGACAAGGGGACAGGCGGCAGTCCCTTTAAGGGACATGCACGTGCGAACAAAGACGGACACGGGATGGGGCGGTGAGCGGGAATAGAGGACGAAAGAGAGAAAAAAAAAAAAAAAAAAGGAAGGCAATGGGGGCGTACCTTGAGTCCACAGTGGAAACCAATCAAATCCTGAAGGACGGCGCGCAGAGTGCGCGTCACTGCGCTGGAAGTCGATGCAGGGAGGGGGCACAGTGGCCGCGCTGGGATGGTGGAGATCGAGATAGGCGGTGAGCGCTAGGGCGGTAGTAGGAGGGGGAGCAGGGCAGGAGCAGACTGGGCGCAAGTCGAAGTGGACGTTGAGCAACAAGGGAAAGCAGGGGCGGCGCTGAGTAGTTGGTGGTGAGAAAGTGGGAAAGAAAGAAAGAAAGGCAAAGGACTGGCGACGAAAGAAAATCAACCATGACCAAACAAAGGCAAATAGTACACGTATGCGTGGAATTTGAAAGAACAATCAACATAATACAAACAAATAACGCGTACATCACGTGATGCGTGGCAAATGCGAAAACGCGCCAAGGCGCACACCCGTAATGCACCGCCGGCATTCCACATTATCTCAATTATATACAAGTCCCTAATTACCGTAGCCGATTGATTACAAAGTTGTGGCGTATGTATTGTGCTTTCATCTATGTACATAGCGTCCTCTATTTAGCTGAACTATACCAATATCAATACATAATTGATAGTGAGTTTTCAACCCGCAACACGAAAAAGAACATAGGGCGAGACAGGACCGTTAGTTAGGGTGCTCGACAATACAAGGTTCAATGATTGTATAACATTGTTTGTACCGCCTCATGGTGAGTCGCTTCAAAAATCACAACGTCCACAAACACTCTCAGATCCACAACTGTCATTACAAACTGCCCCCACTTGCCTTCCGTCCCATACCAGCACCGCAGGATGCCTGTCACAAACCACACCGTCAGCATGTCCACCGAGGACAAGTCTTCCTCGACTGCAATAGAACAGGCGGAAGAATGCGATGGATATGAGCATAACGAGGTAAGTTGAAAACACATTGTATTCCAGTTCAGTACTAATCTAATAACAACTTAGTTCTGCATCGTGTGCAGGGACGGAGCATGCGGAAGCGATGCTCTGTTATGCTGCAACTACTGTCCTCGCGTGACCTGTCAAGAATGCATCAACATACCGGATGACATCCGACAAGTTGTCGGGGATCCTAACGTTGCATTCAAGTGCATCATCTGCCACATTGGCGAGCAAAAGGAGCAGGGGCAGGAGGGGCCATACTTTGTAAGTGATTCAACTCCTACACCTCGATTGCCCTACAATTGATATTCTACAGGGTTTCTACCGGAATGGACGTCCCATACTCAATGGATTCCTCCCCATCCTCGGCGCCCTCGAAATTTCGCTGAAGGCCCAAATCTCTTGCGCGCCAGTTCTCTTTCTCCACCTCATTTTGGTGGACTTCGACGCCGTCGGCAGTCCTTTCGAACTCGCGTACCACTTCCTCAAGCCGTACTTTCCGCAAGGTGGTCTCCAATATCAAGAAATAACGTTCGACGTTGCCACGAATTCCAGGGCTGCGACATACGAACGTAAGGTTAACAAACTGTTACAGGACCTCCTCCTGCTGCCTCGATGGGCTCGCGTCGTCATCGCCATTACGAATCATGCGGACGACACCACCGGCGGGCAATTCGCAGGATATGAGGGAAAGGAATACGTCTCTGGAAAGGTACACCATGTAAGCACCTGTTATTTCCCTCGAACGTCAGGTATCTATTGCTAATATCATTCCGAAGGTCCTTGACCTCCTCCTAGAACCGTGGAAAGAGATCACAGATCGCGCTCAAGAGTCATACCTCTGGTTTTTCTCCTGCGGCGGCATGGTCAACATTGCTTGCTCATTTGCCAACTTACAAAAATGGCTAGCTTGGTAAGTCCTCAACCATCGCTTTGCTTGCCGCATGCTGACAGACAGCACCGCAGCCATAAGATCACCGCCACCGTTGCCTTCAGCGCGGCCACATTCCATCCCAGCTTCACCTCCCACCTCCTTCTTGCGTTCGTCGAGCTCGTCCTCATCGAACGATGCCCGATTGTCATTGCATTCCCTCACATGCTAGGGCAGTCGCACAAGCTGGGACGCCACACCGACATCCTGTTCATGCACAGGGACTCTGTGGGTGGAGCGCTGACCGTAGTGAAATACAGCTGGGGGAACATCGACGTACGCCCTTGGGGCCAGTACTTGCCGATTCAGTGTCCTAACTGTGGTTGGACAAACGCTTGGCGATCTGCGAACAAGGCGAGGGTATACAAATTCGAATGTAGGAATGGTCGCTGCAGGCATTCTTTCACGTTCCATCAACCTGCAGGGTCGAAGATTTTGGGACCGGGCAAAACTACTAGCAGCTGTTGGTTAGAAATACCCTTGCCCACCACAATGGCATAGGCAGATAGGATTGTATATACTCAAGTTGCAGCATTTCCATGGCTCATACACATATCATTTTACTTAAGTGTTCTACGAACCATTTGTGTTAGCAGGAAATACTTGGTACATTGTATCTACCTTTGCTTGCACTATATCGAAAGTGATTGCGATTAACAGAATTTGCGTCCTGAAGGAAGTCCGTGAGGGTGTCAATAGGCATGATTTGTGTGCGAAGATGAACGCATACAAGCAAATGACAATAGCCGGCTACAATGAGCGGACTATGCAGTCAGAATCTTCCCGTGTTAGATCGGTCCAAGGGCTCCCGTTCGTTCTGGTTCTTTGGAACGCCGACCGGCATCCGACTGGTGCATATATATATATCGAGATCACAAGTTTCTCTTGTTCATTCCCCCCACATCGTTGTGCACGAAACTCAGTAAAATATATTTCTGATACAGCAAGTGATAGCAAGACATTCAACAGCGGATTGAATTGGGCTAACGAGGGGCAGGTGGGAATTGTGGCGCAAACGCGCCCCAGGCGCGGTGCATTGGCTAACGGAAATGAAACGACAGCAGGATGTTGCCAACCAAACATGGACATACGAAGTTTACACATTATAAAGCCGCGCCTGCATTCGGATCTCCTACTTCTTAATTTCCTTGCATATCATCAACGCCATTTTCTTCTTCAATCAGTTCAAATGGCAAGATCCTGCGCAACAGCACCAGGTAAGGTTTGATTGATTGCCTCATTATCATTTCGCCCCAAGATACATTCACAAATGAATGAGACTGACGTTGGGCTTTCAGATCACCCCATCCCGCAGACAGGCGGGGAATGCCCCGCAGGCACGGTGTTTCGCCCCAAGACGCATTCACAAATGAATGAGACTAACGTTGGGTTTACAGATCAGCCCATCCCACAGACAGGCGGGAAATGCCCGGCAGGCACGGTGTTACTGCAAGATCCGATCTTAGAGTTTTCGATTCCAACCGTACGCGCTGAATGTGTCTTCGATCTAAGGGCAGGCCGATACACATACGGCCCGCCGGAAGAGGTAGACATGGTGGACTATGAGACGCAGGAAGTCTACCAAATCTACCGGGTGCCCGTACTAAAGGATCGGAACGTCGAAGGATACATACCACTTCCCATGCGATATCACGCAGTATGGATGGAGTTGTCGTATACCATAGTTTTACATACTAACATGTGGAGGCTTTGGGCGGGGGAGCAGAAGAAAGCAAAGAAGAACAAGAAGGAGCAAGCAGCGAGTCTCCGGCAGACTACCGGCACTATGGTCGCCCAACACATGTACGCTCGTTTGTTGGCCGTCGATGAGTTGCTCGAATGGCCAGGCAATGGAAATGGCAGGATCAGTGTCCTTGACGAGTGGAAGATTCGCTTCACCCGTGATTGGTTCAACACTACGTATGACAAGGTCAGTGAGGATGGAGACAAATACCTGAAGGCGGATCCCATCAGGGTAGAAAATAAAACACTTTTTGGTGAGTTCGTCCTGTTGGCTCGTGCTCTGAGATCCTCTAACAACGGTCATGTAGAAGAGGGATGGGAATTAGATGAACAGAGCAAGGAATTGCTGTCGCCGCCCGAGGACCTCCAAGATTGGTTCGAAGGCGAGGTCAAGGGACTGGATAAGGCGTTCCAAAAAACTTTGAAAAAGCAGGCCTACGATTTGTTGAACGAGCCTGACAACTACTATCAGGCCCAATTCGACGATCGAGCGAGGTTACCATCGAGGTGGCACGAGGGACACGAACCTGCTCCTTATTTCTGGAGCAAGTCACAGTGGGACTGGCTCGCAAAAGGTGCGAATGTTGTGGTATCTGCATCTCCCTGCTAACATCTTCTTATGCGGCAGGCAATAACTTCAGGCAACAACCGATTGATTTGTTGATGTACTGCCTCAAGGAGGACCAGGGATGCACCAAATTCCACCAGTTCGCACAAGTCCTGAAATCCCTGGTCAGTATTGTTATTCCGGAGCCCAGCTGGCCTGGGATTCTTAACATTGCAAATAAACTGTGGATGGGAGAGATGTTGTGGAGGGAATTTGTCGACGACTTCATTGACAACCACTTGGATGCTGGTAATGTCACAACATTTAAGTTATCGGAAGATCCGGGTATGCTGTGATCGCATTGTATTCATTGACTCTTATTCACCATCAATTTTTTTCTTGTAGCGCCCACAAATCCGTTTAACACGCTAGAGGCTCGTCTGGTCCTAGAAGGTTACGTTCGCCGTCAGAACTTAAAGACGGATTTACCCTGGGATGCTTTAGATGGCGTCCTATGGCGATCCCTGACCAGATTGTCATCAGGGATGAAAAATCAGAAGGTATGGGAAGATGTTGTCATGAAGATTGTGGCAGGCAAGCCTGTTGCAAAAGTCTTGTCAAGAGTCACAAGGCGGATTAGTGGTTAGTGACTGTTTATTTGTCTGATTCTCAATTTCGCCTGATTAACGTCTACAGAAAACGAAAACCTGCAGAATGCAGGGGATGACACGGCAGATGTAGACAATCAGCCCCATGATCATGATTTCGAACGTGACACAGTAGACAAGGGCCCTGGAGGGGAACAACGAGCGAGTTCTGGTGAGCGGTACCTTGCAGCCTGTCTGACAACTAATTAAAACGTACTTAGGGCCATCCGGCGATGACGCTCGCATGGACGTGCATGATGTCCCACATCATTCTATGCCCTCTCCCGACGTAGTACAGCCAGATATCTCCGCTGGGGACCGGTCAAACGGTGAGATGTCCCATGCCAATCAAAAGGTTCCTCTTGTTTAAAAGATGATGTTGCTGACTGTACGATAGCAATGGAAGTTATCACAAATCCTCTTGCAGACAGAGAGCACCAGACAGATGTTGTAGAACCTGCCGCTGGGCCGAACAACGACTCTCCCGACCAAGATATGGATACGTATCAGCCGCCGCCCCCCGTTGCACCGCCTCCATATTCGGCAACCCATCCCCCAATTCCTCCCCCAACAACAGAAGTGCCTCAGGGTGATGTCGTGAAGGAGGCTGTAAGGCAGCTTACTGAATACCTGCGAGACCACTCCTTGGAGCAGTATCAAGCCACGCTGAGACGATACTACCCGGCTGATTGTGCAGCAGTCATTAAAGACTATGTGCAAGGCATGGCGGACGATGATCTGACACAGGAAGGATGCTTGCATGGACATTTTATTCGCTTCTGCGACTCATTGGAGGCATCGAAGGCAAGGAAAGAGGCAGGAGAAATGATACAACAGCTCCTGTGATATCGTACTTCTGCGTATCGACATTTTGACCTGTAATGTAACACTACGTCGTATGTATGAATCTTTATCAGCCAACCGTCCCATGTTTTGTGTACAATTGAAATGAATGGCATGGATCGTCCTTTCATTTCATAAAGGTCGTGCGGATTGTAGGAAGGAGGGGCACGTTTCGCATGATTGCATCAAGTAGGTCGATTATATATGCACCCGTCTAAGATGTTAGACAGTGTTGTATTACAACTTCATATTGGTGTTTTTCTTTTCTATTGCCAGGCCCAGGATGTCGTATTATGTCGCTGGGCCCGGACCGGTCTGAACAATGCCGTTTATCGGTTTTGATCGGATCTTCAAACGATGTGTATGGGACTATATATGACGCCAAAGATGAACATCAACAAACTTCTACCGTCTTACTGCCCATCAAATCACTTGCCAATCACAAATATCCACATGGCTCCCAAAAAAAGAACTGCTAAGCCTGCCAATCTACCCAAAAAAAGGGCCAGGGTTGGCGCAATCGCCAGCGGCATTTCAAGAGCTGCCCCAGGCGAACTTGACATAGGCAGTATGACAGGTTTGGCAGGTAGTGCTAGTGCCCCATTGAAGGTCTCCAGTATTTTCTCGGACCAGGAGTCCGCAAATCAGGATTCTGGTGATACGAATGCTGAGCCCCCAGTCAACCTACCCCTCACAGTCGCACCTGTCCCCTCCCCAACACCAGGTTCATACGTCGGCACTTTTTGTCACTTTTGCTGTGACCTTGCGTCCTCCCCTCACAAACATGAATGCGTTCAATGTGGTGCCATCATATGCGAGCAACATGTTGCCCGCGGCAGTGGGTGCATTTATTTGAACACTGTGGAGGTTGCCGCCAAAGATTTCTACTGCCCCATCTGCTCAAGGATAGTGGATGGCAAGGACGCGCCGTTGCGCTACGCATTCATCGGGTTTGGTAGACGAAAGAAGGTGAAGATGGCCTGGCCTATGGCCATCATTAATCTCACCCTGGAGTCGATGAAAGATGATTATTTGGCAAGGACTGTCATTCTTGATGCGGAGAACCATTTCCGTTCGTTTCAAGGCAATGTAAGTGCCATTAGTATTACTACAATTCCCAGTCATAACATCTAAAAAATGTGCTTCGAAGTTGTACACATCCTCTTTGCATATGAGGGGCGGCGCCCATTTGTCCGAGCAGAAGAAGCTTGTACAGGGAGTGGATTTCATTGATCGCAACGTCCTACTTGGATTCCCACCCAACATCTTTCTTGTCGTGGATACACATTCAGATGAATACACTGGAATGCTGCAGCACACCGGAGGTCACAGTGGGGGAACTAGTACCACAATCACGGAAATCCTCACTGCCTATCTTGGGGCGCCATTTTTGAAAGCCATGAACGCATCTTCGACGGCCGCCAGAGACAACAAGGTTGTGATGAAGACTGCCAATGGGAAAGTGCCTTGGTGCGACCTCTCTCCCAGTGCCAGAGGCGGGAGGAGGGGACTATTCATGGTGAGCTGTGGCCCTGCCATCAGGGTAAGCCACCACTTCGAGGCCGTGAAAACATTGGTGCAGAGGTGAGTACCTCATTCTACATTCCTACATCTATACTTACCTTTTTGCAGCAATATGGTAGATTTCGTTCTTGCATTCGGAGGATCGGGCACTTTGCCCTCCATGGTGTCCATCACCGTGCGCTCGTTCATTGCTGAGACTGGCGTCTTCGGACGCACCGACGTTTGGACGGCAGTTTGCGACATGCTGTCCTCCTCAAACGACTTCCTGGACTACACCACAGCTGTGGTGGTGTATGCATCGACAGTGGAGAATAAGCGCGTTGTCGAAAGTCGTCAGATTGGCAAGGATATCCCAGGAGTACGGGCCTTTGGATATGAATTCAAGGCCTGTGCTACTCCTGGATGTCAGCCAGCGCCGGCTGATATGCGTGTCCACAATCATGGTCCCAAGGTCCAACTTCGGTGCCTGAAATGCTCCTGGAAGTCGTCATCAATCAGGACTGATATAGACAACAAGCATTTCACAAAGGTGAACAGGGTCTTAGCGCCTCAGCTGTTCTGGCATCATTTTCCCGCTTCAACCAACTTGCAAGACTTCTTCGTGGAAACCACTAACGCTGCCAACGAACTCGCTGCCAAGGAACGCGCTGCCTCCCAAAATCACAAGGGGAAGAAAGGGAAGAAGAACAAACGTCAGATGAACATCGCCGCTAACATTCAGGAGGATACAGAGATGTTGGAAAGCAAGCCCGATGTCCCGTCCATGGAGATCGACGATTGATGTCTCACTTCCCTGCCGCAGCCGCTAAACCATCATCGTTGTAGTAATAATTTCGCTCATGTTCTTGCGCAAATGGACTGACTGGGCGGCGTTGATATATATGTAGGATCTTATATACATCGCCTTGGCCTCAAATGAATGTATACAACTGACGTCTCTACACCACCCAGTTGGCTCGAAGCTCTTGGCGATCTTGCGCGCTATCGTATGGCCATGGCCGCAATAGTTACCAACAATCAATTGAAAGGCTCGGCACTAACCACAGATGCTGTTTCGAAGTCGCAGATGAGCGTCAAATCATCTTCTGATCGTCCTGTTACACAGGTTGACAACTCGCCAAGTCCGAGCATTGGCATTGTGGCTGCATGTATGATGGATGTTGAGCCTGAGAAGCAACACTGGCGAAGTATTGCAAAGAAGTGGTACACTATACATAATTGTATCCTACGTGCTACTTTAGAAACAGGCATTTTCTCGTTTCCGCAGTGAACAATTGGCATCACGCAACTCATCTATGTATTTGGCTAGCATATACAAAATTTACATCGCCAGTATTTCTACCCGTCCGAGGGTACCCAATGCAATGGTTTTCAGAGTAACATGCGTAAAATGAGAACGGAGAACGGTTGAATGGCAGCACAGGCATCGCACCATGTATCACAAGAGACTGTCTTGCACACGCTCCGACTCTTGCCTGGCCTCTATTGCTCTCAGGCCCTGTACAAAGGTATGCAGCGCCGGTAATGGAGGGTCAGCAGTGATTAAATTCCACACTCTGAGAGTGTCTATGAATTGCTTGATGATGGCACTGTGATCCGCGGGGAATGCCTCTTGCAGGTTGGATTCCAACTGATCGACGGACTTATGTTTCCGGAATTGTTCATAACAATAAAGAGCGATCCTTTCTGGCACAGTGAGTGGGGGAGTTGGAGGGCCAGGTAGATCCGTAGGGATTGAAGAATGAGGGTGCCGAGGCTGGTCTTGGCCAGCTGTGCCTTCTGTCCTTTCCTCCGCAAGACCCTGCACCATGCCATTCTCCGCAGGACCCTGCGCCACGCCATTCTCCGCAGAACCCTTCACGATGTCTTCCATCACTACAGGCAAATGTTGAACAGTTTCTTCCATAGAATGGATTGAACTTTCTCACCTGTATCCTGGGGTCTCTCGTTTGGACGGCCGTTGTCAGGGTTATCCCCCTCCTGCATCTGTATATCAGGACCTGATGGACCTACGCATGGTCGGATAGCTGGTCCAAGCAGACTTGAATGACACTCACCAACGCTCGCTTGCTGTTGGCTTCCGACGTCAGGGTCTGGGTCGCCAGTTGCGTCTGCATTGTCGTCATGATTGTCTTCCTCAGCCTGTTCAGCAGCGGCATTTTGCAACCGTTGCTTCCCTATGGACCAAAGGTAAAATCAACACTTCGACTCCAGACTTTGACCAACACACACCAGCCAACTGGGACTTCTTCCACCAAGGCCCTGCTGCTTGCAACACCTCAGTTACCTTCTGGTTTGACACAATCTGCAAGATAATCCATTCCCAGCCAGATTTGTACTTCATGGGTGCAACTCTGCCCAGAGCATTCCAAAGAATATCATCTTTAACATCCCATGGTTGATTATTTTTTGCCTCTTTCTGCCGGCGAATGTATCCTTCCAGAACTAAACGAGCCTCCAACGTATTGAATACATTTTCCGGGTCTGGAAATGGCAGAATGATGAATGATACAGAAATGAAGAAAGGTAGCGATAAATAAAAGGTACCTCGTTTTTCTGATGTCTGGGCTATGACTCCATCAACGTTATCGAAATGATCTTGCATAAGGGCGTCCACAAACTCCCTCCATGTCATCTCCCCCGTCCAAAGCTGTGTTAACAGGGATTCGGCTTCCTGCCGCCGTGGTCTTCGGACGATGATGGAGAGGAGGGAATTTAGCTCCCTCATCAGCTGCTGAGAGTGGGTATAGGGCGGGTCCGCTGTGATGCAGTAGTACAGGAGGTCGATAGGCTTTTCCCACAAGTTGTTGCCTGCAACACACGATGATCTTAGGTCCTGCACTGGACAACATCCAACCGCTCATTCTCGCACCTTCTGCCACCCAGGTCCACTGTTTGACTGTCCAGAAATATGGAGTTGGTTGGTGTCCCTCATGCCACCTTGCTGGCAGCCTTGCCTCATCACTATACTGACGCTGGCTGTAATCGTTGGTCGGTTTCAATGATGCTAGAGCCTGCTTTTTCAACTTTGTCGCGAATAACCTGTCAAGGCCGTTGATTTCGCCGTAAAACCAATGCTTCAGGTTCTCAGGAGCCCTCAACAGCTCGATGCCCTCCTCATGTATGTTCCAGTCCCCCTCTATATGTACATCATCAAATCATGCTAGACATCGCACGACCACAAGATTAACTCACCGAACAGTTCTTGGTTTTCGGGGCTGACAGGATCTGCATTCAAGAACTTGGCCCCTGAGCCAACGATGTCATCATATGTGGAGGTGAACCAGTCCCTTGTCCAACGAATCTTCCACTCATCGAGAATTCGGACGTGCTCTTCCCCGGGCCTTGTGGTATCATGTGATAAGCTAACTAGCTCGTCCACAGCAAGCAATCGAGCGAGCATGTGTTGCGCGACCATGGCACCGGAATTCTGCCGCAAAATCGCAGCCTTCGCCTTCGATGTCTTCCTTGTACTTTCCTCCTCCTCCTCGGACCAAAGTCTCCACATATGTGTGTAAAGAACGATGGTGTATGATAACTGTAACCATACCCCCACATATCGCATGGGCAGCGGTACATATCCTGTTACCCTCTTGCCCTTCACAACGGGCACGCGGCAGGTTTGGAACTTCTCTCCAGAGGCGAAGTCAATGACATCCGTTACTTCCGGTGCTCGGTATGACACCTCAGTTGCACTCTCGTCCAAGATCCATTCTGCGTTGACAAGAGGGATTGCAAAGAAGGTGATGGGTTTTGCCAGCGGCACTGTTGCAGCCGGTCTTTTCCCAATGTTCGTTAACATGGCTTTTCCTGAAAAGCGGGCCGTTATCATATTAATGTATTAGCGTATTAATGCGCGATAGGGAAACGCCATAATAGGGGTCAATGACGACCTTACCTCTACTGTTGACGTTTGACATTTTTAGATGTATATGACAGGGCTGTTGACAAAACGAGGCTTCAAAGATGCAGGGCATCACAAACGTGCCCTGGCTATATATCCAAACAATGCTAATGTGTTTATGTTTGGCACCCTTCCACTTTGGGTGCATATCGCGCTGGCAAATCAATCAGAAATCAGTCCCCTTGCCCAGGTGGGCGTTGCCCTTGACCCTTTTACAAACAGTTTCCGTCAATGCAGGGAATTAAATATGTTTCGTACTTGGTATTCTCATTCGATGTCTACAACAGGTTCAATGATAGTGTAGCAGAGCAGCATCGGTAGATACTGTGACAGTCCGTACTGCTTGTCGGTATGTATAGGGGTTAATTAAAAGCATAATCATAACATATGCAGAAACGTGCCCTTCCTTCTTACAATCCTCGACCTTTATGAAATGTAAGAAAAACCCATGCCATTCATTTCCATTGTATACAAAAATGGGGCATTTGGCTGATAAAGATGTAGTGTTACATCACAGGCGATAACGTCGATCCACAGACGTACGATATCACAAGAGCTGGTGCATAATTTCTGCCACCTCTTTCCTCAGGCGTGGTTCTGCACTCCCATACCCACTAGTAGCCTGGAACAGGGAGTTGGTCTGTGTAATGAAAAAGTCCGCAGTCAGCATTCACATTCACATTTACAACAACGGGACTGTCATTATATGTCGCCTGATTGCAGTTACCTTTGTATTGGCTTATGTGGGTCGGAGAGAGAGTTTACATCAGAGAGAGAGAGTCAATTTTTATATTTCTATATTGCAACAAACAAATAAAACCGTCAAGACACAGTGCCCTACTGTAAGGGCTGTTAGCCTGGCAAAGTAGTATTCCACGATGCAACTGTGTCCTGCGCAACACTGTATAAGGTGGCCGTATACATTTTGAGGGGTATTGGTGAAGTGTTAGCGCGGTTTCAGTGTTGGCAGACGTCGATTTGTGAGGGCGAAGCGTCCAATCTGTGATGCCGCATCTCTGTTCTGGATCTTCGCTGGTTTGTGTGGCCTCTTTTGCGTAAGCGCCTCAAATAGATGAAATATAACTTAGTTATATTGGGCTCAATGCAGGGTAGAGCTAGTATAGCGGCGCCAAACTACAATTCAGCATACAGCAGAATTGCCTCCGCCTACAAGGCGACCCGTGCTAGACTATCGGTGTGGCAAATGTTAGTATATCCCCGGAATCCAAAGCTGGCAGTCCTTGAAACTGGCGTAAATAAAGATATTCCCCAGAAATCGAAGCACCGGCGGCAACCCCGCCTGAGCAGTACTGCCCAAGCATACTCTGCCCGGTACGGGGCAGAGGGGGCGCCGCCCCGAATCTCACAACTCCAACGTACGTTGGAATTGTCCCCTCGTACGAGGAGACAAATGCTAGACGGTTGGCGCTGTAAACAAAACATATTCCCCAAAACCCAAAGCCGGCAGTCCTTGCAGGATCATGGCACAGGCGTATGCAAATATATCCCCCAGAACTCAAAGCCCCAGCAGCAACCCCGCCTGAGCAGTACTGCCCAAGCATACTCTGCCCGGTACGGGGCAGAGGGGGCGCCGCCCCGAATCTCACAACTCCAACGTACATTGGAATCGTCCCCCCCGTACGAGGAGACGAGTGCTAGACGGTTGGCGCTGTAAACAAAATGGATCCCCCAGAACCCAAAGCCGGCAGTCCTTGCAGGATCATGGCACAGGCATATATGTAAATCTATCCCCCAGAACTCTAATCTCCAGCAGCAACCCCGCCTGAGCAGTACTGCCCAAGCATACCCTGCCCTGTACAGGGCAGAGGGGGCGCCGCCCCGAATCTCACAACTCCAACGTACGTTGGAATTGTCCCCTCGTACAAGGAGACGAGTGCTAGACGGTTGGCGCTGTAAACAAAATGTATCCCCCAGAACCCAAAGCCGGCAGTCCTTGCAGGATCATGGCGCCGGCTTATATAAATATATCCCCCCAAAATCAAAGCACCGGCGGCATCCACCCTTGAGCAGTACTGCCCAAGCATACTCTGCCCGGTACGGGGCAGAGGGGGCGCCGCCCCGAATCTCACAACTCCAACGTACGTTGGAATTGTCCCCTCGTACGAGGAGACAAGTGCTAGACGGTTGGTGCTGTGCACAAAGTAAGCCCCCGGAACTCAAATGCAGCAGTCCCCTGAAAGACATTGCACAGCTAATACAAACGGATGAGCGGCAGTCTCTGCGAGACATCGCACAGCTCGTGGGGGGAGATGCAAGAGGGGGCGACGGTTAGCAGGGCCGCAGGACACAAAGAAACACACCCCATTTCCAAAGGTGGACCCTGGGCGCGCCAATGAGTGGCAGGGAGAGGACAAGGGAGAAGGACCTTGAGTGCGCTAATGAGCGGCAGGGGGTAGACAAGGGAGAAAAAGGACCTTGAGTGCGCCAATGGGTGGCAGGGAGGAGACAAGGGAGAAGGAGGACCTTGGGCGCACCGATGGGTGGGAGAGACAAGGGAGAGAGGGAAGAAAGAGGACTTTGGCTGCGCCAATGAGTGGCAGGGAGGAGACAGGGGAGAAATAGGACCTTGGGCGCACCAATGAGTGGGAGAGAGAAGTGAAATGGCAGGCGCACTGATGAGCGGGAGGTAAAAGACGCGGGAGAAGGACGTTGGGCGCGCCGATGAGTGGCAGGGAGGAGACAAGGGAGAACAAGGACCTCCAGTGCGCCAATAAGCGGCAGGGAATAGTCAAGGGAGAAAGAGGACCTTGGGCGCACCAATGAGTGGGAGAGAGAAGTGAGACGGCGGGCGCGCTGATGAGTGGGAGGTAGGAGACCTTGGAGAAGGACGTTGGGCACGCCGATGAAGTGGGAGGGAGGAAAGACTTGGAGGAAAAAACGACAAAAATCAACCATGCACAAATAAAAGCAAATAAACTCACGCCACGCAATCAACCATGAAAACAATGATCAAATACAAACAAATAGCGCGTGAATCATGTGATCTACAGCAAACGCTTCACGGTTTTCCACATTCACATCACGTCACATTCAGCTAACTCATCCGCCGGCTCACAATATATAGGTGAATCATGTATTTTAAATAATCCTAATACATAGCGACCTACTGTAGATCAACTTAGGTAGAAAATGAATTATATATGTAACGTTTCAAATGAGAACGCGCGAGGGAATTAAGCGCAGCTATGAAATAAAGTAAAACATGGGCCAAGCCTCATGGCAAATCTGCGAACGATGAGCCGGGGTTTGAATATTGTATACCAGTATTTGCGTGACCTCAAGGCAAGTCAATTAAAAGACCTACAACGTCCACAAACACACACTGCTTCACATCCTACATTGCAAAGTCTACAACGCGCCCCTCCCTCATAGTGTCAAAATGCCCGAGATGAAGACTACAGCAAGGAAGTCCACCGGAGGAACCGCAGAACGAATGTTGCTCTCAAGCACCGTCGACCATACTTCAGTTGCGCAGACTCAAGATGTAGATGAGGATGAATTGGAGCATAACGATGTATGTCAAACATCCCTCCCATTCGAGATCAAATGTCGCTAACCAAACAACACCTACTTAGTTCTGCATCGTTTGCAGAGATGGATCAAGCAACAGAATTTTTTGTTGTAACGAATGTCCGCGGGTCACTTGTATCGAGTGCTTGAACATTCCCAAGAACTGCCAAGCGGCGGTGACGGCTGCCGACGTCTCCTTCATTTGCATCGTCTGTCACGTGAGGGAGCAAAAGGACAATGATATTCCAGCGCCTTATTTTGTAAGTTATTACATCTATATATACCTTGACTGACGATTTATCTATTCAACAGGGATTTTACAAGGACGGAATTCCCTTACTGGCAGAATTCCTGCCCATCCTCGCCGCCGTCGAAGTGTCGCTTAAAGGAGAGATGTCTGCAGTACCCGTTCTGTTTCTCCATCTCAAACTCGTGAATTTCGACGCAACCAGTGGGCCATTCGAACTGGCCTACCATTTCCTCGAACCGTATTTTCCACGGGGCGGGTTGCAGTACCAGGAGGTTACTTTTGATATCGCGACGCAATCCAAGCTCGCCACATATGAACAAGACGTCGGCAAGCTTTTGAACGACCTCCTGCCTCAGCCGCGTTGGACTCGCGTTGTGATTGCCATTACGAATCATTCGGACAGCGACAGCGGGGATCTCTTTGCAGGATACCGAGGCAAGAACTACATTTCTGCGACGGTACAAAATGTAAGTACGGTTCCCCTTCCCTTGCAGCAAAACCATTCATCGTTCATATGTTTCCAAGTTCCTTGACGTCCTCTTCAAACCATGGAAGGCTCTCCTCGATCGTGCACAGGAGTCCTATCTCTGGCTCTTTTGCTGCGGCGCCCTTGTCAACAAACCTAAGTCCTCCGCTGCATTACGAACCTGGGTCGACCGGTACGTCTTCTACGTTCATTGTTCATCAAGAATTCAGACTTACCCTAGCCTAGTAACCCAATCACTGCAGCCATTGCCTTTACCGCAGTCCGATTCCAGCCCGGTTTCACATGCCATCTGCTACTTGCATTCGCAGAGCTCGTCCTTATCGAACGATGGGAAATCGGCATCGCATTTCCTCACATGCTTGGCCAATCCAACCGACTTGGACGGCACACCGATATCGTTTTAATGCTGAAGAAGAACAGGGAGTTGGGATCGCTTACGGTGGTAAAATTTAGCTGGGCGAATGTCGACAACCGTCCTTGGGGGCAGTATTTGCCCTTCCAATGTCCAGGATGCGGATGGGCACAGGCTTGGCGATCTGCGAGCAAGGCAAGGGTTTATACTTATGAGTGCAAGAACGATCATTGCGGACAGACGTTCACATTTCATCAACCTCGTGGATCAAAGATGTTGCCACAGGGGAAGACGGGCAGCAGTTGCTGGCTATCTATTCCCCTGTAAGGACGTCGGTAGTCAGCAGGACTTATGATCAGAGGTTGCCATTCATTGCACTACAATCGGTCTTTCTGCGTACATATATAGCTTGGGCCGCCCTTGTTAGTATACAATATTCGTCAATCTATGAACTGTTTTACAACGCGCTGTGAATTATGATAGTTGAACAAGCGTGCATGTGTCATTGTGAAATACCAGGAAAGGTTCATTACTCAAAGACCATAATGCCCATGCTATCGCCCATTCCTCGATAGCCAACATAGCGCGAGGATAATAAGTAATGCGTCCTGATAACCATAGCCAACAACATGACTCTGAAATAGAGACTGAATGATTCAGGGTTCAAAAGCATTGCATGTGTGCCACAATCGCCCAGGGTACAGGGGATTGCCTGCGGGAAATCGACCAAAACGAGAGCATGTAGCGCCAAACAGGAACATACGCGATTTATACAATATATAGCATAGCCAGCATTCGGATCTCATGCTTCTCAATTTGTCTCTACTCACTTCATCATCATATTTGATTTTCATCTTTACAAATGGCAAGAGCTCTACCGACAGCTAAGCCTGGAGGCAAGCTTTCCTTGAAGATTCGAATATCTTGCCAAGTATTGAATTCTCAAAGTTACAGACTCTGACTCCTTAGATCCTGCAAGGCCAACCACCGGCGGAAAACGCCCAGCAGGAACAGTTTTGTTGCAGGAACCACGGACATCGGCAAGAGTTCTACCGACAGCTACAGCTCCAGGTAAGCTTTCCTTGCCTGAAGATTCGAATATCTTGCCAAGTATTTAATTCTCAATGTTACAGACTCTGACTCCTCAGATCCTGCAAGGCCAACAACTGGCGGAAAACGCCCAGCAGGAACAGTTTTGTTGCAGGAACCACTGACATCGTTCCTGATCCCTAACGTTCGTGCGGAATGCATCATCAAGGATGAAACAAAGTTATTCAAATACTGCCAACCGGAGGACGTAGACGCCGTGGACTGCGAAGATGACGAAGTCACACAGACCTGCCGGATTCCTGTTTTCCAAGGAAAGTCATTCATCGGATACGTGCCCCTGCCACCGCGATACAGGGCGGTCTGGCTCCAGTTGTCTTACTACATAGTTGTCTATACTCAGATGTGGAAACTTTGGGGGGCGGAGGCGAAGTCAGCCAAGAGGCAAAGTAAAGCAAAGACTACTCTTCTGCGTCAGAGCACCGGTGCTCTTGTGGCCCAGCACATGACGGCTCGGTTGATGGCGGTGGACGAATTGGTCTCCCTGGCTCACGATCTCTCGACGCCTCGTAAAGAGAGGGTCCGCATTCTTGACGAATGGAAAATTCGGATGGATCGTGATTGGTTCAGCAAGACTTACGAGCAGGTTGCTGTTGGTGGAGCCCAATTCCTCAGCATCGATCCAATTAGAGCAGAAAACAGAGCACTTTTCGGTGAATTTCTCTTACTCAGGTTCAGCTTTCCATCGACTTACTGAGTAACCATAGAACATGATTGGAACGTAGATGCAGAGGGCAAGGAGATGTTGTTGCCCTCAGAAGACGTGTTGGATTGGATTGACGGCGAGGTCTATGGGCTCGATGAATTGTTTAAAACCACTTTGAGGAAGCAGGCGTTGGACTCCTTGAAAAAACCAGACGAATTCTCGCAGACCCAATATCAAGATGGGGCGGAGTTACCAGAAAGATGGCACGAGGGACACAGCCCTGCTCCATATCTCTGGAGCGTGAAACAATGGGATTGGGTCACCAAAGGTCGTATCATCTTTCCATGTTACATCTCACTTACAATGTCAAATCCTGCAGGCAACGACATCCGTTCGAGGCCAATCGACTTGTTGTTTTGCTGCCTCACAAATGACCCAACATACACGGAATTTGAACAGTTTGCTCAAGTCCTTAATTCACTGGCAAGCATCGTCATTCCTACACCGGACTTCGCTGGCATCTTGGGGTTGGGCAAGCGGCTGTGGTTGGGACAGGTGACCTGGAAGGATTTCGTGGATGACTTCTTGGACAACCATTTGACTGCGGGCGACATCGGAACTTCAGAGACCTCGGAACAACTGGGTAATCCGGTTATTGCCTGCCTTGTTGTTTCTGCTATTGACGTTCAATCTTTGCATCCAGACTCGCGGAACACCTTGAATACCCTGGAGGTCCGGTTGTTGCTCGAAGGTTATGTCCGCCGGCAGAGGTTTCGTGGATGACTTCTTGGACAACCATTTGACTGCGGGCGACATCGGAACTTCAGAGACCTCGGAACAACTGGGTAATCCGGTTATTGCCTGCCTTGTTGTTTCTGCTATTGACGTTCAATCTTTGCATCCAGACTCGCGGAACACCTTGAATACCCTGGAGGTCCGGTTGTTGCTCGAAGGTTATGTCCGCCGGCAGAGGTCTAAGCCTGATCAACCCTGGAACATCAGAGATCAAGTTCTATGGCAAGCCCTTAGCAGAGCGTTGCCAGGGAAGGATCACAGTGATGTCTTGAAAGGCATAATCTGGAAGATCGTGTCCGGCCAGAACGTCTCCGATGTGTTGAACGCATTGAAGTCAAATGAGAAGAAGAGGAAAAGATCGTCGAGAGGCATGTGTCCATTGATTCATTAAGGTCATCACCATGTTGCTCAATTGGACCTGTTATCAACAGCACAGAGAAATGTTCGATCTGCCCGCCAGGAGCGAGCTGAGGAAGTCGATCGGGTTCACGATAGCGATGGAGGTGGTGATACAGGGAATGTTGGCGGACAAGGGCAAGCAAGTGCTGGTAAGGCAGACCCTTACAGCTCGTCTAACTGGTGATTCGACCGTTCATAGCTCTGACATCAGGAGGCGATGTTGAAATGCAAGTCGACAATAATCCAGACGTCTCTGGATCCTCTGGCGAACCAGCACAAGATATCACTACAGGGCGCGAATCCAACGGTGATATTCCACAAGATTACATTGTAAGATGCCACTAATTGAATGTATAGAAATGGAAGACATTGTACGAAACATTCCAGATGTCTCCACCGACCAAGGGATGTTACCTCCTCCTCCTCCCCCTCCTCCAACACCACCTCAAATATCAACGCCACCTCCAATTACAACACGTCATATGCCTCCAATTTCCACGCCGCCTCCTGCTCCTTCAATTTCAACACCTCCTCCATCTCCGCCTGCTCTCTACGCCGATCCAAATGATCCTGGTTCGGTGGCTCTCGTGCACCTTTTTTCATTCATGAACCACAGGTCGTTGGAGCGGTACGAAGCCGACATGAACGCCGAGTACCCATCTGATCCTCCAGGAATCATCAAGGAGTTCGTGGAAGCCATTGCCGCTAGGACCGGTTCTAATCATTCACGTCCTGACGAATTTGCGCACTTGAGTGGCGCCTTGCAAGTGGTAGAGAAAAGGAGAGAAGCTGGAGAGATGTGTAGGAATCTGTTGTGATGTTGTACTACATGAACTGTTAAACAACAGAACTGCTCGCCGCAATAGACTTGTTGTAGCAGGGGTATAAGCACACAAGCACATTCCAACTATGTTCCATTCATTTATACACCACCTCAATCTGCTATCCATGTGTTGGCAACGCGCTGGGCATCTGTGCGGACATGGGATCTAACACCCTAATGCTGCATAATTGTCGAATGGTGCTGATTTCAGAAACTTCTGCCCAGTCATTGGCACCCACACGGACCGGTTGAAGAATTAATAACACACATAATCCCATCTTTGGTTGCTTCAAGGGAACCAAAACATTAGTTCGGACCATGTACTGACAAGTACATTTCAATTTGCCAGCAGTACGTTCGATGGATGCGGGACGCGGTCCGATCTGTCCCATGGAGAATTTTTTAAGGTAGTGACAACATTTGCAGTTTCGGTGGCAGAGATGGGTTGGAGGATGGTAAATTTTGGATCGGTATCACACTCCTGTATGCTAGGCTTGTATGTTACTTTGATCTTCACTGATGGACCCCTCCAGGTGAAACATAACGTTTTTCAAGCTTCTTGTGTACCAACGGCAAGCTTAACAAACCTTGTAGGGTTTTTGGGAATCACACAGGTAAGATTCTGTTGTCATAATTTATTATTATCCAGTAAGGGGCAGAAAGCAAGTTAGCCAATGGCGCAGATGTACAGCAGGCAACAAATGGACCTACAAAGTGCACTATCAGGCAGGAAGTGAAGCCAGACCAACAACAGCCCCTCCCAGGCCGTACGGCCCAAGAATGCTCTGCCCCGTACAGGACGGAGGGGGCGTTGTCCCATCTACCGCGATTCCAGCGTACGCCGGAGACACCTCCCCATACGAGGGGGCGCGCGCTACATGGTTGGAGCTTCTGACGACAAATGCGTCACTCTGAAGGCGGCAGTCCTTGCAGGATCATTGCACAGCCAATTTGAGGACTCGAGAGCCGACAGTCCTACGGACAACAGGACAGCAAGCCACGCACCATGACAAAAAGAGTTGGATCCAACATTGCGCCCTACATAGCAAGACATGATTAGCAGGGAAAAAGAAACGGACCACAGGAAATACGCACCTTTTGTGCAAAGCCAGCACCGGAGCATCGGGGAAGTGAATGACGCCAGCAGAAACCCCTCCCAGGCCGTACAGCCCAAGAATGCTCTGCCTGGTACAGGGCAGAGGGGTCGCCGCCCCATCTGTCACATTTCCGGCGTACGCCAGAAACACCTCCCCATACGGGGAGATGCGTGCCAGATGGTTGGGGTTGGTGAGAGAGGGTGACAATGGTGGGAGAGACAGAATACAAAGGTTGGGGTTAAGGGAGGGGAAAAGATGAAAGAGAAAGAAAAGTGAAACAGCCGGCGACGCAGGAAAATCAACCGTGGCCAAGCAATGCCAAATACAATGTGTGTGAACATAACTTAGAACAACATTTTAAACAGACAATTTGAAATAAAGACATTCAAATAACGCGCGACTCATGTGATCTATGGTAAAGACGACGCGTAATCAAAAGGTCTTTGCAAATTGTGTTTTGGGTGATTTTCGACATGTCCGTTCGAAAATAGCAAGAGATAGAAATCATTATCAGATGATCAAATTCCTGATGCTTATCGAAGGGTGGTAATCAGATCATAATCACTGAGGGCACATCGTATTGGTTGAGGGACATCAACTGAAAGCAGAGAACTGGCAGCTAAATGTGGACATATGGAATCGACAGCTATATAACTACAAATGATATCGGATCTCCGGTTTCACAATTTGTCACTGCTCATTTCCTCCAAATCACATAGTTCAATCATCACAAATGGCCGAAGTCCATTCCACAGCACCAGGTAAAGTTGGATTGTCCACCGATAGCCTTTCAAGCATGAACAAATGAATTTAACAAACACTGCCTTTGCAGCAGGGCCAGCGGCTGTACTGCTGACCCATCCACTCTTGTCTTTTGAAATCCCCACAGTAAACGCAGAATGCGTCTTCGAGCAAACGGCGACCCCCTTCAGATACGGCCGGCCAGAAGAGGTCAACATCATTAACTCTCGCACAAAGGGGGTTTGTCAAATTTGCCGAGTGCCTGTCTTCAAGGGCGAGAGGTTCAAGGGATACGTCCCACTGCCCCTGCAATATCAGCCGGTGTGGCTGGAGTTGTCATACTACATCATTTTGAGCACTCAGATGTGGAACCTTTGGGCAGAAGAAGAGAGGAAAAGTCGGAGGCCCAGAAAGCAGCAGGCCAAGATTCTGCGTAAGAACAGCGGTGCCTTGGTAGCACAGCACATGATAAGTCGGTTGTTGGCCCTGGACCTCTTGCTGGAGTATCCGATGGATCATTGGATTGGCGAAGAGCGAGTTCTGATTTTGGACGAATGGAAGATTCGCGCGTCCCGGGATTGGTTCAACTTGTCATTTGAGAGGGCCCTGGCTGAAGGGTCCAAATTCCTCGAAGCAGATCCCACTAGACCAGAAAACAAAACGTTTTTCGGTGTGTTCGCCATCTTCGTTGACCTTGCTCTTGCAACCACTTACAAGGTACACGTAGAGCAGGGTTGGAACATAGATGAGGACAACAAGGACTTGTTGTCGCCCCCTGATGACCAGATGATGAACTGGTTGAAAGGCGAGGTCGAGGGACTTGACGACGTGTTTGAAGAGACATTAAAGCAGGAGGCCTATGACGCCTTGAAGAAGCCGGGTCCATACTCATACGCCCAATTCCGTGATACCGCGGTCCTACCAGCAAGATGGCATGAGGGACATGTCCCTGCTCCGCGGTTCTGGGGCGAAAAACAGTGGGCATGGATGGCACAAGGTGCGATCGCAGTTTTATGCTTTGCCATTTCACACCTGACGGTGGTGTATTTGGCAGGCAACAATTGTCGGAGACAACCGTTTCAATTGTTAGCCTATTGCCTCACGGAAGACCCGCCGTACACCCAATTACAACAATTCACGCAAGTTCTCGATTCCCTTGCGTACATTACCATTACACACCCCAATTGGGATCCCCTGCATCTCATCGCCAAGCAGCTGTGGTTTGGAGAGATGACTTGGAGGGAGTTTGTGGATGACCTCATTGAAAACCACCTCGACGCCCATAACGTCAGGTCATTCGACAGGGTAGCAAAACCAGGTAGGTATCCTATCGTTACATTTCATGGCATATGTCTGTATGTTCACTGTATTGCAGATGACCCAGCTAACACATATAACACCTTGGAGGTTCGTTTGGTCCTCGAAGGATACGTTCGACGACATGACCTGGACGAGGATGAAGAATGGGATGTGAATGATCAAGTTCTCTGGCAGGCCCTGAGCAGAGTAGCGTCAGGGAAGAATGATAAGAAAGTATGGGAAGGAATCATTTTGAAGATCACATCCGGCCGCAAAGTCACAGATGTGTTGAAGGCAGCAAAGCCAAATAAGAAGACAAGCAAGTCAGCAGGTGCGTGGTCAATCCTGTCCGAATTCCGCCTGTCAACGTTCTTCTCATCTCTCCAGGGAAGAAGAGTGTGAGGAATGCCCATCAGAAGCAGGCTCGCGCCGATGAGGAAGGTAGCGCTGCCAGCGAACAGCAAGCAAGTGCTGGTGAGCACACCATTTCAGTTGATCTCAGGATGGATCTCACCATAATTAGGTCCATCTGGACATGATGCGGATACAAGGATGGAGCGCAATATTGAGGGGTCCAGATCATAATGTCAATCCTCCTCCTCCAAAGCCAACCATGCAAGAGGGTTCAGGCCGCCAAGATATTCCTCGGCCTTCGTCTCCGCCTCCACCTGTGCTGTTCACAAGGCTTGCATATATCACGTTGACCTACAATCTGCCGCTAAGTAAAAAAAAACATTCACGTCTCATGTAAAGGATAGTAATTTGAATCAATTGAATCAGTCTGATTTGCGTAGTTTCTTCTGTGTTCCAGGACTGAAGAGCATACATGCATTTGATCTTAGGTATATATTTCAATGCCTTATGCGCAGGCTAATCAATCAGCGGGACCATACGAATCTCACATCTAAACTCATGTATACATTGAAGTAGAGTAAATATTGATTCATTTTTGCATTGCCAGGCCCCTAGTGCGGAGGCAGGGTTTTCATTATGTCGTTGAGCACGGACCGGACCGACAAATTGGATTTGTTATCGTTGATCGGATCTTCAAACGATGGGCAGCACTATATAGGACGCCATTGATGAAGGTGCCAAATTGTATTCTTGCTTCCTGACAACCCACCCGTCGATCCAACATTAGCTATAGGTCCCAAACATGCCTCCAAAGAAACGATCCAACAAGTCTGCTGCTGCTGCTCATCCAAGAAAAAAAGCCAAGGTTGGCGCAATATTCAGCGGCATCTCAAGAGCTGGACCTGGAGATGTTGACATTGGTAGTATGGCGCCGGATGTGGCTGGCGGTCCCTCTGTATCCTTCAAAGTGGCCAGCATTTTCTCAGACGATCATAATGTTGCAAATGACTCTGGCGACATCATCACAGAGTCTGTCACAAATCTATCTGAAACCGTCGCACCAATTCCTTCCCCCATCCCAGCTGTGCAACTCGGCACCTTCTGTCACTACTGTTGTGACCAAGTATCCCCTGCTCAACAACACGATTGCGTGGAGTGCGGCGCCGTCGTGTGCGAGCAATATCTTGCCCGAAGCAGCGGGTGCATATTTCTGAAGACTATTGAGGTCGGAAAATCCGAGTTCCTCTGTCCCCAATGCGCCAGGACAGGAGATGAGAGGAACTCGCCCTTAAGATATGCTTTCATCGGATTTGGTAGGCGGAAGAAGGTGAAGATGATGTGGCCCATGGCCATTGTCAATCTCAACCTAGAGTCTATGAAGGACGACTATCTTGCGAAAACAGTTGTGCTGGATGTCGAAAATCACTTCAGATCGTTCAAACAAAACGTAGGTGGCATCAGTATAGCTGTACTTACCCAGTCCAACATCTAATATGTATGTTTTGCAGTTGTTCACATCTACCTTACACATGCGTGGTGGCGCCCACGTGTCTGAGTCCAGGAAGCTTGCACCTGGGGTAGAGTTCTTCAGGGGGAACATTGCAGCTGGTTTCCCGCCCAACACCTTCATCATCGTCGACACCCATTCCGACGAATACACGGGCATGTTGCAGCACACCGGTGGACATTCTGGTGGCACCAACACCACCATCACCGAAATCCTGACTGCCTACCTTGGGGCGGACTTCTTGGAAATGATGAAGAAGTCTTCTGATGCTGCCAGGAGCGACACCACTGAGATCAAGACTCTGAGGGGCAATACGCCTTGGTGCAAACTCACTCCCAGTGCTAGAGGTGGATGGAGAGGACTGTTTATGGTGAGCTGCGGCCCTGCTATCAGGGTGAGCCACCACTTCTTCGCTGTGAAGGAATTGGTCCAGAAGTTCGTACTTGTCCTTTCAATATGTCATGCACACTCATCTTTCTCCAGGAACGTCGTCGACTTCGTTCTGGCGTTCGGAGGATCCGGCACCTTGCCATCAATGATAGCCAGCATCGTCCGTACATTCATTTCAGATATCGGCGTCTTTGGTAAGACCGACATTTGGTCAGCCGTTTGTGACATGTTGGCCTCGTCCAACGACTTTTTGGACTACACTACCGCAGTAGTCGTGTTCGCCAGCACAATCGATGGCAGGCGCATTGTGGAATGCCGTCAAATTGGCAAGGACATTGCAGGTCTTCGTGCGTTTGGATACGAGTTTAAATCCTGTCCGACTCCAGGGTGTCAGCCTACTCCGGCGGACATGCGTGTATTCAATAATGGCCCGAAGGTTTCGCTTCGATGCTTGAAATGCACCTGGAGGTCCACAGGTGTTAGGAATGACGAAGAAAACCAGCACTTCAAGAAGGTCAACAAGGTGGTCGCACCTCAGCTCTTCTGGCATCATTTCCCTGCCTCTTACGGCCTGCAAAACTTTTTCGTGGAGCTCACCGACAGCGCCAACAAAGCAAAGGCTAAGAGTGCTGAGAGGGGGATGAAGAGCAAACGTCAGTTGCAGGCTGACATGCTGGAAGACGCAAATATGCTTGAGGTCAACAAGCATTATGGCTCCATGGTGATTGATGGCTGATATCTCAATGCCCTGCCTGCCATGTCGTTCCAACCATTTCCCTTGTACAAGTAATTTCGCTCGTTCTGTTCTTGCAAATGTACTAGCTTTGATGTGATACGTCGTGTACAATTACAATGAATCGTTTTAGGCTCGCTATGCTACTATGATTCAGTATTGCGTCCACCCCAACAATCATGGTCCTGGTAATGCTTTTACGGCCTCAAGTCCAATTTTATGATTTTGGTGTGCGTCGATTTTCGATGTGCTTTTCCTATCCCACCATCATGCCTATCACTGCAGTTCAATGAGAATCTGGCCTACTTTACGTCCCAATGTCAGCCTTATGCAAGTCATTCATTTTAATGGTAAGAGGTGCGTATATATATACGATTACCATAGCTTGTAGTCCTTCGAGTCGTAGGCTAGACAACTACTGTATTCCAAAATGTAAGGTCAACAATGCCAATGGTTCAATAGAAGCCCACGCAGTACGAAAGTCATCACAACAAACCTTCTTGCACACGTTCAGATTCTAGCCTGGCCTCCGCTGCCATCAAACGTTGACGAAAGCCGCTAAACGCTTTGGATGGAGGGCCGCTGTTGGTCGCAGACCAAGCTCTGATGTTGGCCACATGGTCCTTGATGATCGGCAGATGATCCGAGGGGTAGGCGGTCCGCATCCTGGCTTCATAACGTTCCAGGGACCCATGCTCGAGGAATTCCTTGAAGTGCACACAGGCCAGGTCCTCTTCAAATGTAGGTCCAACAGCAGGTGGCTGCGGGTGACTGGAAGATGGACGAGGAGGCCTGCCATGGTGATGGAAGCCATCCGGCCCATCTCCCCTCATAGGATGTTGGACATTTTGCACCCTTTCTTCTTCCATTGCTTCATTGAGCTCCTCCTCTTGACCTGTGGTTCCATTCCCTGTGAGAGTACTCTGCTGCTCGATTTCTACATCACCGAATTATCACCCAAGTTAATGACTTCATGGAATAATATTCTTACCGGCCGACTGATTCGCATTTTGCCAGTAAGGCCCGGCTGCCCTCAATACCTGTGAAACATCGCTGTTGGACGCAACCTGGGAAACGATCCATTCCCAACCGGACTTGTATTTCATCGACGTGACCCTTGTGAGGGCATTCCATAGCACGTCATCTTCGAGATCCCACGGTTCGTCCTTGTTGTGCCGCCGAACGTATCCTTCCAGGACCAAACGAGCCTCTAGGGTATTAAAACCATTGTTGGGATCTAGAATGGTAGAATATTCGATGAGCAAGAGAAGCTGACTGGCAATCACTATATACCTGGTTTTTCAGAGGTGTAGGCGCTGGCATTACGAAAGTGATCTCGAAGGAGGGCTTCCACAAACTCGCTCCAGGTCCTCTGTCCCGACCAAAGCTGGGATGCAAGTAAACGGACCTGCTTTGGCTTTGGATTGGGAGCCACAATTCTAACGAGGCAGTTCAGGACCTTCGCGAACTGCATAACAGTGACAAAAGGAGGGTGTTCTGTCAGGCAGAAATACAGCAAGTCGATTGGCTTCTCCCACATGGAGTTGCCTGAAGGATACGAAGTTATCAGCAGGGAGATTCAATAGCATTCAACAATGTTCGCACCTTTGGCGACCCATGTCCACTGTTTCACGCTCCAGAAATATGGAGTAGGTTCGTGTCCTTCATGCCATCTTGCTGGTAACACAGCTTTATCGTTGTAATGGTGCTGGGAGTAATCGCTTGGTGTTTTCAAGGAAGCCAGGGCCTGCTTTTTCAAGGTCTTTTCGAAGATGGCGTCGAGCCCCTTGATCTCGCCGTCAAACCAATCCCCCAGGTCTGCAGGGGGCTTTAACAACCATTTGCCCTCTTCATCTACATTCCAGTCTGATTCTACGAGTCCACAATGGAATCACGCGATAATTGGACAGAAGCTCATGTATGTACTCACCGAATAATTCTACATTTTCTTGGGGGATGGGATCTGCATTCAAGAATTTTGCACCAGCGGCGAAGACCTTGTCATAGGTGGTGTTGAACCAGTCCCTCGACCAGCGAATCTTCCATTCGTCGAGAATGCGGACGCTCTCGTTCCCGGGTATGGAGGTGTCGTGCGATAGGCTCACTAATTCATCCACAGCCAGCAATCTAGCCAGCATATGTTGTGCAACCAATGCACCGGAATTCTTCCGCAGAATGGCAGCGTTCTCCTTGGACGCCCTCCTTGTATTTTTCTGCTCCTCCTCCTCCCAAAGTCTCCTCATATTGGTATACAGGATGATACAGTATGTCAATTGCAACCATACCGCCTGGTATCGGATGGGTAACGGGACGTATCCCGAGAGTCGCTTACTCTGCACAACAGGCACACGGCACGTTTGGAATGTCTCCCCGGTAGCGAAGTCAATGACATCAGTAACTTCTGGCGGTCTGTATGACACCTCAGTTGCTGTCTCGTCCAAGGCGCATTCCGCGTTGACCGTTGGGATCGCAAATGATGTTATAGGATGCAACAACGGTACTGCAGGAACAGCCAGCCATTAGGTCAGTAATTTCTTAATGCAGCAGGGGTCCACGCGAGCACGCCCATACCTGTGTTGTTGACGGCAGCCATATTTGGTGATTCACAACAATGCTGTTGAAGAAATTGGGAATGACAGGTGCTGGGGATCCCATAGATGTCCGAGCTATATATCCTATCACAGGAAGTGTGTCAGTGTTTGGCATCCTTCTAAATTTGGCATTTCTCGCAGCTGATCATTTTACCTATTGCCAGGGTTGCATGCCCCGAAACCTATGCTAGCCCCTGAAGGTAGCGAGTGCCCTTTCGACCCAATGTTTTTCTTTGTAGCGTCATTTATTTTGAAGTTCAAATGACATATGCCGGTCGTATAGAGCCTTATGTACGTTAAACGCATTTGCTACGAATATTACCAAACTGTACAGTACCTAAACCTTAACACATGGATCGATTAAGCAGGGAGCCGAGTAGTTCTGTCTTTCTTTCCGTCCTTCATGCAGCAACAACAGGATGAGTCTGACCGCCTCAGGATGGCTCTGACTATCAAGATCCGTGAAGTATTGAGGGGTTCTTCTGCTGTGAAGGTCATACGAGGAGGGGTGGTGCAATCTCACCTGCTGCACAAAGCAAGGTATGACTTGTCTAACTGTAGAACATATCGAATGATTCATGTACGAAGGTTGAGGATTTCAATGGATCTTTTGGCTTGCTTGTCTTCGGACGTCGAAACGCCAGATTGTTCCAAAACAGTTTCGAATTATGAAATTCAACGAGCTGCCCTTACCATTGCGCATGCAATGGTGAACCCATGTGAGCGTCTCCACATTTCCCCCCCACGAGCAAGCATCTGAATATCATCAACTGGGCGAAAGATCATGTGGCATGGGATGTAGATCGTTACAGCGATTCGGTCAAATTGTCTCCACCCAACCGTGACGGCTCGCCTACAACCGAACCGGAGAGACTTGAAAAATTCTTCGCCAGGGCTGACTTGGGGAAGATTTCGCACCCGGCGACCATCGTGGACAGCAATGGTAAAATTCTGGTGATTTATTTACCCAACATCTTGTCCCCATCTCGCGTGGTGCGTGGAATGAGCATTCCGCAAATGTCATGCTGATTCAGTACTTAGCAACATGTGAATACAATAACTACAGGACTCCGCAAGGTGCTTCTTCGATCCCTCTCATCCTCCTCAGGCAATAGAGTTCCATGGCGATCGACTGGCTTTTGTGCACCTGAATGTGGGGGGGAATTTGGGGCAGGCAGAGTAACCATATCTCCAGCATATTTCATGCAGAGGCGCGAGGTAGTCTGGTTTCCCTATCGCTTTTTCTCTTTCTTGAATGCTTATCACGCCCATGAAAAATAGAGGATTCAAGATCCGTTGGTGACGTCGGCTTCATATGCCTCTGCAGAGGTCCAAGCCTGGCTGGCTGACATCTCCATGACTGAATTCTTCTGGAACGCTATCACGGCTGCCGTCGCTCCAGATTTATTTCGAGCCGGCTCCATGGCAATGTCAGACACACTCAAGGATGTATCTTCAAGGCCACAGAAATTCCTTGCTGTCTCTCAATGGCCCTCCATCTTTTCCGGATTGGAAGTTATCGCGAATCGGTTGACCTTGAGTCATAGGGACGGCGGCGGTTCGCCGACTCTGTATGATCTTCTAGTCAGTCTGGGGATTGGCCACACTGCCACGTTGAAGTTGGCTGATGTGAAGGCTGAACTGGATTATTTTCCTGGAACCATGCTTCACATTTCAGGCATGGTTCTGGAGCATTCGGTTGGGCCTTGGAATGAGGGAGAACGATTCGTAATCGCTCATTTCATGAGGGATAAGATTCATGACAGATACAATGTGCCAAGACCTGCCTTTCCACTACAAAATTTCTTTTTGGACATGGTAGGCAAGGAGGGGAGGAATTGAGAGTAGCAAGGACGAGAATGACATGGTTTGTGGAATACTTGACATTGTACATATTTTCTGCAACCCTACATTCTTGTACACACAAATACCAAAGACTGTGTGGTAAGGCAATTAGCAGCCTCTAGCGTCTGCTCCCCCATTCCGATAAATGTAAAAAAAAAAACGGATCCAAACCAGCACAGCAAATATCATACAAAATACGAGATCCTCGGTTATATTCAAACATGTGATTTGGCTCGCCTGCGACGCAAAGTATGCTAGCCCGAACACATCGGACACAAAACTGGTATAGACAGGCGCCCTGCATTCTCCAAAACAAAAAAAAAGTTCACCGAGATCATGCGCCGCAGGGTCAACGGGGGACGGATCTACGGTACCGAGTCGGATTTAAAAAAAAAAGCAATAGAGACCTCCCATATTTGCTGATCTACCAACCTTTTGTGGCATGGTATGTTAATCATCAGCCATCGCTGGATCCGGTTGCCTTGGATCTCTGTCCGTCTCCATTCCACGGAAGTAATTGGCTAGCTTGTGCTAGGATTTTTTTTTCAGCTTGCCTTGCTCGCGTCGCAATACGCCCCTGCACGGCGAGCACTGTAAATTTGCCAGGAAATCGTATAAGACTGAGGATGAGGACGTCAGAAATTCAAAAAACATATCTCTTTGAAACAACTGCCAACCTACATTTATGTCTGATAACCCTCTTAAATGTCTATTGCCTGGCTGCGAAGGAACTCCCGAGTTCTTAGACAAGACCGCTGCTCGTAGGCATCGATACCGATACCATGCTGTACCAGTTCCCTTTGAAATTCAGGGCAGTCTGTACATCATCGCCCACTCCAATACACGTTATTCTTGCCCATTGCCTGGGTGTGGCCAAAGCTTCAAACAGCGAGACAGCATCGAACACCACATCGTCACGGATCACAATGACGGGACTGAGCTCAAAATCTTCGGTACCCCAGCGCCAGGTGAGCATACCAAGACAATTTGGCCATAAATATCTTATTCGTTCAAGCTCTGCCAGGAAACCCAATCCAAAAAGGTGCTGGCAATACCTCGGCAAAGGTGCTGGTGCCAGCCGCTACGTCCACTCAGGAGATTGCCTCCTCAGGTGAGAGACGTCTTTAAAATTCGAATTGAGGTATACTGATCAATGGCGTTCTCCTGCCAAAATATACAGGAACCCGATCTAATGTGAATTCTGGCAAGGCACATCTCATGCCCGGAGTCGACTACTTGAAGTCCAACGAGGTCCTCGACGCCCTTGGGGTTTGCCTTCACACCGAACTCAAAATTCTCATCTGCTGCTCCTGCCGGGTGGCATTGACATCCGAGATGGTTGCTGGTCACAGGATCAATCATCACTCGTCCTATAAGGCAAGTACATAACTTTTACATTATTATTCTAAATTTAAACGACCTTCCCTTGTCACCAGATACCCCCCGCGGATCTGCAGGCTGTCTTGGATTTTTGCTCAAAGTCCAAGGTGTATACAAAACCGCAGCATGTCAAATTACCCGCTGCTGGAGGACCGCCCGTTCAACTCCTTGGTGACCCAAGCGATGGTCTGGCCTGCAAAGCTTCGTCAGAATGCGAATATTGCGTAAGGGACTTGCAGACCATGCAAAGACACCGTCGAGAAAAACACGGTTCCACAGCTTTGGGGGAGGTCTGCCATAGACCTTGCAAGGTCCAACGTCTGTTCACAGGTGTAGGCGGCTCCTTTTTTGAAATCGGTCAGAAGATCTTGCCAGGAGCTAGGCCCAACCTGAAGGAGACCCTCAAGGCTACGTTCTTACCTGCAATCGATGTTCCCTTGGTCGTGCCGGCGGATACTGAACGAGAGCGAACCCCCCTTGTTAAATTTATGGGCTGGGATAAGTTTCAGAACGACGTCCGTATGAATCCTGCGCAGAGACGTGCTGCAGAACAAATCAAAAAGAAGCATACCGAGGAGGAGCACGGCGGTATTTTCCCCCGACTGGCCATAGCTATCCAGGACCATTTTGTGAGAGCCGCGACGATCTTAGATGGTCACCCTCAGAGGTTGAGTCTCGCAAAAATCTTGATTCACGGCGATGCCATTCCACGGGAAAGGTGAGTAGTTCGACCTTGCTTCCATAGCCCCTTTATTAACCTCCTCTGCGTATTCAGCAACTCGCATTGGAAGCCAATCTCCGCTGAAAACTCAGAATATGCAAATTTCATGCTCCAATTATTTCGAAACATCATCCGCATTCATCTCGGATTCGCCTTGGACTTCTCATTTTCACTCTCTGCATTGCAGACTCGTCGTCTCGAGGACCTTCTCACCGTTCTTAGGGACGAAGCAGCATCCCCCAGGAAGAGGATGATTGCCTACCATGATCTCGCTTGGTCATTTGTGAACACCGACCCATCCCTTTGCGCAACAGATCATTGGGGAAACCCTATTCAGCGAGCCATCTGGCTGAGAGCCCTCCGTGCTGATGGAAATTTCTGTGAAGCCAACATCCTTACCCCAGACCTGGCTAAAATTAAATACCTGTGCAACATGACCTCGCTCCTCGAGGCCCTCATGGACAAGGAGGATGAGACAGATTCCGTTCACGCCGACGACAATGAGTGAGTGTTTCTTCGACTTTTCCCTTCCTCACCAACTAATCCTGCATTGCCCTGGAAAGACGTGTAATGCAAATCCATCAGCAGGTTTTGCAACTGGGCCGTCCTCACACGTTCAACATCGTATACGAAATGCAGCAGTATGCATCAGCACTGGCCTTGAATCAAATGAAAGAGCCCAATGTATACGTCGATCCTGACGTCAAGTCGATCACCATCGGCACTCAAACCATGCAAATGGACAAACTTCGACAGGGCATCCAGGACCGCGTGAATGACCTGACTCTACGATACGCTGCCCTCACGAACGACAACATCATGTTGACGAGGATGCCAGACCATGTCAAGGATGATCTCACCAACACCAGGCGGGGTTATTCCTTCATGTCCGAGGAGCCATTTTACGAGAAGCGTCATTCTCTCTTCTTCTTCTTGGTGCAGTCTCACAACCTCGCTATGGTCGACAACGAAGGTAGGATAGCTTGGAACATTCCGGGGATCAAGGAATTCCTCAGACGCTCATTGCGAGTCTGGGAGCCTTTGTACCATTTGCTCTTCATAGTCACTCACATCTCCTGTCGAGGAACTCAGTTCGTCGACCATCAGATCACCAATGCCGACAGGCATCGTAATCTCTTCATGGGAGGCAAGGAGATGTTTGTGCTCACTGCCTACAGTAAGAAGACAGGCATCACAGATAGAGACTCGTGCACCCCTGGCTTCGTGCCAAAGGACATTGCTTTCTGGGTCCTCGAAATGCTGGGAGGTGGCTTACGAACCGCCGAAGCCATCCTGGCTGGGGTTGCATATGGGAAGGAGTCAGAGCATCTGTACAGAACGTGAGTGACCCCTCAACCTTTGGCATCAAACATCATTCTCATTGAATGTCCTTTATTTCAGGTATCTATGCGTGGCTGAAGGCCAGAGAATCACTGCTGCCAAGTTTTCAGACAGCATCCAACATTGGAATCTGGAATACTTCGACTGTCGTTGGGGATTGAGAGATTTCCGTCAAGGCGCGATAACAATGGGACGGGAATTCATAGCCGCAGACCATTCTTATGATGAAACTGACAACATCCTCTCCGAGTCTGCCGACCACTCCACTGCCATGGACCATAGCCACTACGCCGTAGTTCTAGGGGCAGTACCTCGACTTTCTAACAACAGCATGTGCAAGCACAGATGGTTGGGTGATCAGTGGCACAGCGTCCTAGGCCTCGGCCCTTTGCCACCTCCGGAACCCATTCGAACAAGCAGAAAGAGCATGTCCAACGGAACCACCCTGGAGTCCATTGGCGATTTGGTCAAGAAAACCACCTCCAGTGCCCTTCAATCATTCTTCGAGAACGACTTCTCGACCATGTTGAAGGATGTGGTCTCCGCTGCTCTTGCTCCACCTCCCAGACAGGCTGTGAACTGGGAGAAGAAGGACTCGGGCGAATTATTCGACAGCTGTCGTGCTGGTGAGTACCAGCTTCCATAGCATTTGAAAACGAATCTGACGTCCTATTTGCAGATCCGTCCGCCACCACTCGAGAGGGATCGCCAGCTCCGAGTGGCTACATCGAATGTGGAAACATGCTCTCCGACTCTCCCCTGCCAGCATCATCCATAGAAAGCTTGTCGCAGACTGAATCCATAGACGACTTTCTGCCTTCACCCGACATCATCATTCCGACCTATGGTTCTGCCACAGACTACAAGGGGAAGGGAAGGGCGTACGAGCCAGGCCAACCTCGACCGTCCAAGTCCAAACCTGCATCAGTCTTGTCGATTAGCAGTGCTGATAGTGCAAGCCATTCCAGATCCTCCAGTCTGTCCCCTGTAACGGACTACAAACGAAAGGCTGGGACTCGCAAACCTGGCCAATCCAAGCACCAGTCAGACCTGGGATCTCTCCCCAGTTCAGCTCCGGTTGCAGCTATATACCGGAGCCGCAAGCATACTCTGGAGCACGTCAGTGAGACCGAAGGAGAGCAAGAACCTCCTAAACGTCTGAAACGTCTTCGTCGACCTACTGCCTCACTGCCAAAGGAGAACGAGGACTGGGAAATCATGGACCCGACGACCGACGAAGACCTGTCGGATTTCATAGTGCCTGATAGCAGTCGAGCATCTTCGCCGCCGCCTGCTGTGGTGGAGATCAGAGAACAAATTCGAGACGCAATTCGATTCCTGAGGAAGGACCCCACTGCGAAGGAGAAGAGCAGAGAGCAGATGGATGCGCTGGTGGGAATCATGACGGAAACTCGTGATGTCCTCGTCGCCATGAAGACAGGGGGCGGCAAAAGCATGATGTGGATGGTTCCCTCAATCCTCGACGAGAATGCGAAATCCATCGTCGTCTGCCCATTCGTGGCATTGCTAGAAGAACAGTACAAGAAGACGGTTGCTGGTGGCTTGCGATGCCACAATTACTCTCAATCCAAGGAAGTACCGGACGATGTTCAGGTCCTTTTCATTCAGGTGGAGCATTGCTCGTCTACTGTTTTTGCTAAGTAAGAGGGCATATCTCACCTGCCCAAAGTTCAGTGATTGATTGATTGATACTCTACAGTCTCCTCGTGTCCCCCCTTGGGAATAAATTCACCAGGGCCTTCGTAGATGAATTTCATGATAATGTCAACTGCCATCCGGAACGAATAAAGGCATGGGGGGTTCTTGCCAGGCAATTCAGCGCCATGAGGATACTGATCTGCCTCCTGTCCGCTACTGCCCCTCCCCATCGGTTGTCGAGCTTCATCAAACCATTCGGTATGAAGGTGGACAACCTCGCCCAGTTCAGGTCTTCAACAAACCGTCCAGAAATTGGAATGCACGTCGTTCCGGTCCAGCCTATTATAGCACAGCAATCATTAGGTCGTCTGGTTTGTGCACTCAACGGACTCTTGGATGATGACGAACGTATCTTGGTATTCTTTTGCTCGCAAGTCGAGGCGGAGACCTTTGCAGTCCTGCACAAATGTGCAGTCTATCACAGCAACCTCTGGGCGAACGGAAATACCAAGGCCTACAACCTCGACCTCTGGGACAGAGGAGAATCAAAGGTGATGGCATGCACCACGGCTTTCGCACAGGGTATAGACAGATCCAAAGTTCGATTCGTGGTTATCTTCAAACCGGCATATGGGCTTGTAGTGAACAACCAAATGCTGGGTCGCGCAGGTCGTGATGGAAGGGAGTCCCATGTGTTTTTTGTCAGCGACGTTACTGGCATAGCATCCTTCAAAGGGTCCAAGAGGAATCAGGACGAATGCCTGCTGGAGTTGGACCGAGTGGTCCATGGTCCGGAGTGTCGCCGATACACCAATACGGTCTGCATGGATGGCGTCGATCTTGCAACTCGTTGCAATCAAGAACCTCGTGGCGTCCCTTGCGACATTTGCGATCCAGATAGCCCGATGCAGCAGTTCGCCATACAAGCCCTGTCGCAAGAACAAACATCCATCTCACACACTCCAGCTGTGCAGGCCCCACCTCCTGCATTTGTGCCAGCAAGCAGATTAGCACAAACCATGGAGAACGCCCCTGTGAGTTTTTCCCCATCCCATGATATCTCGTCGTATTGAGGCCATGTCACAGGAGGACGCTGAACCGGCCCAACCACTGTCGCAGGACAGCGATGCCCTGTATGGCATGGACTCACAGATAACCTCGTCTCAAGCTCTCGTGCTTGACGCCATTGAGGTCATTCACAAGCCCGTCAGTCAAATCCTCGATCCACACTCTGCTGATGCTGACCATTTATTTTACCTCGTACAGCGCGACAACATGAAAAACATCTTCATGGTATGCATTCCCCATCTTTTTCTTTTGTCCAACATTACTCACAGCATTTAAAGTCCTGCTCGCAGCCTTCTGCGTCATCCTCTTCAAGACTCCAGCTGCCACCCCCCTCATCACTTCCCAGTGATTCCCGTACCTTTGCATCCAGGGCGGAACAGGTAAATCAAGCAGCCATGAGTCGTCTGGCACGAACCTCCCGCCTGAACAGATATATGGAGGCATTGAGAGATCACTGCCCCTTTCACTTTGGAAGAAGAGGACTCCGAGTCTTAGAAGCCAGCCATGCTGCCTGCGAGGAAATGAGCGAAGTGCCCATGTCGGAGTACTACCAGTTCAAACGAGCATTCTCATTTGCTCCCTTCACTTATTGCTTTCAGTGCTGCTTACCCCAGTCAAGAAACCACAACGGCGAGGAACCAGCTTGTCATGCTGGGTTGCTCTACAAGAAAGGGGTGACTTGCCCATTCTCTGGATTCATCTTCAAGACCGTCTTCTGTTTCTGGTCCAGAGAGGAGTTCAGACGTCACTTGATTCAGGATGTCAGCCAAGGGGCCCAGCTCTCGACATTGACCGACTTCATTGCATGGGCAGTCCAAGAACATGCTGAAGAAGGTAAATACAATAATTGTGTCGAGGCTTTCCTCTGGTTCTGCAGCGAGGTGGAGAAAGCAAAGCCTGACTTTTTCATGTGATGGATGAATTTCTGCGGACGAGGCGAGTCTCCCATTTTTAATTCGAGAATCCTATGTCTCATCCGAGTGTACCACAATTATTTCTAGGCAAGAAGAACCGGCATTCAATCATACCCTGCATAGTAGTTAGTTCCGTCGTCTCATGCACATAATCTCACATGTACAACAATATGTCTACAAAGTCAGTACAATGATTCTGGTCGTCTTCCTCTGCCTGTCTTGCAAATCAAGGAATTATGACAAAGGGAGGGGAAAGACTATTGGGTACAGAGGGAAGATCCAACAAGTTGCCTGCGTCGTGAAAGCTGGAACATTATTTCAATTTGAACTCAAGAAACCAGATATCTGGAGATCACATCAATTCGCTTGGTTCTTGTGGTCTCAGGTCCCCATACCAGATAGATCATCGAAGATAGGTGAAGACGAGTCTAAATAAGTGCAGGTGAGCTAAGATAAACTCAGAGAAGTTCTTGAAAGTGCAGGTGGGTACAAACAAGCCAAGGGAGGGGAAAGGAAGTTCAGGCAAGTCCAGAGAAGAGAGGTAAACTCAGGAGATCAGCATGAACAAGTGAAAAGGAGTCTAGACAAGTATAAATCAGCACAGGCGAGCCCAGATCAATGCGGAGGGGTTCATAAAAGCAAAATTAAGTACGAGAGAGTCCAAATGAGTCAAAGAGAGGGAAAACGAGTTCAGGAAAGTCCAGAGGAGTGAATTCAAAATGGGAAGATCAGCATGGACAAGCAAATACAAGTCCAGAAGAGTCAAAGTGAGTTCGAGTGAGCCCAGAGGAATGTGAAGAGGCTCATATAAGCGAAAATAAGTGTGGGCGAGTCTGAAGGAGTGAAGGAGAGGGGGGGACGAGTTCAGCGAAGTTTAAAAAAGCGAAAACAAGCTCCGTGGATCAGCCAAGACGGGTGAAGACGAGTGTAAACGAGTACAGATGAACCCAGAAAAATGTAGAGAACTTCATGAAAGTGAACATGAATACAGGCGAGTTCAAACAAGTCGAGGAGAGGAGAAAAATGAGGGTCAGGAAAGTCCGAAGGAGAGAAAACAAGTAACAAGCCAAGGAGATCTCAGATCATTGTCGGCAAGTACAGTGGATACGACCATATTCTGTTCAAGACAGGGGGACACTCACAGATAGTCATCCCCACAGGGAAGTGGATGCAAAAATAGCGGAGTGGCAGGGACGTCCCTGCTTTGGGGGGTGGTTTCAAAAATAGAGCAGCAGGGACGTCCCTGCTGGGGGGGTGGGTTCAAAAATAGAGGAGCAGGGACGTCCCTGCCAGTGAGTGGATGGGAAAAAAGAGAAGCAGGGACGGAGGAATTGTTACATACGCCCGTCCCTGCTGGAAAACACAGAGGAGCAGGGACGTCCCTGCTGGGGGAGTGGGTGGGAAAATTACGTCAGCAGGGACGTCCCTGCCGCGAGGGGGATGGGAAAAAAAGGAAGCAGGGACGGAGGGACTGTGACGTAAGGTCGGGACGAGTCGAAACGTCGAAAATGGCAGATGGGAAAGAGAAGCAGGGACTGTGAGGTAACGGCTAACCATAAGAGGAAGGAGCAGGGACGGGGACTACCGGGGGGGCGCGGCCGGGGAAACATATAGATAGGTGAGGCGACAGTGGTCGCAATTCATGTTCTTCATCACCCACATCAACTCCACGATGGACGCCGGCAATCATGCATCGGAAGCTGTTCGAATTCTGGATGAGCAGCGTGGCTCTATGTCGGTCCCACAGTTCCACTCCAAACTTCAGCCGAAGAAGAAACAGGCGCAAACGACTGCTGCTAGCACCGACACGTCGCCCGCGTGAGAGGGCGAGCCATGGTTCTGCCCTCGAACTCAAGCCAATCTTCCGGTGTCTGCTCTCCGTGTCCTGCATTTTTTTTAACGAAGCTCTCGTTGGATGAATCTGGAAGGGTACTCAAGCTATCCCCTACCTACTGCCTCTCTAATGCGTTCCTCGTTTAATAATCATTTTCTGCCTGCAGCTACCATAGTGTCCATGTAATTGGTGTACCTACCCATCTATCTAATGACAGTCTAGTACGTGAAATAAAATCTCCTTCGCCAGCTTCACGTCTCAAGGCCTCGATGAGTTTGTGGAATGCGTGTGTCCAGAGCCAAATGATGGTGTTGCAATTGCCTGGGGGATCGAGGGAGATTCCCATGAGATTACGCATCATCTCAGCGAGTCTGGGCGTCGCCAAACGAATCAACAGTTGGCATCGCAGCGAAAACCAGAGACCTACCCTAGCTATAGGTGTCATGCCGAGGGTAAACATGCAGTCAAGTTGCTTTGAATTCAGAGTATGTGATCATGTTGCTCGATTATCATCAACCGACGGTCCTCCTTGAGAAGAATTAGATCGATATATGCGTCTGGACCTTCGTCAATTTCCTCTCCGACTCTTTCGCTGGAGCCTGGAGCACCAATCCAGATGCTGCTGCAACCATTTGGCGAGTATCTGCGATTCTGCAATGGTGATTTCAGGCTCAAGTTCTCGGGGAGGTTCCATCACAGGATTCCCAGAGGTTTTTGAACGAATCAAGGGACGTTGCAGGGCTGGACAGGATCACCTTCTTCAAGCTTCTTTTGCAGGTAGCGGCACCCATGCTGATCTTGGCGCAGTATGGGTATTTCGCTCTGAAGGTCTTCCGGGCGTGTTCCAGCGAAACAGTTCACTGCACAAAGCTGAGTAACAAATTAAATAGCTTGACAAAATCATATGACTATCCATGTCACCCCTCTTGTGCTTTAGGCCGTGTAAACCGTTAATTTTCAATCAGCAGCATTGCTACGACCGATACGCAGACCATGTCGCGTCCCATGGTGGTGACAGATGGCAGTCGAGCCGCTCGCACCATTGACACTCTTACCAGACCGGGTGCTCGAGTCGCGATCATATGAATTAAACCGACCGCTGTCCAGCTGACAGTTCGACCCATAAACGTCTTCGGCGCCGGATTGTTCGAACCCCATATAAACATTGTCGTACTGGCCAGATGCAGATGACGAGTTAGAGAGAGAAGGTTGTAACTCACTCTTCCCAGAGTGCTCGTATATCAGGTAACTACCTTGCTAAGAAAGTCGTCCGCTCAACGCCTGAGAACCAGGAGTAAGAGGAGTGCCCGGGGTTTGCAAAAGATGCCCGTTGCCACCATTCGCCATAGACGGCGGTGTGTGTAGCTGGCATTGAGCGCATCGGGCTCATGACAGGAAAGCCCCGCCTGGTTCTAGGTGCTTGGCCAGTTGAACCGAGAGACGCTTGCATATGTTGACCGGTGCGGTGAGTCACAGCTCCAGCGCCAATAATGGTAGTAGACATGTCAGTTGGCGAAGACGGTAGTGTCAAAGCGGTGTTGGTGACAGTGCGGCGATCGTTTGGAATTGCGTGGTTATGTCTGCGAGCGATGTCCGAGATCCAGAGCAGCAGGTGAGGTGTTAATCTTGCGGTTCGATGTCGGTTTACTTAAAGTAACATAAAATGCAGGTAGAGCACCCGAGTGGCACACGATGCAAACTTGTCCTCATCGGATGTTGGGAGATGCCTCATTGCGTCTAGGAACGATGAGACAGGCAAACAATATGTAGACTTCACCTAATATGCATTTCCTGGTCCAAAGGCTCGTTGAGCATCATTCCCACATTATACTACTAGCCTTCAGTGCGCTCCTCATACCCGTATCTCCCGCGAGGCAAGAGCGAATGTACTACGGCCCCGGGGCTAGGCGTCGCTCGATATTGACGCCCTCCGACGAAGTAGAGACCTTGCAAATGACCAGCAAGCTCCTCGTCGTGACTGCTACCTGAAGTGCGACGGCTGGCTGGCATTCCTTTAGCTCCAGCAGGTCGTGCGTAGTGACCATTCAATCCATGACTGGAACAAATGTCTGGGACCGATGAACGGAAGGCGCATAAGTGACCGATTTTTACTTATCCGCAACCGCAGAACCAACTGCTTTCTTAAGAGTCTCTACATCTACCGAAGAGTGAGAGAGAGCCGACCTAACAAGATTGTCGTCATTCAAAACGGCGTTCACTCTCGGAGGAGTGGTAGGTGCAGAGACCGCGAGATGGGCCAAGCTAGTCGGGTTATAAGGAATGCTAAGCAGTTCCTGGGCCTGCTGTTGTTCGAGCGCGCGCATTTCATACGAAATTCAGAGCGGCCATGCAAGAGGTGAAAGACAACGTTTTCCGCTGAAATAACCTTTGATGCTCGTGCTCCAATCGCTTTAACTTGACGCGCTTCGGGATGGAAGGTCAATTGAAAGGGACAATGAAGGAGGGCTATGAAGGAGACTCACAGCCGACATATCAGGCATATTAGTACCCAGTCTCGCAGCCTAGAAGACACAATAAGGTGCTGTGAAAAGTGAGACAGCGAAGGGATGAAAATTGGACTTACCTAGTCTGCGAGATCGAGGAAAGCAGGAGGTTTCTGATTTCTCCCGTCTGAGGACCGATTATCGGAGGAAGCATCAATACAAATAGCAAAAGGGTTGAAAGCTTTTCTTCCACAGGTGTGAATGACAGAAAACAGATCAAGGAACGCGAGAAGAGATTATAAAAATAAGCCTAGTTGCACGCAAAGATCCAATGTAAGTGGTAATGAAAGTACAGCACTTAGTAAATACCAACCTACAAGCCAATTATACGCCCGTCTATAGTGGATTGATGGTACAAAGCTACTTTCTGAAGCAAACGAGAGCAGGCGTGACTGGATGTTGATTAAATAATCGTGGGCCAGCGTCGTGATTGGCATGGTCCAAAGATGGAGCATTATAGATGCGCGATCCGTCCATCTGGAATCCTGGTATCGAGTCGTGCTCTTGGTATCCACTGTCACAGCAAGTATGGAGGACATCACGATGAGGCTCCCGTAGATTGTGAAGAGGGTCGTTGCGACGGTTGTAGATAACGATAACCTCATGTTGAGGTTCTCGTGGGTGGCGTACACCCTCGTTGGAGTCTCCCTGGATACCCCCATTGGAGGCTCGCTGGTTACCCTCACAAGCGTCGTGATGGACAGGGAGCTTATCATGAGATTGGTGTGGGGTATCTGGAGGGTGAGTTGCGGAGGTTGTAAGTGTACGATTCAAGACCAACCTTGGTGTGAATATGAGGGGAAGTTTTGGAGGAGTGGGAGGATGCGCTGGATGTATGAGAGTATGTGTTGGAGGGCCGAGGATGTACTGAGGGAATAGAGGTCAGCATCGTACAAAGATGATATCAGGATCAGCCACACGCCTTGAATACAACATCGACGACGTTTTTGTCCTTATCCATCACTAGTACTATCTTGCTTGTGTCGTTCGGGCGATCTTCAACAGTATCTCCCAGGTGGGCGTGTTCGATGCGCGGGAGAGGGTGGATGCGAGAGGATGCACTGGATATATGAGAGGGTGTGCTGCATGTATGAGAGGATGCGAGAGGGTGGTCTGACCTGTAAAAACGGGTGAGTGGATCATCTCTGGGACGTGTCAGTTGTTCGCCCGTGGCTTTCGCTGTGCATTCTCATGCGCCGCATTGAGTGTATCGGGCTCACTCTCGTGCAAGTTATCTGCCAATGGAGCTTGGTAGCCAGGTCATCGGCATTGTTATGATGAGGGTGTGATAACATTTAACTTTTCACTCGGAAAATGGTATTCGTACATCCGCGCAGCAAAAACGAGCCCTGTGCTTGTCAGACTCCAAATCGACCGTCTAGAGGATACCACCTTCAATGTGCTCACATAAACCAGCGACTATGTTCGCGTGCTAATTTCGAAATTCTTCCTCCAGCGGTCGAGGCCGAAAGCGTCATCGTTGCTTTAGATGGGGGTGGCGTCAAAAACTATGACTGTATTGAAGTGGAACGTGCCGCGCGCACAGACACTGGGCGTGACAGGCTGGGATACTTGCATCGGCATCTTTGGGCGAGGGAATGAGCATGTCAGAAGCGTTCGCTGTGGATAGTGGAATATGGCTGACAGTATACCGGAGCGGGAATGGAGACGGAATGTGTCGCACGAACGGTAAGCATGGCACAATGTGAGTGCGAGTTCCTGCAGGCTAAAAGAGGTGAAAAGGATATGACTAAATGACGAACTGCGGGCTTACTCGTCCGTGTTTTTCTTGCATATATCGTCTCTCAGTGTGATCTAATGGCTCGGTCTGCTGGCTATACAAATAACATGTGATCGATAAAGTGAGCAATGGTGATGAAAGAACTTCTGATGAGACTTACATGCGACTGCAAGTAGAAATTGTGAATTGCAGGATTGCAAATTCCCTGGTCGGCGACGAATCCTACAGGGCATTTCCCAGACTTATCCCATTCGTTCCTAGACATCCATTCAATAATCACGTGGATACAAAGGTGGTAACTCAGCAACATACCTATTCTTCGGGACGAATCGTGCATGGTGCTTTCAGTAAACGCAGTCGATGAGCGATAAAACCAAATGTATAGAATATATCGCAGACTCTCTGTTTGCCTACGACTATGAATTGGACCTTTGAAGTACTTGTTGCTCCAGATGTCATTGATCGCCCCTATTTGACACGATTAAACAAAGAACAAAGAAATGACCCTCGCTGGACTAACTCACCTGTGATGTCCCGATTTCCTCTTGACCAACGATGCTGTATTCCCCTTCGGAAAGGCCATCCCGGAAGAACATGAACCGAACAGGCGCGGCCCTCTTATACTCGCCGACTTCGTCGATCGCTCGCTCGTGATAATTGATATCGCGCGCACGTAGCAGATGGAACAAACTCCGTAAACCAGCGGCGCAACTCGTCATTTTTTCTTGACGTGGGTGCTGGACCAACACCATCTCCTCATACCGTGCAGCATACCCATAAACCGAATAGACGAGAGAAGCCACAGAGGGCTGGTCGGCCATGCCGGATGCAGGACGTATAGTAGAATAGGCGAAATAGTCGTACTAACACACAGGATAAAAGAACACAGTAAAGAAATAAAACAGTCCCAAGGGCATGTCAAAGACAAATCATGCCATGGAGGCACTGTCCCAAGTGAGTGCACGACGATCGACCATCCCTGTACACAACATACATCGCTTATGGATAAAGCGACTTGCGTTCTGGCCGATCGCGTTAGGATAGGATGACGTATGTAACAAAGGTGTACGTGAAAGACTGATCATCGGGCCTGAGGCCTGATTGTCCATTGTCCACGTAGAGGAGCGTCGACAGGTGTTGGTGGGTTAGCAAGATAATACGTGTTATACCGTACAAGTGTAGGGACTGTCACAAGCGAATTGCGAGTCACCAAAAATCACTGTGAAAAACGCACATGACTTCTAAACGAAGCAAATGATGTTCAAAGGTTGGCGGGCGAGTAACTGGTGTGTTGAAAACGACATTCGAACTTTCGATCACGTGACCTTCCCACGGCCCAGTGAAAATTCCCGCTACGTAAGTAGTGGGTCTTAGGGCCTCAACTTTCGATCGTTTTTGGCGGGGCATTGAATTTTCGTGTCCGGAAGTTAACCTAATCGAACTCCGGAATTCGGATAGAATTTTAAATTTTAGTCAACATCTCTATCGAATACCGATGAATGCCGCTTGTTCTCCCACCTCATGAACATTTGCGATGTCGAAGGGCAATCTGTCACTATCTCCCATAATTTGTCTAGGGAATCGTCTTCGGTCTCTCTGGATCTGTTGCATGGAACACGGCGATGATAGGAGAGCACTGTTTGTTTCACTTTGACTGTTGTTGACGGTCCGCAGGCTTGATGACCGACTTTCCTTTCGTTGTACGGCGTGGTCTCATCAGCAACATCGTGCTATAGGGTTGCGACTGGGTTGCTTATTATCATGATGCGATGGAAATTGATGTATTTGTGAGGTTCTTCGAGAACTATTTGTTGGTGGACATAATCTATTCAATGCTACAATGATGTTGGTGGATCAAGTGGCTCGATTACATGGGTGTGATGAACTTCAGTCTGTTACCGACGATTCAGACGCTCGTGATCGTGTGTTGTTCCATTAGCCCTGCAGGCGTGCTTGTTGAAACGCCCGTCGCTCGCAGTACAAAAAAAAGTAGCGGGCTCTGCCACGCACGTGGCCTTGTGCGACTTATCGACAAGAAACACGCCAATACGTAACGATATACGTCGAGGAAAATTGAGGCTGTCAATTTTATCGCTGCGTTTCGAGCTACGCACATGAAAAAGAGTCCAAAAGACGTCCGGAACGCATTGGCGGTGAGTGGCGCCGTGACACCAATGAGTACTACGCTGACCACGCAGTCCTTTCAGAACGGAGGGAGGATCGTCCATGATCATGTCAGCGGCAAGGGGACTGCGGAACGGGAAGAAAAGGACAACAGAAATGCCGGATCACACAAGGAAGTGAAGACACTGGACTCGTTGGCCATATCATCGAGCCATGAGCCGCCCAGTGACATTTCAGAGGTTTCGAGTGAGGAGCTTGAGTCAGTCTATACAAGTACAAAGCTCACTAAAACATTAGCAGCACGCGGAGAAGCTGTAGATGTGGTAGCGGGTGAATCAACAGCAACAACTAAACTGATGTTCCGCGCCACCACAGAAGGACCAGGACATGAAATCAGCCGAAACCTACTCAGCTGGATGATACAACGATTTCGCACACTCGTTGGCGTCCCGCTCGATGAGCCCCTCAACGGCCAACTTATCCAACAGTCACCGGATGAGTACGAAGACCTCACAGAGCATGACTACTTGGAGGCGCTCGGGATAGAAAGATTGTATGCTGCATTGCTGAATGCTCATGAGAGCCCCGGACACCTCATTCATCTCGCACATGCACTGGGGAGGGCCGCCAACGAGACAAACATGTTGTCTGATTCTAAGCCAGACACACCGGCCTTAGAACCCCTACCACCGACGATGTTGCCGCTTCCCGGGACCGTGACATCTGGTGATGACCTCGCAAATACTAAGGATATATTTCCTTACGTTATAGAATATCGCCGAGTTGATAATGTGGGTGCCACGAGTCACCGGTACAAACCTTTCAGCTCCATTGGATGGAAGGAGACGGACGACGAGGACGATGACGACGACGAATACATGCCCTACAACCTTGATCTTTAGAACGAGGCTACTGGGAATTAAGGGTCAAAATCCCCCACGGAGGACATGTACATTCATGGAGAAACGATCAGCAGTGATTTGGGATCCGGAGAAGTCGCAGACGATGAACATAATTGTGCGGACACTGACACGTCCAACATCTCCGCTGATGACATGGACACAGCGTGAGTCAGGGGATGCAGGCGATTTGCCCTGAATTGATGTAGTAGGCTGCCGCAGCATTAAACAAGCTTTTTTTATTTCACGTAAGGTCTTGGATACGATCTAGAAGCGTTGCTTGGTCTGGAACCGATAGGATGGTGGGACACATGAGGGGAATTCTGATGTGTCAGGTTCAAAGCGTGTGGGTGCAGCGTAAAACCAGGCGAAACCGACGTTATGTTAGGACTCATGTAAATGAATGGTATGGAAAGGACATATAGCTCTGTAGTGAACGACTGGAATGGAAAAACACAATGTCGGACAGTTTAGAATGCAACTGCGACGGAGGGAGATGGACAAAAGAGCGTAGGTAGAAGATTGAATCAGGGCCATGCGGTATAAGACTCAAAGCTGGCGACCTGGAGGAAGTAATACAGATCTAGTGGAAAGTGTAAACGATTGTGGGACACAGAGTGATTTCCTCTGTCAAGGAGACGATCGCGTTGGCTGCTGTACGACGCACGAGTGAGGATGGTTATAATGTTGAGCTGGAAGAATAAAACGTACGTTCTGTATGACTACGGAGAACTTTCTTTTTTCTGTGCTGTGACGCCGCGATGTCAACATCATTTGAGAGCACTGGATGCACTTCTGTGGTGATTATATCATGACGTGTACGAAGGACAATTCTACGAAGGGTTCTTCCAGTAAATCCACAGGCCCTCTGCACCATGGAAGGACGTGCAACAGCGGTGGGAACGTAAATTGTGTATCGATCACCGCAGTGTGGTTGTATTGCTTTGAATGCAACATGAGTGCGGGTACGACTGACGATGGCGGAAATCTGGCAGTAGAAGGTGCACGAATTTTTATATTTGCATGGTGAAGATGAATTACATCTTGGAGACCATCTGCACGGTGAAGATGATGTGCACGGTGTAGATAACACGTAGACCTGAACGCTGTCTCCAGGACCAATTTTACCGTCGCAAGATGGATGGTCGAAAGACTCGAACCTAAAGCTGCTTCCATGCGAAGCAATAGGTTGGTGTTTTATCCGATATACGGAAATAATGCTTTGTGATGGCATGGATGAGAAGGGACAGTATGAGTCAGGGTAGACAGAGAGAGTGCAGGACGCCAGCGGCGTCAAGATTCGACAGAACAAATGATAGTTATTTACAGGCAGGTCAAAACCGGAAATAGGGCTCATCAGAAAGACCAATATTCGGTAAGATAGATCTCGGAGGTAGAAGATCTGAACGAACCCGCATGGAACATTCAAATGGCTCATTAAAATCGGCATGAAAATAAAATAGGTCCGCATGCGATAGGAAGCCAGTAGTTTCATTGCCGGTTGGGGTTGAGCTGGGCACCGATTTTTTCTGCACCGGTTCATAATAAACATATAGGATACATGCCCTGACATTCGACAGCACGACGCCATTGGGCGTCCCGTGAAGTGCATAAATCCAACCAACGATTTATTTGACTCGTCGTGTATGCAATAATGATGTTGCCGTACCCACAGGGCAAGGATTGACTGCTGTGCAGCTGACCTGGCAAGAAGCTATCGTATTTCGCTCTCCGATGCAAATATATGATCGGGACGTCACGACTATGGTTCCAGCCCCATCGGGGATCCCGAAACATAATCTTCATTTTGAATATATAGAAAAATAAGAATTGATTGTACATAATGTCAGCCAGGAAGGAGACGAGTCCCCCTTGGTTTGTGTCGCGTCTGAGGACTCAGAAAACCTGTTCTATATACATCCTGCACATGTGTGGAATTGCAACAAGAGAAAAAAGAATGTAATTAAGCCTTTGAACGGCGTAAAACGAATGTGATTATGCCTTTGAACAGTTTAAATACGACTCTGGAATAAATAGGAAACTGTCCATAACAACGCTGCCGGACACCCAAGGAACACAGACGGCGAATATGTCGAATATGTTAAGATGCAGCATAAACCTGATATTAGGGTCCGTATATTTCGGGGGCACTGTTAGGGACAATACTGAGTATGGCGGGGGTGGTACTGCGGAGGGTGATGTCGTACCCTCCATAAACTTCCATCCCTGCCAGTGTGCCTGTCTCTGCATACCCTCTGATCGTGAGCTGTAATGGAAGAGCCTCTTGGGGATAGAGAGTGAAGGGCGGTTGAAGTGGGACTTGCTGGCATCGAGGAAGCCCAACGACAGGCTACAGCTCCCCAGAACCGATGTAACCAGGACAAGCGTGCAACACTAGTTGGAAAGTAGATTTTGTGCAAGCCTCCAGTAGGAATGACGCCACTTGCATTGACCCGGACTCCAAAGGCGATGTGCGTGGTGCTCCAACCATCGATACAGGCGATGGTGCCGCAGAAGGTTGGCGGGGAAAATGGAACCGATGATGACGAACGTGAGTGCTGGCAGACATGAATCCTATCGCCTATACCAAGCGTAGAATTCTCATCCACATTTATGAAACCGTGGAATATCCAGCTGATCACATAGTCTGACGAATGGGTGGTGTCAAGGAAGGTGGATGCTGCTATCATACTTGCTGAAGACCTTGATGTCTCAGGAAGCAGCACGCTTGATGGACACCTGGCAGGTTGCGAGAATGAGCTCGTATCGTTGGTGCACGCAGCTGGCATATTAACAGCGAGCGACCCGACGAGTTCGCATGCGGGTTTAATTTCCAAGGACTTTTAACGGAGAAGTCACCACAATATAAACATGCAAGACGGGCGAATCCGAAATTATTCACCGTGTGATGACAAACGTCAACTGAATCAACACCTGTCCTATAGGTAATATCAACTGAGATGGGACGAATGAATCGGGCCATGACTATGGTATGGAAGTAAGGCCTGGAAATGTAGGGGGAGGGGAGGGTCGATGTACATCACGAGGTACACGTTACGTAGATATTCTCGCAATCAGAAATTAGTGCTAAATCATGCGCATCGGTTCCGGCAAAGATCAGCTTTGCACATTTTTGGGCCCCAACCCGGTGGGACATCGATTTGTGATCTGTTTTTAATTCATGGGCATCGCTATGTCGTGTTATATGAATATATTAGGTCCGTAAGGACCTTTCACTTGATACATCTCTTGTCCAACTTTGCTCAACACCTGTGGCAAATATTTGATATTTGATATTTGAAAAACAGCCCGATCGTATTATAAATCGGCTCCTTGGTTTCGTTCACCTACCCGAAGTATCACCCTCAATTCTGCAAGTATCATGTGCTTTAGCCTTTATTTCGTGGGGTTGAAATTGTGGTGCGGTGGTTCAATTCCCCGACGTCCTACTTGGTGTGCTAACACATCACTTCAGTCAAACATCATTATTCATTCCCGCTGTACAAAGCCAAGGACGTGCCATTTCGCTGACTAACTACTGGAAATTTTGTGATCAAGCGCAGTGAAACTCAATGTTTCCTCGCCTGCTCGTTACTTCAATCGGTCAGCAGACCACGCAGACCACGGAAACCCTCACATACAAGGTGACCTGTAAATTCTATATATGTTCTTCAAGACGCTAACTCGAGCATCGTTCCTGCGAATAGAGCAACAGGTCGTGCGACCGGATCCAGAACACTTCAACTTAATGTGTCCCCGCCTGGTCATCATTAACCACACCGTTCATGGCCACTCTCAAGTCCAAGGTGACCCTTCATTAGATTTTTGGTTCTTTACAAAGCTAACACGACCATTATTCCTGTGCATAGAGTACGAAGCCCCGCGACCGGTCCCGGAACGCTTCGACTTAATGTGTCCGAGCCTGGCCATTACTCCGACCAGTCAGCAGACCACGCCGTCCATAGCCGCTCTCAACTCCGAGGTGACCCATACATTCAATATGTCGCATCGAGTCACTGAAAAAAAATCCTGAACGGTAATTGTCTACGTCGTTTGAAACTGTTTCAAATCTCATTTCAAAAGGCCAACCGCTTCAATAGGTGTGTGCACATGCGTACATGTTGGCACTTGCAGAACCTGACAGTCGACAACAATAATGCAGGTTTCAAGCACCGATATAGATGTGTCCGAGGGCCATGCACAAACCTTGTTCTCTCGGTTTATATCCACGTGATTTGCACAGTGCCATGTTATTAACCGTTATTCACAAGTTATTAACAGGTTTTTTATTAGCACGGTTGATAAAAATCGGGTTTTCACCCGTATTCTGGACGACGTGGTGGGACAATGGGATACGATTTTTGTGTCCACCATCATGGTTGTCAAAGTTGCAGAGATTTTGCTTTGAATATTGTATAAAAAATGAAGACAAATTTTGGACTAACCTTCAAATATCTGACATGTGTGCGGACATTTCTACCTTGGATATGTAATAAATATGGTTCAAAGTCGGAGAAGAGCTTCATGTGAACTTGAAAATTGATATATCATCCATCGCACTACATTAGAGCTACGGGGGTCTATAGGTAATTCATTTGCTGAGGTTAAGATAGCTACGCTCCCCGCTCCAGCTCTTCAAGGGCAAAAATCAAACGCTGCTTCTCCGAGGTCTCCCGATCCAACAAGTGCCTGTACTCGACGATGGCCTGCCTCTCGGACTCTAACTGCGCCTCAAGGTATTTTATATACATGTCGTCCTGGTCCAGTTTGGCCTGCTGGACCACCGTCTCGGCTTCTAGCTCGTTGATGAGCTCGTAGCTACGTTCGAGCGCCTGATGGTGTTCAACTTTGGTGTCGTGACGTGTCTGGTCATCATGACACAGCTCCTGCTGCAGCCACTCGATTGTCCCGTTCAATTGGTTGATTAAACACTTGGTCTTGCTATCAATCGAGCTGATATCTGACGAAGTGTCGTGGCAGCGGACACAGGAACAGGCATATGAATATTTGTCCTACATTCAATGTCAACTGATGTGTAATGGTGCGTGACCTCGACGTACCATGTGAAAACACGCATTGCCCTGTTCATCATACGTGCAATGCACGCGAGCGGAGACTCCTGAATCCTAGAAACGATGTCAACTGGCGTGCAAATGCACAGTGATCTAAACGCACCGTGCAAGAATTTGTACCTTCCTGCGTATCAATCCTCTGACGCTTTTCATCCTGGAAAGAGGCAGGGCTGTGATCTGCAGGGCGTTTGGGTGTGTCTTCAGACATCATGAATGATTGCGGTCAATAAATCTAAGTGAGCTGTTGAATATAGTAGATCTCTGAAGGCTAGGAGATGGGCTTTTGAAATGGCGAAGAGTAGCGACAGAGCGGGATAAATTAGTAAGCGTACTGAGTACTGTGGATGTTTTGACTGTGGAAAATGGATACTTATGCACCTAACGTCCGACTGAAAATGTTACTCATTATGTGTTGTTGTGTGGCTGCTACATAATTTAGTAATCAAAAATATCGCCACACACAAAGCGCTACCGCTTGTCCCGTTTCATAAATGGACAACCATTGTACTACAGACTGGAAGGAACGTTGGACATCGTGTAGCGTTGTCATAGCTTATAATTATGCCCATGATTGGGTTAAAAAAAAGCGTATCCGCTATGGTAATGCTTTATAATGTTGTTTTGCGATTGAACATCCACTCTGAGAATGCTGACTAGGCCTGTTCACAGTGTATCCACAAGCGCACTCTCAATCGATGTTGTCCAGCCGAAGACTGAGCCTCGGTTTACGTCAATGTAGATATTATGTCTGATGGTTTGAATAGTCACGGATGGAACGTCCATGATCATGATGCTTACCAATCGTGGCTTCGCATTTCTAACAAGTCTGCCTGGTGCCTGCGCCTTTCCTGCATACAGCACGATCATCCTATGGGTAATTAGTTATGTACACACTAACATAAAACCTATTTGTTGCGTAGTTCTATCCTGTTAGTGCTCGATGGACTTCAGTAAATTGGCGTGTTTCTGTCCCAAACAATGCTTGGCGGAGTTTGATATGAACAAAATCTTATTCGCTCATCGATGCCATCCACAGGTAGATTCATGCAATCCTGCAATTAGCAGCTCTACGATGATGACTAGTACCCAAAAACTGCAAGTCGCATTGAATTTGATTCGATACGGGAGTAGTGATAATTCGTAAATATATGGGTTATAGGCAGAGCTAGACGGGACCGGTGGCATCGTGATAATGACGACGCAATTAGGCACAAACTGTTGCTATGCATCTTGGCTTGTGAAGAAATTTGGGTGGGATGTGTGGTATCATGTACGTCGTTGTACTGAAAAAGATGAAACCGGAACGGAGTAGGGATTTAGTCCAATTCAATCAAATGTCTATCATAAATACAGATTCATCGCGGATCAATCACATGTCCAACACCCTGAACGGTTCCAACTCCCTCCATAACATTTCCCTATCCACCGTGTCACTAGCTAGGGTGTCATCGGCCTCTCTGAAGAGTTTCGTCGAGAGGCTGCCTATGTTCTTGATCCCAAGAGAGTTTGAAATAACCCTGCAGATATGTTCCGCGAGCGACGCAGTCTCCGAGGGCTGTATCTTGCGTTGTGCGGCGTCGATTGCGATATAATCCTGGCATTTGAGGACCATTAGACACAGGCTCAAGAGCGGCCGCCGATACAGAGCTGTAAGGGTATGTCCATAATCGAGCGAAGCTGGGATGGCAGAGCTGCTTACTTATTCTGGTGGACAGATGAGGGACAGAGATCGCAATTCTCCGCAATGTCTCCAGCGAGTACGAGTATGAATGGGTTTGGTTGGTCAGAAATTGGCCTTTCCTGTGATCCATATAACGGGCCCTCTCTGTATGGTGCATTGAGGCGAGGTTGACGAATGAAGCACCCGACGCAAAGGCGTCTATGGGCGTGTAAGCGCCATGAACCTGGCCAGGGGGCTGTATCCTGTATTCCAGTGAGCGATCAGTGTAATCTACGAGGATATAGACGGCCCATACACGAAATCTCCGGGACCCAGGTAGACAACTTCAGCATCCCACAATTTCCGCACTTCCTCCTTGTGGTTAAGATAATCGACCAGTTTCACCATCGCGCTTGAGTAGGCCGCACGACCACCCTTCTGGGATTTCAGCCGAAAAAACACCCAAAACTTCCCTCCTGACTCCATGCGAATGTACGTCGCAACACCATCGGCATCGTGATGGGCAAACGACACGAATCCAGCTTGATGGAGGAGGCACCAGGAGTGAGTGGTGAAGTTGTCTGGATGAATTGCCTCCTGAATCGGGCACTGTTGCGCTGTCTGACTCCAACCGAACCGCCGTCCGTGATCCAGATTTCTGACCAGTAACAAATGTCATGATTAGCGAGAAATTCAATGGAGGCGCTGCTTACCGCAATGGATCTGGGAGACATCCATGTACGTATGGGATGTCGAGAACACACTGTATTTTCGTCTCATCACTCATACCAGAGACCACGTCAGATATTGTACCACTCTGGTGAGGACGGGAGGAATCCGCGATACGAGTCTCAACATCTGGTAGGGTACATAGAATGAGGTTTACTACTACTGTCCAGGAGACTCACCATGAATCGATACAGGCATATCAGGATTGAATCCGAATTTGCGGTCCAGCCATTCTGTCGTTACCTTGGTAGGAGAATTTGTCGCATTTCCGCGGACGACAACGGGTTTGTTCATACGCAGGGCATTTTCGATCATCTCCACGATGTCCTCACGTTCCATGGCTGCAGCAGAGAAGTGTTGGATATGCTTTGATGACGTCCTGGACATTGGGAAGGATGCGAAGAACTTCACTACTTCAGCGTCCACCGACTGGCAAATATTAACTCCGTTCTTCATGATTGTGGGAAGGTTAGTCGTCCTTCCATCCTCCCATCGTACTGTCGCCGACTGAGCAGGGACTTTGCGTCCAAGTATTCTCACGGAAAGCTCCTGCGTGTCGGACGATGTGCTGTCCATCCGAATGTCCTTTGATGGCTTACTATGAGCCGTTGGCGCGGGAGCGAATGCGGGTTCTGCGGATTCGACATCTGATTCCTCGCTTTCGAACCGGACTAGCCTTGATACCCGATACTGAGATGTGCGTGGAGGAACCAATGCAGGTTCTTCGTCTTCGTCTTCGTGTCCATCACCCGCCATCTCCACATCCGTAGATGGATCACCCTGAGGTGGTGTGGCGGTGACCGTTGCCTGTCCATTACGGAGCTCACGATGTCTTGCACGTTCAAGTTTTTTTCTCTCCCTGTCCTTGCGCCTTAATTCATCCAACTTTTCCTGCGACAGCGATTCAAGCCATTTTCGCCGTCTAACTGTACCGGATTGGACATTGTCTGTCATACCGGCATTAACCTTGGCCTTCTTACTAGTCGTCGAGTGCGGAGCCATCTGCTCGTATATTGCAACATTCGTTTAGCGTATTGAATTGAGAAATTATCTACATTACCTTGGCGATCTCGTGTTTGGTAAGGTTTCGGACGAGTCGCTAAAGGATGTGGGTTTGAGATTAACTTAGGGCAAGTTCGACAGCTTAAGGCTACTTGATTTGTCATATACTCACACGCCACTAGTCGAATAAGATATTACACGATTTCAGTTCCAATTGGATGACTTCCCGTAGGCAAAAATAATGCAGTATAGAATATAATTTCACGCTTTAGGAAGGTGTGCCTGGGCGTGAGCGAATTACCGCAATGGTCTCAGCAGCTACTTACGTGATCCATCACCTTTCCATTGTTAATACTCATTTCCCCATCCTTGCCGAAATCATACTACTGGTCGTAAGTGACGTCCCGCACTGAGGTTTGACACATACATTAACCATTGTATTGTATTTTGTATGTATGCGTCTTGGTCAATGATCAGCGTCGATTATTAAATATATGTTGTGATGTCGGACGGGTAAATGTGACGGCTGTGAAATAATTACCAGCGAATATTCAATCATTCATTTTGTCTGCGTATAATGGATTGGGCCACACGTTTCGATGCAGCATCCAGCGAGCAGACTGTGATGTTGTTCTAACCAGTAACTAGTACTTTTCCCACAGGCTACTCGACGGTTAGACATGAAATTCAAATTCCGTGTCACTGCGGTGAGAGCGCATCTTTACCTTCACAATGAAATTGTTGTGTCTTTGGCAGTAGTTTGGAAATAATTCGTCAAAAACGGTTGCAGTATGACCTGCCACGCGAATATACCAGGGTGGGGTGCGGCACCACACCACATTCCATTGTAAGTCCTGCCAAGCACTACCTGTCACACACACAAATATCTTTACGAAGCAGGGCATACTGCAAATTGCTTTGACCAATCCTCCATCATTTCCAAACTGCTGCCAAGACAACACACTTTCAATACGAAGGTAAGCATGCGCCCTCATACGTATGATACAATAATAAGCAGCGCGTTCTTTACCACATGCCCCTGCGGATGAGTGCTGTGGAGTTCCAACTACCACATATAACAACGATGTTTGACGCATGATGTTCGCTAGATAAATCAGTACATGCTGCTTATACTCGGTGCCATTCCGGCAGTCACACAGGTGGATACAATGTCAGCAGTGCATGAAATTCTTCCGATTATTGAATTCCATGTATGGCGAAGTACAAAGTAGCTTAGGTGGTTCAGGTGTCCATATTCAAGATCGGGTAACCTATGCAAGTCCAACAGCAGCATCCGATTCACCCCAGTCGTTCAGCCAAGCCTGATAAATGTGATCAAGCTGCTTTTAAGAGGTGAAATAACTCGTACCTGAGTGTCAGCTTCAGTTGGTCCGTGTGGAGCACCTCCCTGCGCCGTGCCTAATGCCTGAACAGGCAGAATGGCCAGCCGACGAAGACCTCAGCATTGCACTGCGTACGCGATTTATATGACCCCTCACCTGCACCTTATCCGTCGGTGGGAGAGGATGAATTTTATTCGCATTAACGATACCGTGAATAGCCAGAGACGACATGGACCCCTCTACCTGATGACTGATTACTCCGAGTGCATTCACTGGGACTGGAAAATATTACCTGTGCTACCTTAGGGTGATATCCCGCATGTTGGGTAGCCTTACTTCCGTTGGTGCTCGGCTCATACGAGCGGGTTGCGATGGTCTGAGTAGCTGGCACGAATATCTGGGAATTTGGAAATGAACACACATGTGTTCGTCAACGATGCATACCACACTCACCGGTATTCCAACCTCGGCTTGTCCTGTCGATACGTGCGGTGTCTCAGAGACCAGCCTTGTGTGCAGTTGGGTCAGTCCATCTCCTGGGGTTTGCAGTACGAGAGAGCTTGACTGGCCAATTGATCGGCGGTCGCCTAACAATTTTGACCGTTTGCTGTCTCCCCCACCACCTTCCTCCTGAGGGGCAATGAGTAAGAATATTCCGTCATCGAGCAGCAGGGTACCTTGTTCGGGGACATTGTGAGTGATTTTGCTCGCTTCCGCTTCCGCTCTCCTTCAGACGCCTCGCACAAGCTTTCTAGATATTTGAGTGTCCCGCCATTTGTGCTCACGATCATCGGGTGAGCGGGCACCGCTGGAACGGCCTTCTTGGTGATATGAGCCATCTCCTCGTCAACAGCCATACCGTCAGAAGATAGGTCCGGACCATCCACGCCAACAGCCTCATGGTCATCGAGCACCTCCACATCTTCAGTAATGGTGACCACCATATCGTGATCGTTCGCGCGTTTCGATGTCAATGTGGGCAATGGGTCCACGGAATCGACCCGGGAGCTACTGTGAGATAGTAGATTCGTTGTCAGCGCAGCCTTCCCCAGGGCATGGAACAGGTGGATGAGGTGGTAAGAGCTGTCTTGCGAGTGGTTTAATGCAACATAGAATCGTTCAAGCCCCAGCGCCTCTAAGTAGTCATCATATTCCTGGAAGGAGGCCTCCTTTGGGCTTTGTTCCATGAGTTGTCCGTTGAAGTCCTCATCCAATGGAATGCCAGACAGTGCTCGATAACGCCTGATCAGCCAGATCAATGTATTGTCTGCGATTTTCTGCCCATTTCCATAGAGATGGGCTCGTCGCAGGAGTTCCTTATCACTGGTGGTAGCGAGCGATCCGATAGCTTTCGACCCGGTCTATGACGAACATCAGCCATCATCCTGTAGAGTGGAATTCCACAACGGACATTACTGCCAACAACTGCCGCACGGTCATCCGCACGATCTGATCGTCCTGGGAACAACTTGAGAGTACCTGGGACGCTTGCTATTATGGATTCGTTTCTAACAGGAACGTCGTCGCCGTCCTCGCTCTCTGGCTGCCGAGGTGAAGCAGGAATAATCGACGTCTTGCGTTGTCGCTTTCCCCCTCCAGTTCGACCTTTGCGCCTCGGCTTGTCGCCCAGGCCCTTTTCATCCTCTGTACGACATGCCTTTGTTGAAACATTGGATGATGGAGTTCCCGTGGCCCCTGGTCGTGTCACGGCGGTGTTGTCATTATCAATCGAGGGGGTAGTTTGGCGCTTCTGCACTGTTTGTGCCATCCTCTCCTTTGAGACATTGAGCCGCGAAGGTACGTCCTCGATATCTTTCTCCATAGGCGCAGTTCCCTTCATCGTCGAAGATTGTGCCATATGCGGAGAGTCGTCTTCCTTCCGTTGCCTCATCTTTGAGACTGGTATCTTGATCTTCAAACTCTCAGTCCGAGTTGCAGACCGCGTGGTCGGCACACCTCCCAGACGATTCACCTGCTTGGATGTTACTTCGTCCAACTGCTTAGCCTTCCCCTTTCTTGAAGGCCCTGGTTCGGGCAGGACCTCGACATGCGGCACAGAGGGATGGGATTCCAACCATGCGGTCACGTTTTGCTCAACATATCTATCGATCATCGTGAGAGACGCATCGGAGTGCTTCACACCGTATAAACCACAGAGGTTCTCGTCATCGCCACACAGCAGGGCGTGAAAATCTGAGGGTGCGGTGACTTGTGCCAGAGGTCAGCAAAGTTCATCGCCAAAATGCTACTCACGTTTAGCTAACTCTGGGATGTTCACGCCAGTTTTGAAATCTATCCACTTCACATGGAACTTCCTTTCCATCTTACGCTGATTGGACTCTGTAAAAGTTCCACCTGATAGTACCAATGCGTAATGGAAATCAAGGCGTGCCGATCGATGTAACACATCACCGAAATCGTTCCCCAACGCGTCCGTCTCTTCCTTGAACGCGAACATGACGTCCTTCAGGTAGGCGACCACACTGGTGTACAGCTGCAGTCTCAGTGGGTCCACACGGCCCCGATCCACTTCGACCGCTAGTTTTGCCACCATCTCAACGTATTTGCGCCACTGATAATGCAACGCCTCAAATGCATTCTTGCACGATCGCGATATTTGATACTATAAATCCTATACTCAGAGCCGAACACTGAAGATGAAACACACTTACAATACGGTCATCTTTCTCAAACATGACACAATGCGTCCCTTGACGAGCCATCGGAGCGATTTCGATGGTCATGTTGCAAAGCGCGATGCGTTCTTCAGCGGATCGTGGAATTTTGTGCAAAATGACCGGATCGGATAACGGATACTGCATGGGCATTGTTGGGTTTGGAAGAGAGCGTCGCTCAGACACTCTCTGATCTAGCAGCGACCTACCACGACGAATGATAATGAAAATTGTGAAATGAGTGGAGACGACGGTGCTGATGACGTATCTCGAGGAGTGCAGAATTATACATTCCACAACAACTTGCAAACAGCTTTCAATCGGATGTTCTAGGACGCAGTCCGGTATCTTCCGGCCTTGGCTTCCATATTGGGAATGATGGACGAGGACCTCAAAGTCCACTTTTTGGAGACCAATACATTGTACTACCCAACTATTGTTCTGATGCTTACAACATGGAGTGGTTCTAAGACATTGAATGGCAAGCAGTTTAAAGAAAATTGAGGACTCCCACTAACCTACGTGCTGGAACCCTACGCTAAACTGGAAGTCCATACACAAACCATACACCAATCTGACGTCATTCGATCTGGTGACAATCGACGAGAAAGTATCGAACCCTGGGTCTGGTCCTTAGATATCCGTTCACACTGATGTTGGTCCGGTGGGTGTGTTCCATCTGAATCTCGATCTGTCCTAACCTCGATTCACGTAAAATTTTACAAGCTGTGTCATTCAAAGTCGATACACGCAAGGCTTAGGAAACGTTTGTGTATTTGAATGTAGAAATAATACCACAAGCGTTAGGTATGCCCATCACCACGTTTGGACGCGGCAAGCGCTAGCCCTGATCAGATCAGCTGTAATGGAATATCAGGCGCAGCTCATTTCAGTGTATCCACATCTTTGGATCTTTGGAGAGGGGATCATTATTCGTGACAACTAGACGCAGCGATACGGCGGGATATTAGACGTGTGATGTAAATGACGGATCATGGAGACTGGAAACTACAACTGTGTCGTCTAACAAAATACATGTAGGGTCGAATCATTAGCACACACTTTCAATGGAAGTAGGAAGGGACCTGGCGTGTATGTAATAGCTTCGGCGAGCAATGAAACATCACAACCCGCTAAGGCTGGGTTGCGGTACCTCCTCGATGACGCCGTCGTCTCTATCGTCTTGTATGTAAATGTATTCCCCACTACCGTGCGAACCCCCAACTACCCTAGCCCTAATCGGCTGCTGGTAATCCAAATCATGTTCGGGGACCCGATCCTTATGCATATAATCCATCACTCCGTTGGTTTGATTGGTGAGTGTAAAGCAGCGATGATTTCCTGTTTGATATCATCGGTCAATATAGTCCTTCCACATTCGCTAGCATGGACTGACCGTGGTTAGGCTGAGAAAGCTGGGCCGTCTCATCAATTATGTCCCAGAATAACATGCATGCGCGCCCAAGATCATCCCAACCACATACTATTGGCGGTGCGAGGACGATGCGAGGATCATTGATGTCAAGCTTAACCAGCGATTTTGCAAATTGCCGGTGAGATCGAACACGGAAAACCAGGACTTGAAGGGGTGGATGCCTGAGAACCCGCTCCACCGCCATGCGCATCCAGTACGCTGAGGAGCAAGGTATAGCATTGAGCACGAGGTGTGTCAATCGTGGGAAGTATGATGTTTGAATGCGATGAACTGCATCTATGTCGTCGGTCTCAAAATGTGTTAGTCCAGCGAAGACGGTTGAGTTGGTGACCGAAGAGCGAGTCAGGACGACACCGACTCGCAGAGATAGAACCTTGAGTGGGAGGGAATCCAGTAGTGGTAGGAGCGTTGCTTCGACGTTATCGAACTCTATCTTATCAGGCGTCAGAGAAAGATTTGTGATCCCGGTGCACAGTGATAGTATCTCCATGATTGTCGTGCCTTTGATGTCCCCACATAGAGACATAGCTGTAATGGATGTCCTGGAGAACTCCTCATGATTGTGCCGTCGGCGGATACATTCAAGAAACATGCGGGCCACATCTTCATCATACAGCACGACGCTCTGATACAGCTGATTTATAAACCTATAGTAGTACTATCAGCGAGATGTAATATATTCAAGCATAAAATGCTCGCCAACTGTAGGTCCTTCGTTGATACAGAATCCAAGAGGCTGCGCTGCCCCTGGTCCGAGTGGCAAGGGTGAATATTTGTATGGCAATCTCGAGTGGAACCTTCATGGTTGATCATGCAATGAGAACACAAGGACAAACACGATATGCCACAATATTGAGCATAATCCTGTGGAAAAAACAGAGGGCACGCGTCGTGTTTGCTTATGAAAGCAGCTTTATCTATGTCAATCGTCATATCGTGTGTTGTCATTGGTCGTCGATTCTACATTCATTCCGAAGGATAAGACCTGTAGGATTGGACACATTCACTGCAGAAACGACTTTTTAGCAAGAGGTAAAACTAACCCTGAGTATGGGTATAATCCGAGCTAATACCAACCCAAGCAGTAAAGTAGACTAAAACCTGACTTGCGAACTTTCCAAGACTCCGAGGTGTGAGTGAAAAATAAATCTGAATCTAAGCAGACGTCTGTTACATTCAACATCCATAAACAAACCATATTCGGGTCGGGAACGGCGCTTGTTCCAGACCGCGATTTTCTTCTCTTTATACCTTGTATATCTACTACAACCCACCCCGGAAAAGTGTTTATCTTCGAATTCTGACCCTCGACGTGTTCAGGTGAGCTTCTAACTGCTTTTTTTTTCACTAAGTCCCCGCAAGTTACCATGAACCAAAGCCAAGTAGGCCAAACCATCAAGCTTACGGTTCCGGAGGATTTTAAAGAACTATCTCTCACCTTTGGTAGGAAGGAGGCTGGCCCTGTGGTACGTATTTTCAAGTCCATTATGCCAGCACCTTCTCTCCCTGGCCTGCCACACCTCTTGGAGGCGAAGCAGGACCAGAGGCTATTGAGCTGCTCAGACACCCCTCGTGGAGGCGAATCTGAGCGTCAAAGCTCGACGGCTGAGATTCAAGCTTTTACCTTTGAAACTAAATGAACAAAGTTTCATTGGCTCACATACCTGTCATTAGACCATCGAGATCACAATTAATGTCCCTGACCGTGACTGCCCCACCAAAGTCTCCTTCAAAAGGCCAACTTCCACTCGAGAGGATGATAGTGTCACGGAGCCCGAGAGTGAAGATCTCAACCAATAACCGGTACAGGTAAGACATCTTTACGCACTAGTACTGTTCACATGAACTAAATCATAGTGTAAGGTACAGGCAAGCTCTTCAAAGTCCAAACGTGAAATTGTCGGCGAGGGAAAGCAACCATATGCACCATCCAAGGCTTTAAACTCTCCCTCTAAGCGCCCCGTCACTGTAACCTCGATGGTACGGGTGAGCCACTGGCGCACTGTATGCAAATGGTGGGCGAGGATTGTGACCAAGGTAAGGTGTCCCGTTCGAGTTATTATTGAACTGATGCAGTGCATTCAGCCCAGAGCTTGGCTGCCCGTGCACGAGAAACGGGTCATGAGGCAAGGCTCCGTTGTCAAGAGGCAGTGGTGACAACTGAGGTGTTCCCGCGCTGTATGGCTGAGGGTTTGGATTTTTTTCCGGTTGTTGGATTTCTTGACTTACTGGACCCACAGCACCACTAGGGGACGTCGTTGTGTTCCTTGGTTGGCGGGGAACATGGCTGCTTGTTGGTGGGGGACAAATGCTCGCTCATCATTTTGCACGGACGAGCGGGATTCAGCGGGGAAAGCATTTTAGAAGCTAGTCCTCATTATGTCCACCTAGAGTATAATAAGACCTGCTTTTGTCTAAATCCCGACATAAAACAGATGTGAGGATCCAAGAATTCCGATTTGATTCATGATGAATCACAGTGCATAACGATGTATGATAAGGCGTAGTCAACAACTTACGTAGAAGAAAAACAAATGCAGGAACCTTAACGCAGGACCACCGTGGGCCGTGTCCAAGGACAAGTTACACACGTTTTTGATCTTGGTTTTACCTTTGGAAGGCACCACTCTGTTTTTGGTTTGACCGGACTTCTTTTACTCTCGTCTTCCGCTTTGATTACACACTCGACTTTGCACGTCACTGAGTCAATGGACGCGCAGCTTACACCGAAATTGGCCAACGGATCAATATTGCCCTTTGGCACACAAGTCGGATGTGCCGCTCGCCTGGGGGCGCAGCGAAATGAGTGTTTGAGGTTACTGGCGCTCGTAGGACAGGCGAGTCATTATATGTAACACCTATGCATCTTCTGACATATATGTAGCACGCAGATCTCTTCTCTGTTGACTCGGAGGAGGGTACCACTATTGAGACTAGTATTCATAGCATGATCATTCACCTTGACGAGGCTACCCGACACTCGTCTGATCCTGCCAAAACACCTCCTTTGACCGTTACTTGCACGGTCACCTAGTACTAACGCGGTACGAACAACACCCCGTCTATGTGCATCTTTGGACTATAAATTATGACTACCATTGATCACAGGAAGTCCTTTTGATATTTGTAGACTACTCGGAGGCTGGAGAAAAAAATATTATGCGCGTAGGCAGTGAAGACTCAATTGAAATACCTCCTGGAACGACGTGGCGATCCTCCCACTCTGTGATAGCCTCCTCGCATGTGGACATTCTTGAATATGACTCAATAAACCCTTCTCTGTGTATGTCCGATGTCTTCGATCAAGGCAAGGATCGAGATGCTCTTATCGCATCCGAGGCGCATCAGTCCGACCTGGTGGTGTGAGAGTTGATATCGAGATACGGGAGCTGGGCGAATGCCATAAATCTAATGGGGTGGAGAAAGTGGTGTTTATGTTGCCAACTTGCTCTTTCACTCCTCGCAGACAAGCTTCACTGCGGACACATCGGAGTACAGGTAGATCGCAAGCTCTCTCTGGGCCCATGAAGCCGATGCTGTCGGCTGGAGCAACCATCACACGCAGGTGGAGCATCCACATCTCTCGTAGGCTTGCTGTTCTGGCGGTTTGTTTTGTCGTCCGGTTGGGCTAGCGGAGTGTCGGTAGGTGCGGACGTGATTAGCGACATCTACAGGGTCGAGCAGCGAGGTACTGTCATGGGTATTTTCTTTGGGGTACATGTAGGAGGATTCGTGAGCTGATGTCAGTATTCAACTTCGTATAGATCAATCTTTTCAGCTGTTTCTGGCTGCTTCGTATAGTCCAAAGAGTCATGGCTGTCGTTTGCATATCTTCTGACTTCGCACTGCCTGAAATCTTGTCCTCAGACATTAGCAAATACATCAGCGATGGTAACGGAGTACTAGAGTAAGTAGTACTGGTTCCGAGGACGCTGCCCCGGGCTGTAAGCTGAAGAGTGAAGCCACACACAAGTCTCTGGCACATGGAAATCACCAAAGAGGATGATTAACGATCAGCCCAGGGACGTCCGCAATTACTCTCTGGAAAGTCAGCCAGATTCAAGAGCTGAGAAGTGCCAATTCCACTGACACAATATGAGGGGATACATTTTTGAAGCTGGGAGATATCTGGTATACAAGGCAGACCAATGTGCAGGCGCAGGGATGATTATGCCAAGGCGCATATTGATAAGGAGGAGTGTTCTTACTCCAGGGCAAACCCTCTGCCCTGGGCGAGAGTCTATGGAAAGCTAACGGGGATTAAATGCAGTGCCATGGTTGCACGACGTCAGGACTCCAGGAGAGACTCGTGGAGAACCTCATGGAGCCGGGTAATATTTGCTTTCGGTTTTGCCCACTACACGTACTCACTGCACTCCAGATGTCCTGAATAGCAGCTCCCATGTCAAGCCCTTAAATTTCTTGCTACATTTGTGCCACATACATCAGGTCCGTTGAATACGATGCTACACTAGATAGTATCAATATCGAATACATTTAGGCGTTTGGAGCCAACAAGAGTGATGGCTGGGACGCTTGGGCATTTGTGATTTCCTTGTAAATAAGTACTGTAGCCTTACTCAATAAATGGACACATTGCAGTAGCATTTCGGCACACCTTTGAGGTCCTCTTGTTCTAGAGCCTCGCCGTTGTTGAAGTCGAAGGAGGGGTCGATGGGGTCGGCCATGGGCTCATCATTAGGATCGTGATAAGGCTGTTGCGTAGGGTCAGCGGGGAAAATATTGAAGAGGAAATACGGACTTCGAAGTAAGGGTGTTGCAGAGCTTTGACGACAATTATTGGCCGTCTTGGGCTGAATGTTAGGCATTTCTCCAGGACATCCATTGCCTGTGGGAAGGGATGTTTCAGTCGTTGCAGACACAGTGCCAGGTGTGCAGAAAGCGGGGCGACAGCTCACGTTGGTGGCTGGGGAGAGCTGGGAAAATGGTTTGCTCTTGCGGAACGGCAGTGCACGGATGTATTCTCTTGATCTTTGTGAGGAGATGGTATAGAAGTCATCAATAGAGGGTGCGCTGAGGACGTCTAATATAATTGACAGCCAGTCGTGACCCAATTCAAGTACCTGATAAATAAAATACTGGCAGTGGTCGTCACTCAGTTGCTGTGTGCATACTATGACAGGATGTAGGTCTGTTTTCATGAGTTCCTGGATGAGGTAAACCTCTCTGATCATGAATTGAAATTGATCGAAGCTTGGAGGTTGAAGGATAGGAATGATATTCTCGTGACGGAAATGACGAAGGAGTTTTATCTCACGTAACGCTTGGAGACAGAACATGGAGTGATCGAAAGGTGCTATGCGCTTCATAGCTACTTTGAATTGGGATGTATTGCATATTGCTGAACTGAGAGGAAAGTGAGCACAGTAGTAGACGGGATATGACGATACCAGACGATACCGTGTGCGCCCTCTCCGACGAGCTCAAAGACCTGGTAAGATTTATCAGCGCAGAAATCCGAGAGAGAGAGATCCATGTTCTGGAATTTATTTCACGAAAGATAGAGAGCAGATATTATTTGAAGGTAATGGGTATGGGGTCTGTATCATTGCCCGCAAAGACGCTATCCACATGGCTTCTCCGAGGCCTGTTGAGCGGTGGTTATGGCATGTGGGAGCATTAACAATATTGAGTTGCGAGGTCTCCGGTGAGTAGTACGCAGTGTGCTTGTTTGACAGTGTGCGCGAGATCAAGGATTCGACCTTCAAATCAAATTCAAATGATCTGAGACGAGTCTGAGATACAAAGTCTAAAGAGGAAGTTGCGAAAGCAAAATCCAAAATCCAAAATCAAATTAGAATTAGACTCTGACTTTCTCTTGGACATCCGCAATGCTGATTCACGATGATTCAGTACTACTGAGTCCTTTGTCAGATTTTTTTTACAAAATCAAAAGCGTGAATTTTGTCCAATACAGTCCCCCATACACGTAAATCACGATTCGCGTTATGCCCTGGAACGAGCGTCTCTTGCGATCTTATTCTGACGTGACGTATTTTCTTTGCAGGTTCGAGTTATTATCTACATAAGCTTGCTAACTCCACTCTATCCCGGTCTGGCTAAAATCTCGTTTCCGCAGTGATTATGTGAATTGTATCGGTTCTCGAACTACTGCAACCTAGCTCTCATCTACTGATGCTCGACCCGCAATTGCAACTGAATGCTTGAGCGGGACTTCCACGGTTTATCATCAACCGCAAATCAAACACACGTTGTTGCATTCTGTTCTGATCGTTCCATCGAAAAACTACAGCCTCTGGCGGCAACGATGGTGTACGGAAGACAGGACAGCGGTTCTCGCATTTCACTGTGAGCCTTACATTCTATGCAGCGGCACTCCATGTACCCCTCTGCATCTTTGTCGGGGTAACTTCTGTCACTGCGTGATCCTGCAGCTCGGATAGATTTCACGAATTTTGTCGCAATCTACTCGAAAGGAGGTGGGAAGAATGGTAAGCACGACGCTGTTGAAAGCGTGGATCTAATTGCTGCCATCTAGTACTTTGGGGTTCAGCTCTATCAACATTTCCGGCAGCCCCTCCACTCTCTGCCCGATGCGAAACCGATCTTCAAATGCCATCAATGTCACTCTAGCTGAAGTCCCCGTGTTTGAAACGTTCTATCATGAATCTCCTCGACTCCCCCGAAGCCACAAACCTATTCCGCAACTGAGTATTCAACCAGATAGTCTTACCAATAGACGTTGAGTGACATGCAGATGCCTGCTTCACAATGAAGTAAGGTCCTTCTCGACCCAAGAGACTCCTAAATGTTTGAAAATGCCCTTGTCAGTTGAACACACGCTTGAGGCCTATAGGAAGATTGCCCCATGTCCGTCATCAGCATAGAGCTACAAATTTCGGGATTGCAGGAATCTACCTGTGAATGGAATCGATGAGCGAATAAGGTTGAGTTTTCATACTGACTTTAAAGGTTTGCAAACTACCACCACTCCCGTATGAAAGTAACTTCAACGCGACTCGGAGTTTGCGAGTACTATGAAATGTGTATTTTGTGCGTCAATATGTGTAGTATATCATCTTGCATATTATCCTTCACAAAGCATGCATGGTACACTGCAGATGCGAAAGCGCTGTATTGAAACAAAATCACATCGCGTGCGACGCGTTGGCTGTATGTGAAGGACATGTAACGAAAATTGGAACTAGCATAAGTGTTAGACATGAAAACTCAAGCTGCATTGAATGGTTCATGACTGCAGCAGTCGGTTGTGCTCGTGAGGCCTGGGCTATTATTGCCATTCGTATGTAAGTTAATCTTAGATGTAACAGAAATTGAAACCTGGCAAGCAATGAATGCTGTTAACAAATATACGTGGATGTGAGGCCAGCCGGGTTGCGTTGATTATCGACAGCGCGTGGTCCTGTGCACGAATTGTTGCTATAAAAAACAAACCAAAAACATCGATAGCGCCAAGACAAAAGCACATAGGCAAATGAATGAAACAGTCTCAAGGGCGTGTCCAAGACAAATGGTGCCATGGAGGCACTGCCCCGAGTGCCTTCGCGACAATTGACAATTCCTGTACACAATGTACATCGCTTCCGGACGAAGGGACTTGGGGAATGGCCGATCGCGTTACGGATGCATTGACGCGCGAGGTGGGGCACGCAGCGAAGGAATATGACAGTCTCAAGGGCATGTCCAAGACAAATGGTGTCATGAAGGCACTATCCCGAGTGACTTCACTACAACCGACCATTCCTGCACACAATGTACACCGCTTCTGGACGAAGCGACTTGGGGAACGGCCGATCGTGTTACAGCTGTGTGGACGCGCGACACGAAAGCACGCAGCGACGGAAATCAACAGTCTCAAGGGCATGTCCAAGACAAATGGTGCCATGGAGGCACTGTCCCGAGTGACTGCGCGACAATCGACCATTCCTGCACACAATGTACACCGCTTCTGGACGAAGCGACTTAGGGAACGGCCGATCGCGTTACAGCTGTATGGACGACACGAAAGCACGCAGCGACGGAAATCAACAGTCTCAAGGGCATGTCCAAGACAAATGGTGCCATGGAGGCACTGTCCCGAGTGACTGCGCGACAATCGACCATTCCTGCACACAATGTACACCGCTTCTGGACGAAGCGACTTAGGGAACGGCCGATCGCGTTACAGCTGTATGGACGACACGAAAGCACGCAGCGACGGAAATCAACAGTCTCAAGGGCATGTCCAAGACAAATGGTGCCATGGAGGCACTGTCCCGAGTGACTGCGCGACAATCGACCATTCCTGCACACAATGTACACCGCTTCTGGACGAAGCGACTTGGGGAACGGCCGATCGCGTTACAGCGGTATGGACGCGCGACATGAAAGCACGCAGCGACGGAAAACAAAAGTCTCAAGGGCATGTCGAAGCGTAGCGATATTTCAACTTTCGGTCATGTGACCTTCCCACGGTATGAATGAGTAAGCAGTGACAAATCAAGGATGGTACTACAACATGATGTCGTGCTACAAGCGAATGAAATAAAACATTGTTTAGTAACGGACGCCGATGCTCGCAAGCTGCTCATTGGTAAGCGGCCAATTGTACCACACGCGATACATGTTGTCCGAGCGACAGCTGTTGACCCAGTCCGGTGCTGGGATGGCCTGCTTCGACACCTTGCACTGTCGGCAATAATACTTCATCTTCGTTTGCAGCCACTTGTTTCCGTACGACTTCCGCCCGCATGCGTTGAACTTGATGTTTTGAGACGGCCCGCCGCAATTTTCGCAGCAAAACATGTCCAGGCCCCATGGACGGGAGTCGGCGAAACTGGAGTATGCTAACATGCGCGATTCTACCACTCGCTCATACGAGTCACCAGTGTATCTCCTTCCAGAGAAACACAGGACGACGGGTGATGCTTCTAGAGCATGACGATCCTCCCCAAACGAGCGCTCCAGAGCCTCCCACGGTTTCATGTCATACACGAAAACATTCTCCAGGAACCGAGACAACGCGGGAACAACCATTGAGTCGATGGTGGAGACGCCGCTGAAACAAAAAACGAAGTCGAATATATTGCTGTAAGTAATTTTTCATTAGCAACAGGCGGCGGCGAAAAGGCAAGACTGCGCTGACTACTCCACCATCTGCTTGAGAAGAGTTGCGCTCTTGGTAACCCGACCTGTGGGGCCGCAGCTACAAAGCGCCAGTCCACGCATGAACGGCTTGTCGCCACGAGTGGTGTTAATGACTCTGATGGCCTGCGATGCATTCCGAAAGTGGTCCCCGACGTAGTTGTTAAGCATCTTGACACATTAAAAAGTAGGAATCAGCACGCGAATCTGTCTCCCTGGAAGATAATGGTACCTCCCACGGTGTGATAGACACAGAGTTGTTCGTCCCACCCGATGCGACCAAGTTCCCCGTAGTAGTGTCCGCGTGGGTATCGATGAACACCAGAATATTGCAATGATGATTTTGTTCAGCTACCCATCCAAAATCGCCTGCGACAGCATCAGGGCGATTATTGTTTGCCCGTATTTTCCGGCACGCGATGCGAAGCTATATTGAACTCGGTGAGCTAGTAATAACGTCAACACGGATGACTCGCCTTGTGTGGCTCTATGTTGAATTGCTCCTGAAGCATGTGTATAATACTATCAGCAGCAAATTGTCGACCAAAGCCATTCCAGGTCAGGAACACGCCCAGCAACGGGGCGGGGTTGCGCCTCAGGAATTTCGATCGGATTGCGTAGCCACGGATCATGTACTACGATAAAGATGCATAAACTGAAGGTCTATGCCATGTTCGTCGGACTTACTGGAATAACCATGTCTTTGTCCCGATAACATTGTGGACACACGAATGATCCCCTCGTCACCAGAGCGCAGTTTGTCATCGGGTTTCGTGTCGCATCCACGCATCCATGTTCATATTCAGTAGTTGCAACGCAAATTGTGATGTCGCAAGGCGATTCGAGCCCTGTGCATGTCCAGATGTGCGATCCCACATCCGTGCAGTACACGCAATGCTATGCATGCCATCGGTAAAGCGTTCGAAAACAGTAGGAAGATACTGACCGGGACATCAACACCTGATGTATTGACGACTGCTTCCATGTCTATGTCTGCGTCCATGGCCACATCCGCATCCGCGTCCAGGGCCTGGATATCATCAGTTATAATGGGCGTAATCTTCTGGTATGGTGCATGCAACGACTTCTGCCTTGGTTTGCGCGGCTTCTCAGGTAATGGAACTACAAGCTTGGGAAGTCGATTGCTAGATAATGAACCAACGCGCGCGGATAGCCGTACAGGACGTTTCTGGAGTTCGCCATCTATCTGAACATCGTCATCGTCTTCCTCGCTCCGGTGTGGAGTATTATGATGGCTGGCGTGCTGTTCACGCGTAGCACAATGGTGAGCTCCGTACGAGATGGATACGAATTGACGTACATCAGACGAGCGATTTTCATCATCTCCTGCAACTCCATCGTCACCGCCGCTGGTGCCCTGGACGATAAATTGGATTACTTCATCATCTTCAATGCATGACACGAATATGATGACGTACCACCGTTCCATTGCCAGCATCGATGTTGTTCGGGCCGCCTTCGGACTCGGAGTCACTTCCAACACTGGTGGGATCGCAGAGAGGCATCCTGCCATAGAGTCATTTAGCGCAAATATTCAATGAAGCATGCTTGTGTACGAACGGCTAACCGTCTACTGTATAGACACGACCTAAGAATATTCAACTTAACCGTGTGACCCTAAGCGCGTCAGAGCCTATTGTGGTGTGATCTTGACAAGATTAGCGTCAAAATTGACAAAAACAAAGAATTGTAAACCATGAAAGACATGCCTTGTATCTGATGGATTGCAACTGCGACGAAAAAAAAGCTCGGAAAACGTGACGGTTTGTCACATACAGTAATGGTATGTCACATCAATGCGGTGCACTCACGATACTTATAGTATAGGATATCGAAGTTTTGGAGTCCGACCCAGTGGTGTCTCGGCCTTATCATATAGACAAATAAAAATGTGCGCATGTATCATCACGATATAAGGGCGTGTAAATGAAACGTGCAGTTGTAGTTCCCATGATTAATGAGTGGCTGATAATACCACAGCCACACGCGCTCGGCAAATTCCGGAAGTGGAGAAGGGCTTAGGATATCTAAACAAGACCAGAATCAGCTCTGAGGATCGCGTTGACATTACGCCTCCCTCTCCATATCGCACGGCCAAAACATGTCCTCAAAGATGTATCCGATGTCCAAGCCGGTTCTCATTGATAATATGTCGCGGTCTGAAGAAGAATGCAAGATCATTCGCTCGTGGACGGGCCCCATCGGGTATCAATTGATCAAGCGGAAGCTAACTGTCCAGTGGGAAGTCGGCGGCCCAAGTGTCAGCAATCCCGCCTATACGACTGTAGATGCTGACGACATACATGTAGCTGGTTATTCCCCCGAACTGCGCCCAACCATTCCTTGTGCTATTGCACCAACACGGCGTGTATGTAAACATGCTCAAATACGGTGAACCAAAGGTGAAGGAGGGTCTCATGGACCCAGCGGATTTACAGTCCTATGTGAGCGTAGCTGCGTATCTTAGAGACGTCATACTCGCATTCATGGAAGAGTGGGAGGGTGAAGGATTCAAGGCCAAATTTCGTTCAGCCCGCTTGGAGTTCCATATGGCGATGGCACTGACAGGGGGCGCGTTCACCGATCGCAATATGCGGAAGGTGCAAAAAAGGTTTAATGTGACGTGGAATGATTTCGTTGGGCGGGTGGAGGTGACGGACATCATGAAGCGTGAGCGGAGTGCCTGTCATATGTCCATCACCACACTCATCATCCGTTACACAAGTCAATGGAAAGGAGGCCGCGTATCACGAAGCAGTGTGCGGCAAGGACGAGAACATGTGTGGTTTGGACGATTACCCGAGTATCACACATACAAAGGAGTCATTGAGGATGATAGAGAGATTCATCAAGGACAGGGAGGCCTTGTGGGCGGCTAAAAAGAAGGATGTTCAGTCTGAAGCCACGGAGAGAGACGGACGCGCGTCGAAGGGAAAGAAAGCCGCTCGTGAAGCACCGTCGGTGAGTGTCTTTAAATGCTATGACCGATGTTGTAATCGAGGTAATCAACGTTGGATGTCATAGGTTCCTGCGGAGAGCACGAAGGGTGAGGAGGTTGTCCGTAAAACGCGTGGGGTACGTGGCCATTCGTACCTTGCACTGACGCTACTAAATCATGTCGAAGGCTAAGAAACGCGCGAAAAAGGAGTCTAAAAACAGGAAAAATAGTCAAAAGAGCGTCCGCAACGCATTGGCAGTGAGTGGATCCATGGTGCCCTGGATGACCACTCTAATCACACTGTGCTTGCAGGACGGAGGCACAATTCAGGAGAATGTGCACGACGGAAATGTGGACACCCACGAGGCGTTGAATAAACTGGACGCGTTGGCTATATCGTCACGCCATGAGCCGTCCAGTGATGCTACAGAGGACTCAAGTGCGTCACGCACGACAACTGTAGATGTGGTCAGATGTCTACCAACAGCAGCGAAGACCATCCTGCCTCCAGCAGCACCACCACGGAGAGAGGGTCCGATCAGCAAGACCGTCCAGATCGGAGCATCAGGAAACGTCAACACAATGAAGGGCCCCGAAGCGAAAACTGTGAGCATCGCTACTTCCAATGTGAATGTGTCTCTGAATTTCTAAGAAAACGTTGCAGGATGTTTCCAAGCCGCCAGTCCAAACTACTACTTCTACTGACCTGATGATGCGAGCGTTCGCAGAAGGAAACGGACATCAAATCAGCCGAAACCTACTCAACTGGATGATACAACGATTTCGCACACTCGTTGGCGTCCCGCTCGATGAGCCCCTCAACGGCCAAGTCATCCCACAGTCACCGGATGAGTACGAAGACCTGACAGAGCATGACTATTTGGAGGCGCTCGGGATAGAGAGACTGTATGCTGCATTGCTCAACGCAGAAGAGAGCCCCGGACACCTCGTTCATCTCGCACATGCACTGGGGAGGGCCGCCAACGAGACAAACGTCTTGTCTTATTCTAAGCCAGACACGCCGGCCTTGGAACCCCTACCCCCGACGATGTTGCCACTTCCCAAGACCATGGCGTCTACTGATGACCTCGCAAATTCGCAGGATGCGCTGCCCGACCTTCTTGAAGGTCATCATGTATCGGCATACGATGATCTGGGTGCCACAGGCGGCAATTATGAAAATTTTAGCTCTACAGGACTGAGGCAGACGGACGACGACGACGACGACTACGTGGATGACACGAGCGACAGGTCCGAACAGTCGGGCACCGCAGGACTGACGGACGCGGACGATGGTAGTCCTGTGACCAGTGAGCGGGCCACTCCAAGAAAATTCTTGCCTCATGCGCACAGCGATGATGGATCCTCCTCAGACCACGACAGCTCTCCGATATATGCCGATGAGATGGATGTGGAGATAGTGAAGGGTGGCGACTGTTCGGACGATAGCGATGTCATGGATGGAGAATCGAAAAGGAAGCGGACAGGATCATTGGCTCTCTCTCCCCCAGTGGTACTACTACATTCTCTCGACGAGACTAACATACATATCACTAACCAATCCTACCAGTCTCAGGGCGGGAGAGGCAACAGAAAGCGTCCCAAGACTTTGTCCTCGATTATGGACGATGAAACCACCGCGTCCACATCACAACCTGCGTTTCCACTTGCTCCAGCTACATCAATGTTAGGGGTATGGACCATTCCTGGGGACCTCCACAAAGGCCCTTCTGCGATGGAAGAGGACTCAGGGAGCGACGGACAATGAACTCGTCACTAGTGCACAGTGATCAAGCTGGTCTAAGTGTGGACGTGCCCATACAACTTTTACAACTTACTGCTCGCTTCATGTCCGCAACTAATACACACGATTAGCCATGAGACGAGGGAGCAGAACACCCCACATCACCATAGATACCACTCGCTATGTTTTGTCTTGCACTGTTTGCATGTGTTGCGCAATATAATACATAGCTTCGTCCGATCTCATGCGGGAAATTTACTGATGAAAATACAACAGAACTCATCACAATCATGATCGTGATAAGACGCGAGGCTGGAGTACCTCTAATTACAAACCACCTATGTGGACTTGTCGCATCCTTTTGAGATTTGCTCAAATTCCCGTCTCCGCAGTGAACGTATGGAGCAGAACTTCAGACTATATCGGCTGCAGAGGAAATTGAAATAATTGCCTCCGTATTGGGCAAACAAGCTTTTCCCCTTACTCGATAAGATGGTGGCACGGACTAATAATGGTGACACATGACGGTGCCTCACGTTCGTCTACATTGGGCGCGATCGCATCACTATTCGCATCATGTCCCACACAGAGCAAATTTTTCATACACTAAGTACATTCTTTCGATGTTTTTACACGTAAAATAATGGGAAATTTCGATCTTATCACTCAATATTTTTGGGATTGGGAAAGTTCCTGGAGTGTGGAACAAGAAATTTTATTTCACGTAAGGCTTTGGCTAAGATCGAGAAGCATCTGAAACCCGATAAGATGGCGGGACACGTGATGGACACATTCGACACTCGGAGATCCTTTGTGAAATAAGGCGACATCAACATCATGTGAGGAGCTACGTAAATAATTGGTATGGAAAGGACGCGTATGGATCTGTAGTAAACGAGTGAAATGGAAGTGACTGTAGGACTGTAAAGGACGCGGAGGCACACAGACAAATGAACGTAGGTGGTAAGGACATATAATAGCGAGCGGGAGACTTGGGGTATGTATTGTCGGAAACCGTATATCTAGGGGAAAGTGTAAATCATCGTGGGGCGCGCAGCCCTTTTGTCTGCTAAGGAAACAATCTTACTGGAAGCTGTACGAAGCAGCAGTGAGCATTATCACACCGTTAAATGTAACGCCCAAAACGTACCTCTTAGGTGACTATAACGATGAAGCTTTTTTCTGCGGTGGCGTAACCCATCCATGTCCTCTTGAGTCGAGACCACTGGCTGCACTTCTGCGGTACTTTTTCGGTTACGTGCATGAAGGCGAAGTCTCAGAATGGTTTTGCCCGACCATCTGCAGGCTCTCTGCACCGTGGAAAGGCGTGCAAGTGCGGTAGGCACGTAGATAATTTGTGGATCATTCAAGCCGTGTACCGTGAATTTGAATCCGACATGTGTGGGGGTACAATGAAAGATGCGGGAAATCTCGCAGTGGAAGGTGAACGAAAAATTTCGTTTGCACGGGGGGTTCGAGCTGCATGATAATGTTGTTATGCATGGCGAAACTGAGCTGCATGGTAAATTTGACATGTAGACCTGAACGGTGTCTCCAGGACCTATTTTACCGTCGGTAGATTCAAACTTGAAATAATCGAACATAAATCTGCTCCCACACGAAGTTACAGGTTGATATTTCATGCAATATGCAGAAATAATGCTTGGGTATGGCATGAATGGGAAGGGACAGTGTGGGTCAGCGTAGTCAGATATAGGGCAGGACGGTGGCGGCGTGGACATTCGAAACAAATAAATAATGGTGATTTACAAGACGTCCAAAACCGTAAACATGGCTCATCAGAAAGACCGATATTCGGCGATACCGATTTCGGAGGTCGAAGATCTGAACGAACCCTGCAACATTAAGCCTGGCTCATTACCGAAGGAATTACCATAACATAGGTCCACATGCGGCAGGAAGCCAGCAGAGTCACTATGGAAAAAAGGTAATCATAAGTACAGGAAGTGTGGAAATTAACGGCAATCGGCTGCAAATTCATGGGGACAACTGCGGCTAGTTTTTGTGCCGGGTGGTGTTGAGCTGGGCACAAATTCCCTTTACAAATTTTCATAATAGACGCATAGGACACACCCTCCGTCATTAAATAGCACGACGGATGCCATTGTGGCATTTCTTATAGCGTGTAGAGTATCAAATCAAACCGACAATTTATTTGACTCGTCGTGCACGTAGTGACTTCTCTTCGACGAATCTTGCAAAATGCTATATCATTTCCCTTTCCGAGTAGAATACACAAACAGTCCGTGACTCAAGGCTATGTCTCGTGCTCCATCGGGTGCCAAGAAACATGACGTTCAATTTGAATACGAAAAAAAACTAAGAATTCATTTTACATAATGTCAGCGACGAAGGAAAACAAGACCTCATTGGCGCGCGCAGTCTCAGAGGACTCAGAAAACCTTTCCTTTCTGCGTCCTGCTAATGTCGGGTATTGTAAAATGAGAAAAAGAATGTGATTAGGCCATTGAATGGCGTATATATGGCTCTGAAGTCGGTAGGGAACGTTCTAACTAACACCGCCCAAGAAACACAATATATTGAGATGCGGCATAAACCTGATATGAGGCTCCGCATATTGTGAGGTCACTGTAAGGGATAATGCTCAGAATTGCGCGAGTGGTACTGAAGAGACTGATCTCGCACCCTCAAGACGCTTTCATTTCCGCCAGTGTGCCTATCTCAGCATACCTGCTGATGGTGAGCTGTCGAGGGAGACAAGCTATTGGGGCCATAGAGAAAAGGGCATCTGAGGTGGGACTTTCTGGCATCGTGGACGCCCAATAATAGCCCCCCAGAACCGACGGATCCAGGACAAGCGTGCAACATTTGTTGGCAGGTAAATGGTCTGCCAGCCTCCGGTGTCAATGATACCACTGGCATTCACCCGGACTCCAAAGGCAATGTGCGTGGGGCTCCAACCGTAGATGCGGGATATGGTGCCGCAAAATGCTGGCGGGGAAAAGGGCACAGATGATGATGAATGTGATGGAAAGCAGACATGAATCCTATCACCAATACCAAGCGTAGAATTTTCATCCACGTTAATGAAGCCCTGGAAGATCCAGCTGAACTGATGGCGAGGCGAATTGGTGGTGTGAGGGAAGACGGATGCTGCTACCATACTTGCTGAAGACTTTGACGTTGCAGGAAGTAGCACGATTGATGGACATCTGGCAGGCTGCAAAAACGAGCCCGTATCATTCGTGCAAACAGGTGGCATATTGAAAAGGAGCGACACGACGAGTCCTCATACACAGGCGAATGTGTGAGCACTTTAAACGAAGAAGTCACCTCAATATAAAAATGCAACAAGGGCGGATCCGAAATTTACCGTGCGACGACATACGTTGAGTGAAACGATGCCTGTCCTATCGGTATCGTTTACTGAGACCTGGAGAATGTATTTGGTCATGGTTAGGGTATGATCTTACATGGCCGAGCAGGCCTGGAAATGTAGAGGGAGGGCCGATGTACATCACGAGGTACACGTTATGTAGAGATATTTTACAATGGTGATTCGTGCTAAATGATGTAAATCGGTTCCGGAGAGGATGAGCTTTGCACATTTTTGGGTCCTAACCCGTCGAAAAACCAGCGTATAATTTGTATTTAATTAATGCGCATCGCCGTGTCATATCGTATGAAGGTAGGCTTCGGGACTTTCAATTTATTTAATCTCTTGTTCAACTGTGATATACACCTTTGGAATTTTTTGGTATTTGATATTTGATATTTTACAAAGCACACGAGCAAATTATCGAATTGCTGGATATGTCGTGTCGTATGGTTCGTCGGCTTCGTGGTTCCGTTCACCTACACAATGTATCACCCTCAATTCTGCGGGTACTCAAGTACAAGGTGACCCGACCATTTGTGATCACGTTCTCCAGCATGCTAACACAAAACAAATATTTCTGCGCATGGAGCAGCAAGTCGCGCGACATCATCCAGAAAATAAACTTGATGTATCGCTGCCTGGTAGTCACTCCGACCACTCAGCAGACCACACCGTCCATGGCCAGCCTCAAGTACAAGGTAAAATGTACATTCGACATCATGTTGTCAAAACGCTATCATGACAATTATGCCTGTGGATAAAGCAACAACTTGCACAACAGGATCCCAAAAAGTCCGACTTCATTTGTCCTCGCCTGGCAGTCACTCCGACCACTCAGTAGATCACCCCATCCATGACCACCCTCAAGTGCAAGGTAATACGTCCATTCGATTTCCTGTTCTTCAGAAAGCTAACTCGATCATTATACCTGTACATAGAGAAACACGTTGCACTACCGGAACCAGCACACCTTGACTCAACGGCTTCTTGCTTGCTTGTTACTCGGACCATTCAAGAGGCAACGTCGCATACAGCCGCTCTCAGCTCCACGGTAAGCCATATATTCTATCTGTCATGTCCAGTGACTCAATAAAATCTGCAGGGTAATTATCTACATCATTTCAATTATGAATTCACTGAACGGTGTGCCTGCGCGGACATGTTGGAACTTTCAGACAATATATTCTACATGGCTCATCCCTTATGACGTCCTATCAAGCTCCCTGTAATGCCTAGACGATGTGGTGAGACAATAAAATACCATTTTTGTGTCGCAATCAGCGTTACAGAGACCATGCTTTTAACTATGTATAACATTTGAGGACAACACTTCAACATCATCCTCAAATATCGTGTGGTAGTATATTTCTCTTGCGTGCCGACATTTGTACCTTGAATATGTAACACATTCTCAAATGAAATTCAAGGTCGGATCAAATGTGCAATTAAACCTTTAAATAGAACAAATGATCGTTACGCCACATTAAAACTCAGAGAATACTTTGGTCGCAAGATACAAAGCGCATTCATCCACAATCTCAGTTCTGTCAAATATCTGATACGAAGAACTTCAAGCATAGTCAAACTTTGCAGCCAATCTGAATTTTCATTCTAAATGTCGACGCATAATTGAGCTCAATATGTCTGTAAATCTGAGCGGCGTGTATCTCAAGATAATATCGAACTTGCATGTATGATTCTGTGGGTGTCACATGTGAGTCCAAAACGGGTATTGTTGTGGACGGTCACACATCACACATCACGTGTTCCATGCGTTACCTGTCCGTAACTGATTCACATCCATCATTTGTCCGTCACAACCACCCATCTTCCGATACCATCCACGGCTCGTCTATATTTGCAATGGCTGTCCTTACAAGGTCAATGTCGATCAGAATTCGCAATGATACGCGTTCCAGTCCAAAGAAACAAGTGAGCGACGCGTTTCACCATGACAACGACTAACATTGCGCTAGATGGAAGAAAGGACGACACGGAGCGCAGAAAAGAGGATGGTTCTGCGCAGGATTTACGCACGACACCTTCCAGAGACCGCCGTTTGCCGTTCGACAAGGAGTAAATACTACAATAGTAAATACTACAATATACCAACGGAGAAAAATACAATATTGTAATCGATATAGCTACGTAAATTGGGGACGAGTCTGAAACAGAATGATATCAATGAAAACATGCGAGTCCATGATCGAATATTTTTGGATGGGTCTGCGCAAGTATAAGCGGATGGACGTCCTGTCGAATTTGGACCTCAACACGTGGTACGCGCAGATATAATAACACCAAACTCACCTGCAGCATCAATCAAACGCTTTTGGCGTGACTCTCTCTACCTCGCCGCAAAACCAAAGAAACACCTCCAAGAGGTTGTTGTACTTCCCTTCATCTGGGGTCTCCTGGACTATCCAAATCAGGAATTCATCGTAGCTCTTGAGTGATACTCCTGCGCCGAGCGCCTTGACCATCAGATTGCGGAAGCCATCTGTATGCCACGTGTGGAATACCGCGCTGAAGATGAAGCCAGCGAAGCGACACTTCTCCCCCTTCTTGTATGAAAAGCCAACGTGACATGCTGGTTCCTCTGCGTTTCCGTTTCGATTTTGTGGCAAGCCGCACTGAAAACAATAGGTAAAGCGTTCGAAGGAGAAGTTGGGTCTGAATGCCCTGAAGAGGTGGGTCGGAATTCCAGCCTCTGCATCGCAGCTGTGGTATGCGTCCGCGAGGATCTTTCCATATCTACCAAAGTGTGCTGGGCACTTGCCTCTCAAGACACGCATGTACCTGTCCAGGCGGGAGGTGCGTTCCAAACGACTGCGAAGGGCTTCGTTAACACGACCCGCTCTTCCCACAAACGTGGTGGGAAGTGATGACGGAGGCGGCAGTGTCACCCATGCGGAGCTGCCCGCCGATGGTTGCGATTGAGCCTGTCGAACTGCGTCAGTATGTTGTCACAAATTCGACACCCAGCCACCATACCGTGTATAAACCACTGTCTGATACAGTGCCCTGTAGAAGGTCCGGTGTCAGCATCAAGACGCTATTGAATGTGGGACATGCGCACCGGTCCGTGGATTACCTCCATTGCATTCAACATCATCGTTTCAAATTCTGTGGGCCCTGGTCCGCACTGATCGAACAAAGAATCGCTGGACTGAGTGAGCGGCTGGGAGGGTTCAGGGGCCTTTTGATTGAACGGGTCAACTCAGGGCTTGTTCAGGAGCGCAATAATATATTAAGACTGACACTAATTTCTGCTGCAGGGGATGCGGCCAATGGCAAACAGGCGGCGACCGCTGGATGACAGGCTGCTGGAATAAATTTGGGAGCGTCGACAGGTATTTGAAGTACGGAGGCACTGGTGAGGACTGGCGCGGGTGCTTGTGCGGGATCATCCATCGACCTGAAAGGGTCCTGGATGATTTTCATTGCAAATTGCTGCATGGCGCTATCTGGATCGCAGACGTCGCAGAGAACGAATGTGGGGTCGTCGGTGCATTTCATGGCGAGGGTATCGCCATCCATGCACTGCATGTTGATGAAGCGCCTGCAGCTGCTTCCGTGAACCAGCTCATTCAACTCCCCAACGCATTGGTCTGTCGAGGGGCCCCTAAATGAAGGACCACCATCGTCAGTAAGGAAGAATACGTGCGACTCTCTCCCGTCCCGGCCTGCGCGACCCAGCATCTGGTTGTTGACTATCAGCCCAAACGACGGCTTGAATATCACCACATATCGAACGCTTGGCCTGTCCATACCCTGTGCAAAGGCTGTGGTACACACCATCACCTTTGATTCGCCCTCGTCCCACCGATGAAGGTTATAAGCCTTGGTATTCCCAGCACCCCAGAGGTTGCTGTGATATGAGGCGCATTTGGCCTGCTGCGCGATTCCTTCTACGTCACTCTGCGTGCTGCAGAACACGAGCATGCGTTCCTCCTCAGTCAGACGTTTGGACAGAGCAGAGACGAGGAGAATGAGGGACTGCCTGGCAGCGATGGGCTGGAGGTTCACGACATGCATTCCAATCTCCGGACGGTTTGTGGATGACCGAACCTCCATTATTTGCTTGCGCTTCAGGCCGAACGGTTTGATGAGGCTTGAGATACGGGCTGGTGGTCCAGTCGCTGTCAGAAGCAAGATTTTGATGCACATAGCGCTGAATTGACGCGCCAGAGCTTTCCATCGCTCAATGCGACCTGGATGACAGTTCAGAATGTCGTGAAACTCGTCCACAAAGAGCCTGCCGAACTTCTTCCCCAACGGCGACACAAGGAAGCTATTGATGGATGACCGGTAAGCTGATTCTAGATGGTAGAGGAGTCCACTTACCTAGAAAACGCCTGGCCGGAGCAATGTTCGACCTGAACGAAAAGAATCTGGACGTTGTCCGGCACGTTCTTCGACGTGCAGTAATTGTGGCAACGCAGTCCAGCCGCGACACTATTCTTGTACTGTTGATCAAGCAAGGCGACGAACGGGCAGACAACGATAGATTTGGCGCTGTCGTCCAACACTGAGGGCACGATCCACGCCATGCTTTTTCCGCCTCCTGTCTTCATGATCAAGACGATGTCAGTGTCTTCAGTCAGAATGGAGATCAGCGCATCCATCTGCGCATCGCTCTTTTCCCTCGCGGAGGGATCCTTGGTGATTATTTGTATCGCCCGTCGAATCTCATCCCTGATTTTGCGAACGGCACTTGGAGGAGACGACGGTTGACTGCTGTCGTGGACAATGAAATCGGACATGCTGTCATCGCTCGACGGCCTGGACATGTCCACGAGCACCTTCTTTCCAGTGGTCTTGGAGCTAAAAAGACTTTTTATGGGCTGGTTCTCGTCATTTTCGCTCGAGAGCCACATGTCATCCATCGAATCCTGTTGCCTAGAGGTACGGCGCCGAGTCAGACGTTTCAGTGGCAAATTCTCGTCGAGGCCTGAGAGTTCGTCATCGCTCGATAGGCTTATGACATCCACCGGAGACCTTCCCATAATGCCATGCCTACGAAGACGTTTCAGACTCCTGGACGTTTCTTCTTCGTCTTCTGTCTCGCTCACATGACCCCGTACATGCTTGAGATATCTCGCGCGTGCAACTGGAGCTGAAGTGGATTTGGATGTGGTTGAAGAAACGTGTTGGGACATGCTGTCCACGACATCCTGACGTTTTGAAGACATCGTTGAGGGTGTATGTGGTCGAAGTTGGCCGTGCTCGTAGGCCTTGCCCTTTTCCTTGAGACAAGAGACCGTGCTGGACTGATTAGCCCTCCTCCTCTCCACGCGGAGGACTGCGATGGGAGATATGCTGGAGGACGGGTTCTGGACAACGCTATCATCCCTCGTTTTGTGGGGAGGAGTAGTGAATTTGGCATCGGAAGCTCGAAGTTGTCCGGGCTCGTAGGCTCTACCCTTTCCCTTGCGATCTGGTGGGGTAAATAAGTCACGCGGATCGCTGGTAGGAACGACGTCGGAGATTTGCAGCACACCGCCCATGTGGTCAAAATGCGAGATTTTTTCGATAGACGAGGAGGCTGGCAGTGGTGAGTCCGACAGCATATTTCCGCATTGTATATAGCCACTTGCGGTCGGTGATACTTCCACATCGGGGGACGACACTTCAACATCAAATCAGGTCGGGCTTTAGACATTATATATGCCTGAACTTACTGCCATCTGGAAAGTACCAGCTTTGGCTCGGAGACCCACTGGCGAGAAGGACGCCTGACAATTTTAATCAGATCGCGCTTTGGACAGGTTTGGGACTGGTACTCACCGTCGCTAGGGTTGTGAAACAACTCATCCAGATTGTCAGGAAGATTTATGGACTGCGGCCTGTAGTAACTGCTGGCTAGAACAGGCATTTCTCCACGTGCCTGTTCATATTGGTGCCCTTGGATGAAGGCTGTGGAGACCGCGTCCTTCAACATATCCGCGTACTGGCCGGTAAAAAAGCTATTGAGAGTGTCAAGAGTGGTTTTCTTCACCAGGTCGGAGAGGGACTGAAGGGTCGTCCCATTCGCCATATTCTTACGGTTGGTTCGAATTGCCTGCGGAGGAGGAAGTGGACCCAGACCGAGGACGCTGTGCCACTGGTCTCCCAGCCATCTATGCTTACACATGGAGTTGTTGGACAGTCGAGGGACGACTCCTTGGATGATTGCGTAGTGACTGTGATCCATTCCGGTGGAGTGATCGGCAGACTCGGCGAGTATGCTGTCTGCCTGATCGTATGAATCGTCGGGAGCGATGAATTCGCGACCGATGGTAATGGCGCCCTGACGAAAATCTCTCACTCCCCATCTGCAGTCAAAGTAGCGACTGTTCCAATCCTGCAGATTGGCAGAAAACATCGTCGGAGATATCCTCTCACCCTCGCCGACGCAGAGGTAGCTGTGAAAAATAATATGCATTAGATGAGAACGACGATTGCCCGAGGGCTGTGCTCACGTTCTATAAAGATGCTCTGCATCCGCACCGTACGCAATCCTTGCGAGGATAGCTTCGGCGGTGCGAAAGCCCCCTCCCAGCATTTGGAGGACGTAGAAGGCGACCTCTCTGGGCACGAACCCAGGGGTACATGAGTCTCGATCGGTGATGCCGGTCTTTTTACTGTACGTTGTCATTAGAAACATCTCATCCATCTGCATGAACATGTTTCTATGCCTGTCTGCGTTGCTAATCTTGTGGTCGACGAACTGCGTGCCGCGAGCGGAAATGTGTGTGGTGATGAAAAGCAGATGGTAAAGAGGCTCCCAGACCAGCAACGACCGTCTGAGAAGCTCCATTACCTCGGGGATGTTCCATGAAACACGGCCTGCGTTGTCGACCATCGCAAGCTTGTAGTTATCTATCAAATAGTAGAACATATCATGCCGCTTTTTATAAAACGGCTCCTCTGACATGAGCGAATAACCGCGGGTCGTGTTGGTCAGGTCGTCCTTGACCTCATCTGGCATCCCCTCTGACAGAATCTCCTTGTTTGTGAATTGAGCGTACCGCTTTTTGAAGTCCACTATCATCGTTTGGATGCCACCTCGAAGCTTGTCCATATGCATGGTCTGGGTCCCGATTGTGATGGACTTGACGTCCGGATCGACGTAGACGTTGGGCTCTTTCGTTTGATTGAATACCACGGACGATGCGTACTGCTGCATTTCATATATCATGTTGAACGTGTTAGGACGACCGAGTCGCAGCACCCGCTCGTGGACGTTTGTGACGCGGCTAAAGATGCATTACACAGTCAGCGAATGAAGACGACTGAATGTCAGGACATGCTCACTTGTGGTCGTCGAAATGAACTGCGTCTACATCCTGATCTTTATCCATCAGCGCTTCCAGTAGAGCGGTCGTGTTGCAAAAATATTTGAACTTCGCAAGGTCTGGGGTGAGGGTGGATGCTTCGCAGAAGTTTCCATCCGCACGCAGCGCCCTAAGCCATACAGCTCGCTTGATAGGGTTGGCCCATCGATCTACCACGCACAAGTCTGGGTCTGTATCAATCAGCGACCATGCAAGATTGTGGTAGGAGATCAGCCTCTTGCGGGCCGAGGAGGCGTCATTGTGCAGATCGGTCAGAAATGTTTCGAGACGTTCGTTCTGCACGGCAGACAGAGCAAATGAGAATTCCAGTGGGGACCCGAGGTGAATGCGCACGATAGCTCGCATCATTTGCACCATGAAGTTGGGATATTCCACGTTTGCGTCAGACACGGGCCTCCAATGACAGTCGCTTCAAACGCAAAGGGTGTCAATGACGGTGCTATTAAATTTTGGCAGAAATACTCACATATCTCGCGGTATGTCTCTACCATACAACAGGAGTTTTGACAGGCTGAACCTGTGAGGGTGACCGTCCAAGATGGTCGATGCCTTCTCCATGTGCTCTCGGACGGTAGCAGCTAGTCTGGTGATCAGACCGCCGTGTTCCTCTACGGTATGCTTCTTCTTTATGTCGTCCGCTGCCCGTCTCTGGACTGGATTCATCCTGACATTCAGCAGAAACTTATCCCAACCCATAAAGCGCATCAGCGGGGTCCTCTCTCGTTCTGTGTCCGCTGGGACGACCAAAGCGATGTCCAGGGTAGGTAGGAACTGGGTCTGAATGATCATTTTGACGTCGGGTCGAGAACCTGGAACGATGTTCTGTCTGATCTCAAAATACGAGTTCCCCACCCCAGTAAAAATTTGTTGGACCTGGCAAGGTCTATGATATATTTTCTCAAGCCTTCTGGTGCTGTGCTTCTCTCTGCCGTGCCGCTGCATTGTCTGCAGGTCCTTGACAGCATACGTGCAGTCAAGCGACGCTGTGCACGCTAGACCATCGCTAGGGTCCGAAATGAGCTGGACAGGCGGTCCTCCCGCGGTCGGTAGCTTGACATGCTCGGGTTTCTCATACACGTCGGACTCTGAGCAAAATTCCAACAAGGCCTGCAGAGCTGCAGTAGGTGCCTGGTGCGATGGAATCCTAATGTCAATTTAGAGTGGGTCAATACGAGTCATCGACGTACCCGATAAAAGCAGTGGAATTTCTTCCTGTGGCCGACCAACATACCGGATGTTAGTGCCACACGGCATGTCAAGCACAGCAGAATCTTAAGACCACTATGCAGGCAGACACCGAGCGCATCGAGAACCTCGTTGGACATCAAGTAGTCTACTGAGGGCAACAGCGATACTTTTGTAGTGTCCACGCCAAACAAAGGAACTGTAAATTTTGGACGTAGATTTCACTCAGAACCTTTGTTTCAATGCATCAATTTAATCCCACTCACTTGAATGGACAACCGCCGGAGGGGAATGGATCGCTGGGATCAACACGCCGGGCGAAGTTATCGCGGCATATTCTTCGATACGTAAACATCCGAAAGCATGTGAGGAGATCACACTCACCAGCGATAAACCTTCGCTGGACGGAAGACGTATGTTGTGGTATGGCGTCGCTGCCTCCATCCATCGGCGAGGCTTCCATCACACAGATCAGTACCGCTAAATAATAGCCCATGCATTCAGTCTGCTTACCTATGACGGGAGTTCCAAAAATTTTGAGCTTTTTGGAGTCATAGTGGTCCACGCTGACGTGAAGCTGCATGGCCTCGCGCTTTTTGAATGATCTTCCGATACATTGTTGGAATGGGCAGGTATAATGCCCCTCATCGGTCAGACCGACGATGTGCTTACACCCTGCAATGGTAAACGGGACAGGTACGGAGTGGTACCGGTACCGGTGGTGTCGGGCAATAGAACTGGTTGAGAATGGACCCATGGGGCACCTCAGATCTTCGCACATGATCGGGTTGGACATCTCTGGTGAGTAGAATATATGGGCGATTTACCATGTGCTGTGTATTTTGACAACGTACGAATCACGCAGGACAAGTCTTATACGATTTATGCACGCTCTTACATGGAACTCCAGGGACGCGCCAAGACGGAGGACTGGCATGGTGGAGAAAAAACTCACCTCCTGATCGCGGGATTTACGATAGACGGCTAGCATCCAGAACCACCAACGGACGGAGCTCGAGGCAAGCCAATCCTATTCCTTCCCGTGCAAAGATCGTACTTTTCATCAATATGAAGAAGAAGAAAAAGGTTTGAGGGTCATGGGACGCAACCATCTTCACGAGTGCCGCGTCCACATCAAGACAGTTGCTTGTCTGAATCTGGGTAATACAATTGCGCCAATGCACGAAAAAAAAAAAACACAAAGTGCCTGTTGATCTTCCGAGGAATGGATTCACATGCAGATTGAATGCGGTGATGCATTAGCCTTTGCATCGACATCCCGTGCCGAGCTTCGGTACTGGGAATGTAAATGGGCCGACAGCAGGTACTAAACGGCAGGACCGCAATAATTAGTCGGTTCCACGACAGGCCTAGGTTCGCTGATCGGTAGACATCGCACTCTGTTGGAGCAGACTTATTTTCGTACCTTTGCATATTTTACGTCAATTTTTATACAATGCAGCCAAGTCGCTTGATCCTTGGTTACAGCTGGCAGATCGCTCCACAAAAGCGCAGCAAATCTGTATTCGGACGTTCATTTGCTTCGAACAAGAACTAGCACCATGCCACACATGATTTGCCTTCCGTCGACCCTGCTCAAAAAGATTGCAACAAAATTTTTTCGTTGCAAATTCTGGGAGACATGCGGGTTGGTGGGACATTCAGGACTTTCGGACACATCGACCCATGATGTGCCCTCTATAAATCCACTGCCCTTCAGCAGTATTACCATCACATGGAAGGACTGGCGGATTGGGTGGGATCAGGTGGGCTGGAAAACAATCACGGACATCTGCATGGGCGCGTCCAAGACCTTCTACATATAAGGACTGCACTGTGATCGAGATACAGACAGGTGACTCTACGACTCCTGGACACAGACATAGACATGGAAGCAGTAGTCAATACATCAGGTGTTGATATCCCGGTCAGTATCTTCCTATTGTTTTCGAACGCTTTACCGACGGCATGCATAGCATTGCGTGTACTGCACGGATGTGGGATCGCACATCTGGACATGCACAGGGCTCGAATCGCCTTGCGACATCACAATTTGAGTTGCAACTACTGAATATGAACATGGATGCGTGGATGCGACACAAAACCCGATGAAAAACTGCCCTCTGGTGACGAGGGAATCATTCGTGTGTCTACAATGTTATCGGGACAAAGACATGGTTATTCCAGTAAGTCCGACGAACATGGCATAGACCTTCAGTTTATGCATCTTTATCGTAGTACATGATCCGTGGCTACGCAATCCGATCGAAATTCCTGAGGCGCAACCCCGCCCCGTTGCTGGGCGTGTTCCTGACCTGGAATGGCTTTGGTCGACAATTTGCTGCTGATAGTATCATACACATGCTTCAGGAGCAATTCAACATAGAGCCACACAAGGCGAGTCATCCGTGTTGACGTTATTACCAGCTCACCGAGTTCAATATAGCTTCGCATCGCGTGCCGGAAAATACGGGCAAACAATAATCGCCCTGATGCTGTCGCAGGCGATTTTGGATGGGTAGCTGAACAAAATCATCATTGCAATATTCTGGTGTTCATCGATACCCACGCAGACACTACCACGGGGAACTTGGTCGCATCGGGTGGGACGAACAACTCTGTGTCTATCACACCGTGGGAGGTACCATTATCTTCCAGGGAGACAGATTCGCGTGCTGATTCCTACTTTTTAATGTGTCAAGATGCTTAACAACTACGTCGGGGACCACTTTCGGAATGCATCGCAGGCCATCAGAGTCATTAACACCACTCGTGGCGACAAGCCGTTCATGCGTGGACTGGCGCTTTGTAGCTGCGGCCCCACAGGTCGGGTTACCAAGAGCGCAACTCTTCTCAAGCAGATGGTGGAGTAGTCAGCGCAGTCTTGCCTTTTCGCCGCCGCCTGTTGCTAATGAAAAATTCCTTACAGCAATATATTCGACTTCCTTTTTTGTTTCATCGGCGTCTCCACCATCGACTCAATGGTTGTTCCCGCGTTGTCTCGGTTCCTGGAGAATGTTTTCGTGTATGACATGAAACCGTGGGAGGCTCTAGAGCGCTCGTTTGGGGAGGATCGTTACACTCTAGAAGCATCACCCGTCGATCATGTGAGTCAATATCGTACCGGTATTGTTACAGTTCCATTCTCACATAAGTCTCGAATGGCAGGTAGGCAACGCTGCACTGATGCACCGGAGAAGTACATGATCCCGAAACGTGTTTTCCCAACGGAGATCAAACCACGAGTGACCTTCAATGTTTTGCGTGCTTTTCGTAAGTGTGAATTTGCATGTGTTGATTTTTTGAAGAATTTGACAACACGCCGTGTTGTCTTGATAGCCTGCATTTGTGTTTTGTGTCAGCGAAGTTTGACAAACAACTGAATATATAATTACAGGCTGGAAGAAGGGGATCGCGCAGATATCCTTCACAAGCAAGTTCATCCGGTGACATGGATCCGGTGTGTTCAGGATCCAAGGGTATTTCTTTTGAATTTTTTTACGAGCGACACGTGTGTTTCCTGTGTCGTCGGAGCAAATTCCAGAGAAGAGTTTGGGCCCGATCTGAATAATGACCTGCGCATGTTTAGCTTGGCAATTCTTCCCAGAACAATTTCAACTTACACCGTCCAAAACACCAAATAGGTGATCTTGGATTGTGTAGACGGACTCAGGTAAGCGAGTGGTTCGACCATCAAAAGTTATGCTGAGGTTTATGCAGGTGCGTAAATGTTCGAGCTGTTTTGTACGAACAAGTGCGGCCTCCGCTGGAATTTGATATTCTTCTAACTTTGATGATGATGCTGGGACGTAGGATGGTACGGCATGCAGCCACATAGACTTCCACTCTGGCAGGTCAACCTTGCTCGGGGGAAGGCCCCCGACGCAGAACAACTGCACAACGTCAGAATGGAGCTGTGCTGTTAAGGCCTTCATTCGAGCCTTCTTTGCGAGCGGGGCAACTGATGGCTGGGATCGAGTTGTCACGGGGGCTTCAGTTCGAGCCTTATTCGCGAGTGGCTGGGATTGAGTTGTCACAGTGATACCAGGAGACGAATGTTGAGCTTTTGAGGTCGTGGCGGCACAGTTAAGTACTGCCGATTTCGTGTATGGAGCATCTATTGCTAAGCCTCCATCAAGCTTTTCTTTGAGCTTGCGCGGAAGGTGCTCGCAGGTTGCTGCATGTACGAGGATCCGTCTCTTGTCCCGGCTCTTGGACTTCCACGTAGTGGTGCAGCCAGTATTTGTTCCCGCGCAGCGAAACATGTGTGCCTTGGATGGGTCATCCTTCTTGTAACATCGGATTGCAAGTGCGAGGAGCTTCGTATCAATTGGACGGCCACATGGGCCTTGCGCAACTGGCTCAGGCAAGTCTTCATAGTCGCCAGCATCAATATCGAGTGCCTCGGAGTTTGCTGTACTAGCGGCTGTTGCATTTTCGGTGTTGGTAGGACTTGGAACCTCATATGATGTGTCAGTGAATGTTATTTTTCGTGCATGCATTTACTCACTGGTTGCTTTGCACAATTATAGTGATAAACTGTGGTCCGCCACAGATCACGAAGCCATTTTTGAAGCAGCGCAGAATTGGGACACTGGTTGAGGGCAGCCGTTAGAACGTCGACAACTGCAACAAGACCTGGCCCGCGCTCCTCAAACTCAAATGGACACAGTGCGGACTCATCCTTCCGGCCTCTGGGTGCAAACGTGACCTCGAGCACATTATTCAGCGCAGCTTCGGTACTGCCATAGAGCTCGACCCTATCCGGATCTGGTACATAGTGTTCAAAATTATATTTGGAATTTCCGAGGGGGATGCTATGTGGAAGTTGTGCGAGTGCCGTTCGGAGTTGGTTTAACCGTGCGTCGTTACGCCTAACGTCGTGGAAGAAGCTCATCAAGATTGTGATCATCGAGATACTTAGTTTGTCGGTCATATCTTATCGATCGTTCGGTGATTTCGGGTGTTCGAGAGAGTTGACAGGCTATGTTCCTGGAATCATATACATATATATTTGAGTTTTCGACGAGTTTTTGACACCCCAATATCAGGCCCGAGTTATCGACTGGATAAAAACATGTTAAAAACCGGTCAAAAACTCCGAAGTTTTTAACGGAGCCCTAATTCATACCGTGGGAAGGTCACATGACCGAAAGTTGAAATATCACTACGCTTCGACATGCCCTTGAGACTGTTGTTTTCCGTCGCTGCGTGCTTTCATGTCGCGTGTCCATACAGCTGTAACGCGATCGGCCGTTCCCCAAGTCGCTTCGTCCAGAAGCGGTGTACATTATGTGCAGGAATGGTCGATTGTCGCGCAGTCACTCGGGACAGTGCCTCCATGGCACCATTTGTCTTGGACATGCCCTTGAGACTGTTGATTTCCATCGCTGCGTGCTTTCGTGTCGCGCGTCCATACAGCTGTAACGCAATCGGCCGTTCCCCAAGTCGCTTCGTCCAGAAGCGGTGTACATTGTGTGCAGGAATGGTCGGTTGTCGCGAAGTCACTCGGGATAGTGCCTTCATGGCACCATTTGTCTTGGACATGCCCTTGAGACTGTCATATTCCTTCGCTGCGTGCTTCATCTTGCGCGTCAATTCATCTGTAACGCGGTCTGCCATTCCCCAAGTCGCTTCGTCCGGAAGCGATGTACATTGTGTACAGAAATTGTCAATTGTCGCGAAGTCACTCCAGACAGTGCCTCCATGGCACCATTTGTCTTGGACACGCCCTTGAGACTGTTTCATTCATTTGCTATGTGCTTTTTTCTTGGCGCTATCGATGTTTTTGGTTTGTTTTTTATAGCAACAATTCGTGCACGGGACCACGCGCTGTCGATAATCAACGCAACCCGGCTGGCCTCACATCCACGTATATTTGTTAACGGCATTCATTGCTTGCCGGTTTCAATTTCTGTTGCATATAAGATTAACTTACATATGAATGACAATAATAGCCCAGGCCTCACGAGCACAGCCGACTGCTGCAGTCATGAATCATTCAATGCAGCTTGAGTTTTCATGTCTAACACTTATGCTAGTTCCAATTTTCGTTACGTGTCCTTCACATACAGCCAACGCGTCGCACACAATCTGGTGTTGTTTCAATACAGCGCTTTCACATCTGCAGTGTACCATGCATGCTTTGTGAAGGATAATATTATACTACACATATTGACGCACAAAATACACATTTCATAGTACTCGCAAACTCCGAGTCGCATTGAAGTTACTTTCATACGGGAGTGATGGTAGTTTGCAAATCTGTTAAAGTCAGTATGAAAACTCAACCTTATTCGCTCATCGATTCCATTCACAGGTAGATTCCTGCAATCCCGAAATTTGTAGCTCTATGCTGATGACGGACATGGGGCAATCTTCCTATAGGCCTCAAGCGTGTGTTCAGCTGACAAGGGCATTTTCAAACATTTAGGAGTCTCTTGGGTCGAGAAGGACCTTACTTCATTGTGAAGCAGGAATCTGCATGTCACTCAACGTCTATTGGTAAGACTGTCTGGTTGAATACTCTAGGTTTGTGGCTTCGGGGGAGTCAAGGAGATTCATGATAGAACATTTCAAACACGGGGACTTCAGCTAGAGTGACATTGATGGCATTGGAAGATCGGTTTCGCATCGGGCAGAGAGCGGAGGGGCTGGCGGAAATGTTGATAGAGCTGAACCCCAAAGTACTAGATGGCAGCAATTAGATCCACGCTTTCAACAGCGTCGTGCTTACCATTCTTCCCACCTCCTTTCGAGTAGATTGCGACAAACTTCGTGAAATCTATCCGAGCTGCAGGATCACGCAGTGACAGAAGTTACCCCGACAAATATGCAGAGGGGTGCATGGAGTGCCGCTGCATAGAATGGAAGGCTCACACTGAAATGTGAGAACAGCTGTCCTGTCTTCCGTACACCATCGTTGCCGCCAGAGGTTGTATTTTTTAGATGGAACGATCAGAACAGAATGCAACAACGTGTGTTTGATTTGCGGTTGATGATAAACTTGGTTAATCATCCCAGTTTTCACGCCACTGCCAGCCAGGCTAATCTGATGATCAAACACCTGTATAACTCTACAACTGATCCACATAAAAATATAATTTTATGACGGATAGATAGCCTGATATTGAAAGTACAAGACCCGCTAGTTTTTTCTTTCAAAATTGACGTGTTGAGTTCAGCGGAGAGTTACCGCGCAGAAAAGTGCGAATTTCCCTATGTAGATTCAGACTAGCCTGAGAGCCAATATTGCGCGAACTCTTGTGATGCACGAACGGACAAAATTTTAGTATTTAGCATCTCTGATCACTCCTGAATTCAATTCAGAATGTGCCAGAATATGAACAATGTTAGACTATTCTGGTAGTAGCTGTAGCGAGATTTTTTGTTTTTGGGTCGCATGACTGTCAATAACACGTTAATAACTAGAGGAAGACCCGTAGTCTGAACCCTAATGTTCAACACTGTCATGGACTGATTCTCCTGCTCGAGGTCCGATGTCCTGTTCAGTCTTTCTTAGTCGTCTGCTGGGACGGGTGAGCCTAGAGTCCTGGAAATGGCTCTGCTCACATACAGGACGACAGTCCCTGCACCATACCACTCGCGGGCTCATCATACAGTGCTCAATAAATGCCAAGATCTCACCTGAAAAGACGAAGCCGGCGGCGTGCGTATCAAGTCAGTCAACCATAATCTTCGTTCGTTTATGGACCACAGATGAAAGATTGATGCGATGAAATTAACATCGAGGAGGGCATTGACGGACAGGGTCCACGATGGCGGAGGGAGTGCCACGATTATGAAGAGGAGTCCAAAGAGAAGCCACACGAGATTCAGGGTGTCGTCCATGACAAGCGAAGCTGTTGACAGACAGGGACCAATCCAACATTCATTGAACCTGACATGGAAAGATCGACTCAAGGGCACATAAGCCCGAATGAGAGGACGTCCGCGTCGGATCATCCTCTGGAATGCAACGAGAGCGCTGGGTAGGCTTGGAATTCGCAGAGGGCAAAGGTGAAGGTGTGGTCGACGAGGGAGAATGAGTGGGAGAGGTGACCATAAGCGATACCATGCCCGCATGACCGATGCAGACGCGGGGATAGTGCGACACCCAAAATAAGCGAGGGGTGACGCCTGGGGAAGCGAAGTTGACGCCTGTTGAAGAGGGGGTGACGCCTGGTGAAGGAAGGGTGACGGACAAACAAGGGAGGGTGACGGGGTGACGTTTGCAGCCTTGAAGGACGGACAGCGCAGCGCCAAAGGAGAAAATCAATGGCTGATGGGAAAACAAAAGGGTGACGCCCGCCCGTCTGGGAGGGTGACGGGGTGACGCCTTCCGGTCTGGGAGGGTGACGGGGTGATGCCTTCCCGTCTGGGAGGGTGATGGGGTGACGCCTTCCCGTCTGGGAGGGTAACGGGGTGACGTTTGCAGCGCTGAAGGACGGACGGCGCGGCGCCAAGGAGGAAAATAATGGCTGATGGGAAAAAGAAGGGGTGACGGCGTCACCGCCAAGCGCAGGAAATGGCGGATGGGAAAAAGAAGCGAGGGTGACGGACAGCCACTTACGGCACGCCCGTCCCCATTTGGGACGGGGTGACGGGGGTGACGCTTGGAGGGTTGCAGACGGAGAACCAAATAGGTAGGTCGATCGCTGCCCGACAGGTGTAACCACGGGACATCAACATCCGCCATCATGCTTGTGTGGTTGTGAGCATGGCGAAACAAATACATGGATGCGGTGATGTGGTAATACATACCTTGCGATAACCGGTGGTGGGGAGGAAATTGCCTGCGATCCGTGGTTACTGTGTCCAATATCTGCATCATGAGATATGGTCCCAAGTGCATGAAACAGGTGGCTGAGGAAACGAGGACGTGTATCCATGTTAACGATGGCTGAATATAGGCGTTCCATGCCGAGTGCTTCAAGAAAGTCGTCGTGATCAACGAACGGAATGGTCCTCGGGTTGAGAGGAATGATAACGCCATTAACATCCGCGTCCATGTCTGTCATCGTCAGCTGGCGAAATCTGATGAGCATCCAAGTCGCAAGCTTCAGAAATACTTGCGAGCGCCCCCGCTCAAATGCAGTCCTGTGCCAAGTGTCCCAATCGTCCAACATGACAGGGAGTGGGTCATCATTCAGACCACCACGATCAACCTGTAAAATGTCAGCATGCGAACGCATCATGTCAGAACATATCGACTGACCGGCCTCTGTGATTCAGATCACAATCAACGTGAGTTACGTGAATCAGAGGTCATTGAACGACTCACCGTGTCCGGCCTGATTTCGGGTATATCCTCCATCATGTCCAAGTCAGTCCTCCATGTTGCTGAGACAAGCGTCGGCGATGGCGGATCATCATCGTCAACTATCGCTGATGGGAAGGTCCGAGCGGTACTGGGTACATCAGATATCTCATCTTCGGAGTTGGCAACCAGAACTTTTGGTGCAGCCTTTTGCTTCCCCTTGCCTTTCTTCGACTTCGGCTGATTTTTCGTCTTGCGTGATTTTACTGGCTTCCTCTCCACCAATAGACGTTCAAATGCGTCGGCGATGCGTTCGCCGTGGTCCACCTTAGCTACGTCATTATCATCGTTACATCATGCAAAATAGCTCACCTCATCCTCTGATTCCGCGTCCAAGATATGTTTACTGGATCCAGCTGCTTCTGCGGTCGCATTGCGACGTGCCTTCTTGCCTGATGGCTTCGATTTCATCTCGGATTTTGTAGATGACGCCTGGCCTGCAACACGTGTTCAATGCCGGTGCGTCAGTTGAAGCGATAGTTGAAACTTACCTGTGTTTGTCTTTATCGCAGTGGCTTTGATTTTGATCTTGATTTTAGGCTGTTCAGTGACGCGGCCCTCAGATGGATTGTGGGGCTCATCGTCTATGGCGATCGGCTGAGCATCAGCAGAGGCCTTTGCGTTAGCATTGGGGGCATCTATCAGGGCTGGTGCAGTGACATCGTCGCCCACAGCGTTGGTATGTGTGCAAGCGACGTCTGCTGGCTCTGCGACAACGGTAGACGATGCTGCGGCTCTCATAGCATCGATATGCACAATCGTCGCCTTGACAACTTCGTCGATGTCGCGCGTGTGATCGAAGGGACCTCCGCACGCATCGTCGCCGTCTGAACATAATGCATTGTGTAGATGTACATGTGTCACTGCAGTATACGTAGAATTAGAACCCATAATACAAGCAATACATACGTTGATCACTCACTGGATTGGATCTTCTTGAACAGCTTCTTCTCTCTGAACTGAGCCCAAGTGCGGTTCATCTTCTGTTCCGCAAGTCGCTGGTGTGTCGAGGTGAACGCGCTGTTTTCTAACGTTAGAGCGATATGATAGTCGAGAATTGCCGATCGCCATTTTGATTGCCTGATATTGTCACCAGCTTCTCTGACCTCAGTAACGAACGAGGTGATGATTTCAGCGGCGTATGAAATGAGGGCCAGGTAAAACTGAATGTCAGGATTTTTGACGTCGACATCAGGGCGGCCGAGCAAGACATCAGCGGTACGCCGAAACACCTCTAGCTGATAGATGGTGACCGCGAGGAAATCGATGCATTTTTCTGGAACCTTGATCTAATAAGTTGGTTGTGACGCGTGCTACACGCAGTTGATGATCTGATAGGACATACCTTCGTTGAGTCGCTACCATCCCCCAACGTCAAAAATGCAACGTTGTCCTTTTCTTCCATCCCCACCGGGTATTCAAGAAGGGCATTTGCCATAGACCTATTGCGAGCGACGATTCTCAGAGAGCACGGTTCCATCGGTAAAGGCATGGTACGAGAGCAGATAGGTCTGGTGTGTGCTAAGTTGACGTTATTACTTATTGCCCTAGGGCAATTTCAGTCAACCAATTTCAAACACAGACATCGACTGTTCTTCAGGCCTCATGCCTAGGTTGTTCGATCAACACAGCAATTGAAATTCTCACGGCCTCTTATGACGGCCGTTCGCTCACAACTAACATCGAGTTTGAGATACTCATCTAGATTTCGAGCGTAGTGTGTCTCATCGTATCTTTTCGCCGCCCATTGAGCTTGAGACGCTCATCTGGTTCTCGAGGTCTCAGAGCTCATCATTTTTTTTACTATTATGTAATTACAACATTATCATATCTCCATTGTTCTCATCGTGTTGGATTTTCACCAGGCTTCACACGTGACCTCTGGGGATGCTGGACACGTAGTGCGAGGCACCGCATAATGCATGTTGATGATCAAATGAGGGAATCATTCTGTGATTACCTTATTTCGATTCTGGGTTTAATCTTGTATCGCTACGGATAACATTCTGTCTATCTTGTTATATCCTTTATTTATGTTGCGATGGAGAATTAAGAATTTGTGATTCAGATGTTCGCTCAGTTGTTATGTAATCTCATTTCATTGACGTACATGTTCAGTTGAGTCGGATTCGGGTGCGACTAAGCGGCGATATGATTGAGACAGGGTTGGGACACCCGAAGGAGAACATGCGCCCCACTTACTCAATACTTGGCTGATAATCGACGCCAAGATTCGGATCACAACGAGGACTGATTGACACATGTATTGGTCCGGAATTTCCCATTGACCACAGTCGCAAGGTGGCGTACTTAACCATGGAGTAGCTACACATTCCCCCTCACCATTTCACTAGCCTACAGACGCATTCCAATCAACGTCGATCACCACTATGGCATCACCGTCCGACAACCGTCTTGATCTCACATCGGGCTTGTTGGGCACCCACGTGGAGGAGAAGAGTGCAACCATTACTTGGCAAGATGGCCATCGCACGGTGCTACCCACATTATACGACAAGTCAGGCCACAATGTCTGTGAAGAGGTCGATATTCCAATCATAAAATTCTTGTCCGAATTCCCAATATCCACACCGGAGTCCGCATCCTGGGTAGCTCATGTCCCTTACGAGATGTTATCGCACGATACTATGTTGGATGTAATTGGGAAGGCCCTGAGCATCAACAAAACCATTGTTATCAGAGGAGAAAAAGTCCCGCAACGCTCTGAGGAATTAACCGCAGACTTCCTGGACAAACGGTTCACCATCTCAAAGCATCGACCAGTGTGCATCCATGGTACTGAATCACGATTGTTCTTGCATATGACGTTTTTGATCATCTTTATAGATGTGATGATGCGTTCATGCGACCACGTCAATATGAAGATTACCGGCACGATAGGTTCGTTCTTCGATGCCATGGTGGATTCAACGAGGATACAATGTATCCTGGACTTACCCCTCGCACAAACATCCCTTCCGGATCAACTCAGGTATGTAAGACATATTTAGCTATCGTTGCAGCAGTTTAGACGACGTCATACAGAAATATCGACCATGGCCTGGCATACGGATGGAGCCAGACGACGCATAGAGTTCCGATCACATCCAAGGTTCATCCTGAGAATTTCATGGTTAGGGGATGGGGAATCCTTCACCACGCTGGTTATCTGTCGTACCCTCACCACAATGCCGAGGGGACATTGACATGGTTGAGGATGGAGCTTGGAGTTAAGTTCTGGGTGGTGTTCAGGCCGAAGAACCATCGTGATGACAGGAAACATCTCCAGGAGTTCGTCACGAGACTGGTCGACTTCACCAACCATGAAGAATGGGTTCGGAAGCACTGTGATGCTGAAGTCATTGTGCTCCGGCCAGGCGACATTGTGTCAGTTATTCATCTATTCCACTCGACGCATCTCATCCAACCTTTCCTTAGGATAATGCCTCCCGGGACTGTTCACGCGGTGTATACGCCCGTTCCATCGTTCGCCACAGGTGGACACTTTTATCATTATATGTGTCTACACCTCACGGAACTCGCGAGATACATCGACTCGGAGGCTGCTGATTCTACCACAAATCAAGATCTCGAGCATGCACTGGAAACGCTGCGCCGCATGATGATTATGGTTCCATATCTCTCACTACGTACCGGTAAGCACATTTCCTTGACGGTGACGATCTGTATATTTACACCAGTGTAGTGTTGTACAAGCGACCCTTGCTGGGTCTCTGCATTATGGTGACGAAGACAGAAGAGTATCGTGCCAAAGGTAGCAGCAAGCAATCAGCAGCGAAGTCGGAGACCTCTCAGCCCAGTCGGGATGTCGCAGAAGTCATCATGCGGAAATGTTTTCGGTTGACAAGAAAGCTCCGCCCAGGTGCTGTTATGTACGTTGGAGATCAAATGTCTCCTGGTGAGTTAGTGGATCGAGATTCGTTGCACAACGCATTGCAACAATCGTTGAACCTTTAGACTTTGCAATGCAGGCGGATATTTATTTACCTCTGTACTGTCATTTTCATCATCCTCTCTGCTGAACTGTCGCCTCCCAAGGCCACAGGTGTAAGTGGTATTGGTGTCATTTACAAATGAAGGTGATGTTTTCAATGAGTCAAATGGGTCGATATATGCGTTCAAAAAGTGCACATGAGCCCCGTCAGTCCCAAATCGTCTTCCAGAATCTCAGTTCCTACACCGACAAGAACATCACAATGTTTACAAAGTACGATGCAAGAAACTGGGTCAACTGACGTGCAACGCCGCGAGACTCTTTGGCGAACGTGATACCATGAAGTACATCAATTTAGTCTACTATTTACTTTAATTCTGCGTGTTGTAGTATCCTAAGGGGGTGAATAGCATTGATATTGCCGGAAAATCGATGTGGCGTGAGACCGTCACGTGATGTGAAGATCAAGTATTCGTCTGAGTTCTAATTGTTTTCTCTTCTTTACCATCACCATGGGTTGCGCGCCTTCATAGGTGTTTCACTGTCGCTGACGGTGGCCTATTGGTGTTTTGTCTTCTTTTCTCGCACTCACTTGTGACGTACCGGAAGACTCGTTGGTCCCGCGCCTTTATGGGCGCATTCTGACGATGTCAGTGCCATTGAGTCCACGGTCGTTGCTTGTTGCTTTCTCGTTTGTCCGTCCCCCTTCATATTTGCTTGGTGCTGTCTTGCCTGCTCGCACATGTGGCGTACCTGAAGACTCGTTGGTCCCGCGCCTTTATGGGCACATTCTGACGATGTCAGTGCCATTGAGTCCACGGTCGTTGCTCGTTGCTTTCTCGTTTGTCCGTCCCCCTTCATATTTGCTTGGTGCTGTCTTGCCTGCTCGCACATGTGGCGTACCTGAAGACTCGTTGGTCCCGCGCCTTTATGGGCGCATTCTGACGATGTCAGTGCCATTGAGTCCACGGTCGTTGCTTGTTGCTGTCTAGCGTGTCCGTCCCCCTTCATATTTGCTTGGTGCTGTCTTGCCTGCTCGCACATGTGGCGTACCTGAAGACTCGTTGGTCCCGCGCCTTTATGGGCGCATTCTGACGATGTCAGTGCCTTTGAGTCCACGGTCGTTGCATATTGCTGGCTCGCTTGTACGACCTCCTTCATATCTGTTTTTTCTTCGCATGTCCGACCTGCATGCCTGCTTATCCACGCCTGTGCGCACTTGTGACGTACCTGACGACTCGTTGGTCCCGCGCCTTCATGGGCGCATTCTGACGATGTCAGTGCCATTGAGTCCACGGTCGTTGCTTGTTGCTTTCTCGTTTGTCCGACCTCCTTCCACATGCGCTTGTCCTGGCTTGTTGCTGTCTCGCCTGTGCGCACATGTGACGTACCTGAAGACTCGTTGGTCCCGCGCCTTTATGGGTGCATTCTGACGATGTCAGTGCCTTTGAGTCCACGGTCGTTGCTCGTTGCTATCTCGCGTGTTCGTCCTCCTTCATGTTTGCTTGTTACTGTCTTGCCTGCTCGCTCATGTGACGTACCTGAAGACTTGATGGTCCCGCGCTTTCATGAGCGTATTCTGACGATGTCAGTGCCTTCGAGTCCACGGTTGTTCATCTTGTGGCTCGCATGTACGTCCTCCATATCTGCTTGTCCTCGCCTGTCCGTCCTGCACGCCCGCTCAACACCTGTCACTGTCTCGCGTATCCGATCACCTGCATATCTGCTTGTCTTCACTGCTTCGCACTTGTGGCAAACCTGATGACTTGTTGGTCTCGCGATTTCAGTATCGAATTCTGACGCTGTCAGTGCCCTGAGTCCACTGTCGTTGCTCGTTGCTGTACCGCTTGTCCGCCCTCCTTCATATCTGCTTGTACAGGTCGTATCTGTCGTTGGAGATAGAATTATTTCTTACATGTACCCATCTGCCAGAGGATGTGTTGGTTAATGAATCCATGCAATCAATGGAACATTAAAATAATGCCATGTCGAAATTAAGTGATTGTGCTATTTTCGCCCATTGTCCAGTCAACGCTCAGGGGGCAGTGCGGTTCAGTTCAGTATTGATGCATCAAGGGTACATAATGCTTTCATCAGCCAGCTGAGTGCGCACCGCATCTGCGCACAACAAGAGCTTGAATCTAAAAACAACTAACCCATGTCTGAGGTGGATCTATGCCACTAAGTCTCAGAATTATGAACGCATCTGTAATCAGTACCCACTGACTGAACACAATGACTGAGGAACAATGATGTGACATTTTGTGTTGTGGTGTGATGAAATGAAATGGTGATGTTCTACGTCAAACTCCCTCATGTGGATACACTCTTGTCAACCATTTGACATCACATTGCAAGGTCCTACGCCTTGTGCTTGCTTGCTGCCTCTGTCAGAACTGATGCGAGAATTCGCAGTCCAGGTGCGTAAGGATCCTCATCGCGAGGCTGAGAGGAGCGGAGCAGATACTTTACTACTGCAGTCACACCCTTGCCACCGTCGGAAGTCTTCATTGTGATATATATATATGATTCAGCTCGAGGCAAAAATAATAAGTAAATGTAGTCACCAAAAGATGTTGCAACACGTGTCGTACGAATGCCTCATCAATCATGGCTCGATGGGAAAGTTCTGACAGGACGCAATGTGCCTGACGGCAACGGCGTCAGTGTGATGTTAAGACATACAAACTTGCTACTCACCAACGGAGACAGCGCAAACTCAAAGGCAGGACGTTCCAGTGCCTGTCGGCACTCATCTGCAATGTCGTTGAACCATAATTCAATGGACATCAACAAACCCGCTGATTGTATGAGCTTAGAGGGGATGCTCTTGTTGCGCATGCGCCATGCTATGCGTCTAACCACAGCTAACCATGCATCGTGGTGCGAATTAATAGATGACTGGACCATGTCATAACCTTCCGGGTCCATGAGAAAGATGTCCATCTACATGTCGACGTTCAGCCAGACTCCTACTGACACTGGATGATCGACTTACGAAAGGCGTTGCATCTTTCACCGGC